ATGCGTGGGCTCAACAAAAGGACTTTTTTCCGCCGTTTCTTTTTTGATTTTTTCCTTCTTCTGAACAACAGGTGGCCACACAAACACGACGCACGCAAATATTCAATGGCTGCCGTGTGTCGAAAAAGAGAAAATTATTGTGAAAGAGAGAAGGAAGCAAAAAACTTGAATTTTTTTTGCTAGACCCCGTCGCGTTGGCAACATTTATTGGAAAGGCGAAAAAATGATGCTAAATTGGGAAAATAGGCGGAAAATGGAGTTAGTTTGAGCTTTGGAGGAACTGGAAATTGAAGGAAAAAAGTCAAAATTTTGGTTTTTTATGGATTTGGAAGGTTATAAGCCGGATTTTCAACCACCATTACATTGAGAAAAACCTCAAAAACCTTAATTTTAAAGCAAAAAAGGAAAAAAAACCGGAAAAATCAAAAAATGATGAAAAAAAGAAGAAGCTTAGAACCTTCATTTGCATCCAAATCAGCAGCCTTTTTTTCTCAATTCGGTAACAAAATCTTTGAAAAAATCCATCGATTTTCCCGTAATTTAAAACCAGATAAATTTGTAACGATAAAAAGATGAAAAATCTCAAAATTATAGTGCAGACCAAGCAAAAAAAAAGATATAGAATGAAGGGCTGGGGCGAGAAAACTTTGAAACCCGACGCCATTGCAAACAAAATACACGGCGAGACTCTTCAAACTTGAAGTTGTAAAAAACTTTTTTTAGAAATAGGCTTGTAAGTGGAATATAGATGGTACTGGGAAATATTCTATAGGGTTTTGAGGTTTGAGTGGCCACTATAGTAGTCAAATTACTGGCCATTTTAGGGGTGGAAAGTTAGTGGCCACTATAGAGGTTTAAGTGCTACTACTAGACCACTAAAATTACTACAGTTGCCACTAATAAACGAAACAGTGGCCTCTGTAGAGGTGGTTTTAGTGACCACTTTAGTGTCCTGACCAAGAAGTCCTTGAGGAGCCTCTATAGTGGCCACTTGAAAAATAAAAATCATTTTTTTGTTCAAAGTTATTTTTTTAATTAAATAATTCGCTGTAGTTTAAAAAAAGGAAGGCCGCACGTGGGATGTGTCAAAGCGATTTATCAAAGATGCAGCCGACCCAAAACGAATTGCGCGGGGTTGCATGGGAGAGCATGTAAACTGTGAACCGCAACGCGACCGCGACGCTTCAAACCATTCCACTTGCGACCAAATATTTTCAAGGAGGTAACAATTTTTTAAATTTATCTTGAAGTCTACTTTCAGACCAATGAAAAATGAATATACAATAATTTTCTGCCCATAAATTAAAAAAATCAAAAGTTGATAACGAAAAAAGATTGTTTCAAAAAAACACTTCTTTTTTTATTCATAGTTTTGTGAATGAAAGGAAAAAAACGACTGTTTGAAGCTTGAATTTTAAGCTTGAATCTTTAAAAAAATTGCTATATTTTTCAGTAGGAATCAACAAATGTTCTTTAAAAACCTTCAAACTTCCAGGAAAACCTAGAAATATCGAAATAATCCAACTAATCACTAGAAATCATCGTATCATTAGAAGTAAACAAGGACATGAGGGTGGAAAAAAGGAATTTGTTGCCGTTAAAAGTGGGCGTGGTTCACTCGCCACGCCCACATTTTCTTTTCGGCCGTCAACCGGTTTTCCGTTCATTTTGTGCGTGGGGCAATTTTGCGCGTGTGGCAGAAAATATTTTTTGAGGAAATTGATGATTTGGGTCTGAAAGTGATCGATGTGAAAAATGAGAGAAAGAGACCGAAAAATGGGTGAAATTGGGGGAAAGGAAGTGATTGGGTTTGTTTTTTTTTCCATTTTTGGGAAGGAAGAAAAGAAGAGACAATAGGTTTGAAGGCTGGAAAACTCAAGTGGTCACTTAAGAGCTTACGAAGATGAAAAATAATGAGAAATTTGGGTTAAAATTTGACTTTTTTTTTCTGAATTTACCCCTTGAATTGAAATGTCTTGATCTACTGTGAAATTTTTTAGTGGCTACTATAGGGTTTTGACGATTTAATGGCCACTATAGTATTCAAATTGCTGGCCACTTAAGGAGTCACTATAGAGGTTTAAGTGCTACTACTTCACCACTAAAAATTTGAGTGGCCACTTTAGGGGTTAATGGGTCAACATAACTGGTCCAATCTGTTTTTCTTTTAAAATTATCAGAGTTACTAAGAAGGAATACTGGATGAAAAACTGCTGAAGTGGCCACTAAAGAGGTGGGTTTAGTGGCCACTTTAGTGTCCTCTCCAAGTAGTCCTTGGCGAGCCTCTATAGTGGCCACTAAAATTTTACCACTAACTTCAAACAAGTTATCCCTTAAGTGGAAACTTGAATTTTTCCACAAATCTTTTTTTGATGGTTTTTTTTCCCTGGGAAGCTTCAATAATTTTCAAAATCTAAAAAAGCCCCAAAAATGAATTTTATTACTTCTTTATCCAAAACGGTGACTAACACGATTTCATTGGGGCCCGAGAATTTGAAAAACGTCAAAAAAGACCGAAAAAAAGGGAATCAATCGACTACTCGGCGATAAAAGTTTGTTTTGAAGGTGGTCCCAAATCGTAAAAACAAATAGAAAAACAACTCGTTTCTTTTTGATGGTGTATCAAGATTTTTAGTATTACAAATATATATTGACTTTTTTTCAGAGGAAATTCTGAAAAAAAGTGGCCTCTCTCAAGTGGCTACTTGTGCTACAAAACGACATGGGAGGCCTCTCATCCCAATTGTAATCACTCAAGTGGTCCCTTAGGGCCTTAGGGCCTTAGGGTTTTTTTGAGGGGTGGGCGCTTTTTTTCTATGAAAACCTTGAAAGAAGTGATTTTTTTCTGAATTTCAAAGGGAAATTCCTCTAGGGGGTTGTCTCAATTAAAATCACTCAAGTGTTCCCTTTAGGTTTACTTGAGCGCCGCTTTTTAATATGAAAATCTTGAAGGAAGTCGTTTTTTTCGTCTGAATTTCAAAGGGCGATTCCTCTGGGGGTCTTTTTCTAAATTAAAACCACTCAAGTGGTCCCTTAGGGTCTACTCAAGCGATTTTTTTCTATGAAAATCTTGAAGGAAATCATTTTTTTCTAATTTTCAAAGGGCAATTTATCAAGAAAAAAAGTTTGAAAACTTGAAAAACCAAAAAGAAAAAAATCAATTGGAATCAAGGTACATGGAGCAGCCAGCTGTTCACTTTTTTCATGGAAACAAGCCCTTTTTCTCATTTTTACAAATAGTGCAGCACAAAGATGAGAAACAGCTGCTTTTTGTTTGGAAAAAAGGGCTAAAAACTACATGGATCTCTGTTTTTTTCTCTAAAGTCTCTCCACTTGTCACACTGTCTTACAGGAAACTTTAAGAAGGTCATTTTCGTATACAAAATGTACTAAATAAGCCAGAAAAAAGGCTAAAAGCTACACGGATTTCCGTTTATTTCTCTAAAGTCTCTCCACTTGTCACACTGTCTTACAGGAAACTTTAAGAAGGTCATTTTCGTATACAAAATGTACTAAAAAACCCAGAAAAAGGACTAAAAGCTACATGGATCTCTGTTTATTTCTCTAAAGTCTCTCCACTTGTCACACTGTCTCACAGGGAACTTCAAAAAGGTCATTTTTGTATACAAACTGTACCAAATAACCCAGAAAAAGGGCTAAAAGTTACACGGATTTCCGTTTATTTCTCTAAAGTCTCTCCACTTGTCACACTGTCTCACAGGAAACTTCAGAAAGGTCATTTTCGTATACAAAATGTACTAAAAAACCCAGAAAAAGGACTAAAAGCTACATGGATCTCTGTTTATTTCTCTAAAGTCTCTCCACTTGTCACACTGTCTCACAGGGAACTTTAAAAACGTCATTTTCGTATACAAAATGTACTTAATAACCCAGAAAAAAGCCAAAACGTACTTTAATGTCTTCTCGACCTACCTGAAAACAGCCTTAAGTGTTCCCTTAAGTGAAAAATTTGAAATGACTGTTCTCCCGGCTTAATTTCCCTTCCTCTAGCACGCATTTCAGCTCGAAATTGTGCTAAGTGGCCCTTTTAGTGGGCAGGAAAGCCTAGAGAACTCGAAAATTGCCCTTGACGCGTAGAAAATTTCACGCACCGATGGCCTTTTGTTGCAATTTCCCCTCTCTCGTTTCGCGTAAAGGGCACAATTTTAAGTGACTTCGTGAATCATAGGGGGAAGAAATACTCAGAAACCTTTTTTTCTTGGAAATCGGTTCAAATGTTTGTAGACAGGTTCCTGAACTGTTGAAAAGTCACGAAATTTCTAGAAAGAGGAAAATTTTTGAAAAAAAGTGAAAATTAAGAAAAGCAACAAAAGTCGAGAAGTGTCGTTGGTGGCTTAGAAAAACGGCCAAAGAGCTCTCCGAAAAGCCCACGTTAAAACGAGAGTGACAACAAAACGCGGAGGGGGCTAGAGAAAAAGAGAGTGGCTAGTAGCAGGTGAGAGAGTAGAGGGGGCAGACAAATGGATAAAGAGATTGTCAGAGGAGTTAGGGAGCTAATTTAGGAAGTTTAGACCGTTGAAAAATTATTGGAGAAAAAAGAGAAAGACAGCGAGAGAGTAGAGGGTGCAGACAGTTCAGAAAAAAGTTTGAAGAGTCTCTGAAAGATAGAAATACCTAGGAATCCCTTTTTCAGAGTTTTAGAAAGCTAGAGACTTCTAAAGATGAAGAGAGCTCCGAAAATCAAAAAATTATAAAAAAAAGCAAGTAGCCCAGGAAATCCAAGAAAATAGTTTTCGAAAAAATTCGGACGAGTTAGAAAACTCCATTGGAGAGATTTAGAGAGTTAGACAATCAGACAGTTTTCTTACCTTGAGATACTGGGGAAACTTTTAGTGGCCACTATGGGGCTTTGACGTTTTAGTGGCCATCATAGTAGTCCAATTAGTGGCCACTTAAGGGGTTAAAAATTAGTGGCCACTATAGAGGTCTAAGTGCTACTACTCGACCACTAAAAATTTTAGGGGCCACTTTAGGGGTCAATGGATCAACATAACTGGTCCAATCTGTTTGTTTTGAAATTATCAGAGTTACTGGAAGGAATACTGGATGAAAAACTACTGAAGTGGCCACTAAAACGCAAAATAGCGGCCACTGTAGAGGTGAGTTTAGTGGCCACTTTAGTGTCCTCTCCGAGTAGTCCTTGGCTAGCCTCCATAGTGGCCACTAAAATTTTCCCAGTAAAGGCTTAGAAAATGAGACTTTTTGAAATTCTGTTGAAGAGAGAAGAGAGTCAGGCAAGCAGAAAGTGTTCTTGGTTAGAGATGCTCTACCTGAAGAGAGACACTATACTGGATATAGCCCCTCCTTTTCCAGGAACTTCGTCTAATTAGCAAGACCAGAAAATAATGGAAAGAAGAGGTAGACGAAAGAGAGCCAGGCGGTTGAAGAAAAAAAAAAGGAACAGTATGACGAAGGATGAATATTTGGGCTGTAACCTGAGCAATAGCACTTTTGCCATGAGAATTTAGCTGGATAATGAGATATTTTTAGATTTAAGATTTTTCTGAACAAGCTCACACGGAACAGTACGACGGAGGATGAATATTTGGGCTGTAACCTGAGCAATAGCACTTTTGCCATGAGAATTTAGCTGGATAATGAGATTTTTCTAGATTTAAGATTTTTCTGAACAAGCTCACACGGAACAGTACGACGGAGGATGAATATTTGGGCTGTAACCTGAGCAATAGCCCTTCTCACATGAGAATTTAGCTGGAAGTAAGAGGAATTTTCTCAGCTTTTCGAGAACAGAGAGAGGGAGAAGGAAAAGCAACACTACAAAGCAGCCGACGAGAGATCAGGAGGGCCGGACGACGAGAGACTGGCCAGCGGTGGGGAGATATACGAAGAGAGCGGCAGACGGTCAGTGAGCGAGCTTCTGGCCGATAGCCAACGCCCCCCAACGCAATAACGAAGGAATACGAAATGAGGTGAAGCAGCTGTGCCGAAGCGGGGGAGCGAGAGCAAGACGGGTGTCTCATTGAAGCTGGACCGACGCCAAGCAACGCCCCGCTTCGAAATTCTGACAGACGTCGCCGGCTATATTGCGTTTTCTCAGAGCCGACATGGGAGAAATAAGAAATGCACGAGTGTTGCTCATGTTACGCTGGAGATTCTCAAGATATAAAGTTCATTGCTCCTGACTTTGAAAATAATGAGGGGGAAACAAAAAAGCTAATAAAATCGATATTGCTTAGAATGACAAGCCTATTGCTCATTTTACAGATGAAATTCTCACTGTGGAAGTTATATTGCTCATATTACAGACATAATTCGCCAAATTTGGAAGTCATATTGCTCATTCTACAGCTAAATTCTCATTTCAGAAGGGCGATTGCTCATATTACAGCCATACTTCGCATTTTATTTTCGGAAAAGAATATTATTTAAGCTGATGGTTCTATTGTATGCTTGTTTGACAAGCTGAGTATACGAACTTTTGGTTTTATTGCTCATTTTACAGCCGAAATTCTCATTTCAGAAGTTCTATTGCTCATTTTACAGCCGTACTTCGCATTTTATTCCCGGAAAAAAGATCAAAATTACCTTGAAGCTGGTGGTTCCACTGTATACTCATATGAGAGGTTGAGCTTACCTAACTTAAAAGTATTATTACTCATATTACAGCCGAAATTCTCATTTCAGAAGTTCTATTGCTCATATTACAGCCTTAGTTTACATTTTATTTCCAGAAAATAATATTTTTTGAGCTGATAGTTTCATATTATGCCTATGTGATAGGTTAAATTCACCAAATTTATGTTTTATTGCTCATATTACAGCTAGAATCCTCATTTCAAAAGTGCTATTGCTCAGGTTACAGTCTAAATGTTCATCCTTCGTCGTACTGTTCCTTGTGAACTTGTTCAAAAAAATTTAAAATCTAAAAATATCTCATTATAGCTCATGTTAGAGCCTTGATTTTCAAATTCAAACTGACTTACTTGAGAAAAAAAATGGTTGAAAACTGAAATTAGAGCTTTTTCGAGCCTTTTTGCAAGTTTCAAAAAAATTTATAAGAAAAAGCTGGAAACAAAACCAAAGAAAAGCAACAGAAGGAAATTCTGCTCTCACAACAGAAAGCAATATATGAATACACGTTGCGGGGCAATGCGTCAAGTTCCCAAAAATTCCCCCAATATCAGTTTTGCATTCTCCGACACGTTTCGTTTTTCAATTTTGAAGCATTGTTCGTGCGGTTTCGATGCCCGGTTTTGCGCGAAATGTTTCGTAGTTGAATTATACCTTTGTATGGGCTGGAAAGGCCTGTTATTATGGAACGTTTGGAGGCCTACTTTGTGTAGATTCTGACTGGAAAAGTTGGATGAAAATTCTTAGAAGCCAAAAAAAATTTTCGAAACTTTATTTTCCAGACTTTTTGATCATAGCATGATTTCGAAGGAGAAATTATTGAAAAATCGAATTTTTCGCAAAAATAAAATGCCTCATTGGCCACATGGTTTCATAGACCTGATTCATCAGAGATTTTCATCTCTTAAAGCTAAAAATACAGAAAAAAGACAGAAATGTGTGTATGCTGGATGCAAAAATGGCCAAAAAGGGTTAGAAGCTTAAAAATTGCTGGAAAAACTGGGGTAAAAATCCAATAAACCTTCGAGAAAAAGCAAAAAAAACTACAACGGAAAAAAAAGAGGAGCAAACTTTCCCGGAAAAAAAATGATAGAAACTCCAGATTATCCATAGAGCAACCTAGTCGCAAAACTTCGCGCACAGAACTGAAAATTTTGGCTCCGAATTCAAATTACGTGCTCGGACATTAATTAATTTCTAGTGACCACTTTAGTGGCGTCAGCACTCTTAAGTGATCCCTAGAATCGCTAAGAAATCGGTAACGCAAAACGAAAGTTTCTGGGCATTTCTAGTGACCACTTCAGTAGCGTCAAAACTCTTGAGGGATCCCTAGAATCGCTCAGAAATTGGTAACGCAAAGCGGAAGTTTCTGGGCATTTCTAGTGACCACTTCAGTGGCGTCAGAACTCTTAAGTGACCCCTAAAATTGTTCAGAAATTGGTAACGCGAAACGGACGTTTCTGGACATTTCTGGTGACCATTTTAGTGACGTCAACACTCTTAAGTGATCCCTAGAATCACTCAGAAGTTGGTAACGCGAAGCGGACGTTTCTGGGCATTTCTAGTGACCATTTTAGTGACGTCAACACTCTTAAGGGATCCCTAGAATCGCTCAGGAATTGGTAACGCGAAACGGACGTTTGTGAGCGATTCTATTGACCACTTTAGTAGAGTCAGCACTCTTAAGTGATCCCTAGAATCACTCAGAAGTTGGTAACGCGAAGCGGACGTTTCTGGGTATTTCTAGTGACCACTTTAGTGACGTCAGCACTCTTAAGTGATCTCTAGAATCGCCCAGAAACCTCCGGAGCACGTTCGTTTTGCGTTACCCAATGCCCGAGGTAAGGGAATTTTGTAATTAATTCTTTCCCGAGCTTTCTGAAAACCTTTAAAGACCCAAAAACACAAAAAAAACGGCTCCTTTCTATGGTCGCAATATAGGCATCTTATTATGAAAAATTTGGAGGCCTCTGCCTCATTTGAAGGATTCTTACTGAAAAAGGAAATGACAGAAAAAAAAAATTCTCAGAAAGCGAAATTTATTGACACGCTTCTTCGGTCATTAGAGCGAAAATTTCGAGAAGCGCACATTTTGGAATAAATTAAGGTTTCTAGAACTGGAATTTAAGTTTTCTGAACTTATAGTTACCTCAACGAGAAAAAGGTCTTTAGGATCAAAAGTTCCCTTTTTGTTTCATAAAAAATGAATATTAGGTTCAGAAGATCCCTTTTTTTGGTTCATAGAAAATGGTTTTTTTAGGTTTTTTTCAAGTTCCCTTGATAATTCTTCCATTCCCAAAGACCAAAATTAAATCAATATTAAGCCAAAAATTCGCGAAATGACAATAAAAAGTGAATTTCCAACCAAAAGTAATAAAAATAATCAGCAACGCGAGCATTTTTCAATGCGCAAACGCCTTTAAAAGCCGGTCAAAACATCTGAGACGGCCGTCGTCCGATTCGCTCGCAAATCCGTGCCTAATTAAGCCTCCAAAGCTTCACCCTCACATCCGTCTTCAATTGGTTTTGGTTCCGTTGTCGAGAAATTGGAAAGAGAGAAAAAGGCAGTGAGACGAAAAAAAATTGGATTTGAGTTCGAAAAAAGGACGAAACGTACAGAAATTAGAGCAAAGCGTCGAAGTGTGATACTTATAAGTGGTCACTTAAGTGAAAAATAAGTGGCAAGAGCTTCCAGTGCATTTTTTGGATGTAAAAAGGGCCAAAAAGTACAAAAAAATAGAAGTCCATCAGCTGGGAAACTTCCAAGTGGTCCCTTTAGTGGACAAAATAAACTGCAACCCTCAGGGATGAAAAAAAGGTCGAAACCCCCGAAACTTGTTCATTTCTCTAATGTCTCTTCATCTAACACACTGTCTAGCTGGCAAACTTCCAAGTGGCCCCTTTAGTGGACATGCTGTCTAACTGGAGAGCTTCTAAGTGGTCCTTTCAGTAGACAAAATAAACTGCAACCCTCAATGATTAGAAAAAAAAGTCGAAAATCCCGAAAATTGTTCATTTCTCTAAAGTCTCTTCCTCTTACACACTGTCTAGCTGCCAAACTTCCAAGTGGTCCTTTTAGTGGCTTACGAGGCTCTTTTATATTGGATAGAGGTCAAAAAATCCCCAAAACTGTTCATTTCTCTAATGTCTCTTCATCTCACACACTGTCTAGCTGCCAAACTTCCAAGTGGTCCTTTAAGTGGACAAAATAAACTGCAACCCTCAATGATTAGAAAAAAAAGTCGAAAATCCCCAAAACTGTTCATTTCTCTAATGTCTCTTCATCTCACACACTGTCTAGCTGCCAAACTTCCAAGTGGTCCTTTAAGTGGACAAAATAAACTGCAACCCTCAGTGATTAGAAAAAAATGGTCAAAAATCTCAAAAATTGTTCATTTCTCTAAAGTCTCCTCATCATACACACTGTCTAGCTGCCAAACGTCCAGGTGGTCCTTTTAGTGGGCGAAATGAACTACGAACCTCCATGCTGGAAAAAATGGCCAAAAATCTCGAAAATTGTTCATTTCTCTAAAGTCTCTTCCTCTTACACACTGTCTAGCTGCCAAACTTCCAAGTGGTCCTTTTAGTGGCTTACGAGGCTCTTTTATATTGGATAGAGGTCAAAAATTCCTTAAAATTGTTCGATTCTCTAAAATCTCCTCATCTCACACACTGTCTAACAGAAAAGCTTCTAAGTGGTCCTTTTAGTGGGAAAAATTAACCACGTACTTCGTTGGAAAAAAGCCAGAAAATTGTCGAATTTTGTTTATTTCTCTAACGTTTCTTCATTGAGCCTGCTCTCTAGCTGATATATTTCTAAGTGTTCACTTTAGTGAGCTAGACAATCTACACACTTGAAATTGTGCTATATCGGAAAAAAACTTCAAAAAACGGGTTGCTTTCTCTAATCTCTCTTCAACCGATACACTATCTAGCTTCCAAGTATCCACTTTAGTGAAAAACATCCTTTGAAGATTCACTGAGCTAAAAAGTCTTCGACAGCCTGGCGTCTCTTCAATCAACATGCTATCTACCTGGAAACCCTCCAAGAGGTCTCTTCAGTAATTTTCTTGTCTCTAAACCATTTTCAGGTCTATCATGTTGAAAAATGTCAAAAATTCATTGAAAAATCTGTAAAAAAAAAAGTTTCTCATTCTTCTGTCCACTGCGACTGAACGCCGATAGCTCGCAGCTGTAAAACTTTGGGGTCTCACCACGAAATGACGTCATTGGGTACAGTAATCCGAACTTACTTCATCTCGATCCAGCAATAAGTCGATATGGACGGCTCGAAGGACAGTATCCCGGCAGTCGATCATCGCCAAACGGTGTCTTTCCGCCTGGAAATCCTTGATTGGAACCGACTCAGGTAAAAGTTGGGAAGCTTCTGCTTTCGGTTCCTCGGAAGGCGTTTGGAAGCTTTCCAGCAACTCCCTATATGGACTACTGCTGTGAGTTGTTCGTTCCTCCTTTAGCTTCAGAACAATCCTACGATCTCGAAAACATCTTCCGTCAATTTACTCGGCAAACATTTATGAGAGCTAACATTAGGTTTTCTAGTTACGAAGATAGATTAGCCCAAATTAACACTAACTCTCTTTTCAGAAGAAGAGTCATTTGCCAGTTGCTCACAGTGTTTTCAGGAGATCAAATTCAGCACGTGCTCCATCACGTCTTACCAGAGTAGGGATTCGTTTCGAAAATTTCTTTGAGACGTTCATCCCTCTTTGGAATAAACTGGCCACATTGGGAAACCTCAATGTCTCTCCAGATCGTTTCAGGTCTTTGTTACTATCCCTCGATAACAATTTCCTTTTTGGATCTATTCCCAGCAGACTTCGTTGAACCAGGTACCCATGCTTCAGCCCTACTCTAATCCATCTAATCGTGTTTATATCATTACAACCAATTAAATTCCCCATTCACCTGTGCTACACTGTGTCATAATTTATAATGCTTTCTTTTCTATTTACTTTTTTTTTAAACTCTGTACAATCCTCGATTCTTATTCTGACCTCATCATCTTTCAATACTGGCTCAGAGGATCGTGAGGGCCTCAAGTGCCTTTTATTTATTTATTTAAGGCTTTTATGCCAATTCTTCCCTTCTTTTTTTGTACATGTTATTTCGTTCTGCCTGTAAATAAATTATTATATTAAAATTAATCAAAAAGCGTCTCAGTCCAATGGATGCCGGTTTAAAAAGGTCTTTTCCTTTTGGAATTTTTTGAAAATTGGCCAGAACTCCTCTTGTTGTACCAGAACAAGATTCGAAAAGTCTCAAAGTGGCCAACTTTCTAGTTTTTGAGAATTAAAGGGCTCAAAGCCTATAAAAGGGTGATTTTAACGGATTTTGAACATTTCCATTGAGTTTGAGCCTTTTTTTTAATCGAAAACTTGAAAGTTATGGAGTTTAGGACTTTTAGGATCTTCATCTGGTGGATAAAAAAGTGTTCGGGGCAATTTTCAAGAAAATCTCATTTCCGCAGTAAAATTACTTTTCGTGTTAGTTCACTGATACAACACTACAACTGTTTGAAAATTCGACTTTTTGCCAAAAATTTTTATGAATTATTTTGAGAGGGATTACAAGAAATGTGAAGAAAAAAGCTTTCGCTGAAATTTTCATATTTTTTTTTGAAATAAATCTTTCGAAAAAAAATTTTAGTGATTCTTAGTACAGTCTCTATGTTTCTAAGCGGTTCCAGGTTCAATTCCTGCCCAATTTTTTCAAAAAACAAAAAATACCAGCTGAGAATCGCCCAAAGTCAACGCATTGCTCCGTCGGATCGCCAAATCTTCAATTCTAGCCTCATATTCATCGATTCTCTGTGTTGCCCGCAAGCATACGGTGGCTTCGATGGAGCGACCTTCCTTTAAATATAATTGTTCTATTTCAAATGGCTCGGAGCCTTTTTTCTAATTTTTTTAATTGTCCAGACGCGTGAGTAGTTTCAAGTCGGGCGCTCCTAGTCACAAAATCTACGAGCATCTCGCTCACCTCAGTAGATCGGTTCATTTTATCGATTAAAACCCGTCGAATCGTCCTCAATGAGCTCAATGGATCGTCGCCAAGTGGTGAATTCGAATTGGTTTTCATTCCATCGCCTTCACTGAAAAATAGTTTCTTTTAAGTTTTGATAGTCATGACAGCAAGAAAAATGACTCAGCAGCCGACCTGAAACGACTCTCGCTTCAGATTATAAGTAATAAAACCATGGCAACAAGAAAATGGTTCAGCAGCTTGCGCCCGACTTGAAACGACTTTTGCTTCAGGGAATAAAAATGGAAAATTCCCAGAAAAATCAAGCGTTTCAACCCATTCTCATGAACTTTCAGCACGTGTGGAATCGTTTTGAACTATTATTTAAAATTTTTTTTCAGAAAGACTCAGAGCAAACGGTTTTTCAAAGAGATTTGCGCCCGACCAAAACCGATTTACGCAAGGTAGCCTCAAATAGCGTCAGATCAGCGAGTCAAAAATCACTAGGTTTTCAAAAAAAAAAATTTACTTTTTTAAAGTCAATCCGTCGAGCCATTTCAAAAGAGTTAGCTTATCGAGAAAACCTTGGAAAATAACTTGCGCCCGACCAAAAACGATTTACGCAAGGTAGCCTCAAATAACGTAATATGAAGGCGTCAAGCCATTCAAAACGCGATGATTAGATGGTTTTTTAAAATTCATTTTGAAGCCGTCGAGCCATTTCACAAGAGTTAGCTTATCGAGAAAATATTGGAAAATAACTTGCGCCCGACCAAAAACGATTTGCGCAAGGTAGCCTTAAATAGCGTCAGATCAGGGCGTCAAAAATCCCTGGATTTTCAAAAAAAAAAATTTACTTTTTTAAAGTCAATCCGTCGAGCCATTCCACAAGAGTTAGCTTATCGAGGAGATCTTGAAAAATAACTTGCGCCCGACGAAAAACGACTTGCGCAAGGTAGCCTCAAATAGGTAAGAACAAGCCATTCAAACCGCGATCATTACGTTTAAAAAAAGTCACTTTATCAAAGTCAAGACGTCGAGCCTTTTCACGTGAACTAGCTTAATGAGAAGATCTTGGCAAATATCTTGCGCCCGACCAAAAACTACTTGAGCAAAACAGTATCATAAACCCCTATGAGGCTCTGAATCTAGCCATTCTAAATGCGGTAAAGCGTTTTAGAGCCGGTCAAAAAAATCTTTTTAAAACAGCAAGCCAAGCCATTCCAAATGCGGTCATCTTCTTTCATAAGATGTACAAGAGCTCAGCGTAACACTGGCGCAAAGATTGCGTCCGACCAAAAACGACTTGCGCAGTGTAGCTTCAAAAAGCATGAAAATCGAGCCATTCCAAATGCGACCCTTTTTCTAAAACTCACTAGCTGTACCTCTCGACGTGAACTTTCGGTTTCACATCAGGAGTCCGAGGCTTATTCGAAACAGCGGACGAGGAAGAAATGGGCCTCTTGAAGTCCTTTTCTTCTTCCGGCTCTTCGAATTTCATCATTTTCAGAATATCTTCTTTGGAAAATGGGTAGCCGAGGATCGTCAGCTTCTTGATGGCGACCTGGATCGATTGATTATTGATTTATCGATTGATCTAAACCAATTTATGAGGGTTCAGATTGCTTTCCAAAGGTTTATGGACCGTTATCCAAACGTATTGGCCGACAGCGTCGGTGAAGGCTTTTCTGAATATTTTTCCATATGTATTTCCTTTTTTTTGGACCTTCATCTGTCTAGAAAATTGGATATTTCAGGCAATTAGAGGTATAAAATGTCTCTAACCGTCTGAAACTCTCTTAACTTTGAGTGTTCCCTATCTCTAAATGACCTTGGCTAACTATTTTTCGAATTTCGACATACATAAAAATTCATTTTTCCTTTCTAAGAGAGGCTGAAGATTCCTTGTAATTGCCTTATTGTCCTTGGAGCGTAACTTCCTCGGAAAAATAAGCCAAAAAAGGTAAAAATTTTCATTTCGAAGCCTAGGAAGTTGGGTCTCTGTTACGCAACTTTGAGCATTTCAAGTGATCACTTGAGGGTTCTGACGCCACTAAAGGGATACCTAGAAATGCTCAAAAACTTTCCGGTTGATACAGTGATCCGAAAGAGATCTTTAAAAAGTTGTAATTCTCGTCGGAGCGAAATTTCACCTACAAAATGACTAAATTTAGGCTTTTTTTTTTGCTGAAACCAAAAATTTTAGGTCTATTTTCTGAACGAGCTTTTCAAGAGGTACATTTAAAAAGCTAAAAAATATTTTCCTTCAAACAAACTTTGTCTCCAGGCGGCTCATGCTCCTGCCGCGTTGATGGAACTCCATTTGGACCGGTTTTCGATATTTTGCCAATCTGGCATTTTTATAATCCGTCTCAAGGTTCACGTCACCCTGCCCGATACGAACCGAGACTTTTGAGGCTGAAAATTGGAAGTTTTCTAATTAGTTTGCAGAAAAAACTGGTCTTATTGAACTCAAAAGTGAATAAAAAGGTTTCCCAAGCTTACGGTAATCATTAAATGAGGAGATTCAATTAAGAAACTCATCCGATTACCTGTGACGCAGAAAAAGGTTGATAAAGCTTCTTTGTTTGGAAAATTTACTGTAATTATTGCTTAATTGAGTGCCTTTATGAACTTTTGAATAAGATAAGTAATGAGAAAGTGCAAAAAATGTTCTACACAACTCAGAGATTTGATTAAAATGTTCTCGAAGCAGAATACCTGAGAAAAACGCCTTTTTATGCAACTCAGACATTTTTTCTAACCGATTTCCTAGAGAATTCCGTGTAAAATCTTCACTCGAAGTGGCCGCTCTCATTCTGAGGCTTCCACCTAGAGCGCGATCTCCGGGTTCCAGCTACCACATCCGCTACATTCTGATCTCGTCAAGGCGCAACTGGATGAACTACGCGCAGAAGGACGAGGCGAACGCTTTCTACTCTTACGACTACACGTTTGGACTTCTAGTTCGCCAAAGGCGGTTGTTCGTTATAGCTTTTGAAGCTCTTGTTCACCGCCTAGTCGATTACATCAGACTAAAACAACAAAATAAATGATTTGAGAATCCTTCTCGGAACCCGATCATTTTAAAAAAATCAACAGCTAAAAAATATACTCTGGTTCTTTTGTAATTTTTTTACAATCAAATAGTTCAATTTCACCAGCAAACTGTTGAAAAATAGCATATCCCTTTTAAATCCAAAAAAAAAAAATGCAACTTTTGAACTAACAAGGAAGGTCGGAACCCTCCTGGAGGTACCAGAAGAAGATTCTCAAAGTCTCAACCTGCCAAACTATCTAGTTTTTGTAAAATAAGGGCTCAAAGCCTCAATAAGGCTTATTTCAACGGACTTTCAGGGTTCTCTTTGACTTCAAGGTGGTCTTTCCCAAAGACTAGGTGGTTGTGCAAGTTGAGACTTTCAAGATCTTTGTCTGGTACTTCAAGGAAGGTTCTGGCCGAATTTCAGGAGATTCCCAGTCGCAAAGTTTTGAATCTTACTCTGATCGCCTTGAACAATTTGATATCCCTCCACTTCACCTCAGACAAGCTATATCTGACATTCTGACCCTTCATAAAATTGTCTTCGGTATCGATCATTTTCCCCAGTTCGAACTTTTTGCCCTCAGGTCCAATTTAAGGCGAAATCCACTTCGACTGCGTTCTCAAGGTCAGTTTTCTAATGATTTTTTCTTTAAAACAATTCCTACTTGGAACAAACTCACTTCCAAATTTCAATTCAGCCACCACTCCAAGTCTTTAAAAAATTTACTGGTCAATCTACCATTCAGAAGAGCAGGCTGGGCAGCCTTCAACAACATCCGGGAAGTCACTAGCCAAATCAAGGACCCAAAGATACGAGCTCACATCTTCGAGGCATCAGTCATCCCCGCCCTGTCCTACGGATCCGAAGCTTGGCCAGACACCAAGGAGACCTCCTCCGCCCTAAGAACGGCATACCGCGCACTGGAAAGAGCTCTTCTCGGCACCACCCGATACCAACAATGGAACCAAAACCAGAGAAGCACAGACCTTCGGCAGTTATCCCAAATCAAAGACCTCGAAAAGCATATCAGCCGCGGCAAACACCGATGGGCAGGACATGTCATCAGAAGAACAGACGACCGTTGGAGCACAAGAGTATTATCTTGGATTCTCAGAAACACGAGGCGCACCCGCGGACGACCAGCGACCCGATGGGCAGACCACTTCAAGAAGAACATCAGCCGTCATGGACGCCATTGGATGACGTCGCCAGAGACCGGGATGCATGGAGGACGTGTGGTTCGCGCTGACTAGGGGAAGACCATTCCCCTAGTGAGAAGGAAGATCATCAGCGAAGACGAACCATCAAAGTATCAAAGTAAAAGTAATCTACCATTGCACGAGATCTTCTTGTCTATTCCTCCACGACTCAAATGATGCATAACTGTATAATTTATTTTCTCAATTTCTAGATCCAAGTGAACTCGTTAGGGTTCACGCTGATCTGTCAATAAATTATTAATTATTAAAAAAAGGTAAAATGACCTCCCTTGTGAGGGGTTCCCCCTTTCCTCGTTCCGCAACTTTTGAAATTTAAATGCCCACATTTCTGGCTGTAACCGAATCCCATAAATAACCCGCTCCATTTTATGGAGAGTCCAAGAAACATTAAACTCACGAATAAGGTCATCATCCGGCTCAATGACAACCTTGTACACGTTGGAGAGTTGCTCGAGGCCGATCACGATATCGATCGGGAATTTGTCACTGAATACAACTCAATGATATAAAACTATCTTGAAAATAAACTTCTAGAGACCAAACCGAGAAATTCAACTTTTGAGTAGAATATGCCCCTATTAAATTTAAATTAGGAGCTCAAAACTACAAAATTTGAGCCGCTAGTGACTCTCATCTTCTTTAAAAATTCACTTTTTCTGATTTTTGAACGGAAGTTATTTCTAAAAATCTTTTTTAATTTGAATCATCTTCCAAAAAATTTAATCACAAAAACCAACGTTGGGACGCTCTTGAACCTTCCGCCAGTAAATTCTTCCGGATAATGAGAGCCCAAAACCAAGGTTTTCCAATAGAGCTCTCTCAAAGCGACTCCTTTCCGTTTTTCCTCGGTCATTTTCTGGAAAAAGAATGCCCGTTCCTCATGATTCCAGTTGCCGAAAGATTAATGCGTAAGGGTCAATACGAGGCGCAACCGACTCAAAACGACTTGCGCCTTGGGATTAGAATCAAGCTGTTAGACCGCGTCGCTTTGAGCCATTCCAAATGCAACAGAGAAATTTCAAAATCGGCGTTTTGAAAAGTCAAGATAACAAGCTTATGATCTAGAAGACATAGAGCCCATGAAGGATTTCGAAATCTCAATATTTTCAAACTTGAAGAAGTTTTTTTGGCCATCCGTGAATCACTGAACTCAAAAAATTAGCACAACGTAGGAAATGCTCCAAAAAAAGAAAAAAGAATTATTTTTCCACTGCGTAACCTGGCTGCAGAGCCCTGTTGCTATGATCCAAAAGGCCTTTTTCGAAAATTTCAAAGTTCATAAGATTTGAAGAAGCTCGGGAAGACTTTTGGAAAACCAAGGAAAGTTACCAAAAAAATAATAGTTCATTCTAATTTTTCTATGAGCGCCTTGGAACAGAGACGTGAGAGGATTTTTTTTTAACGAACCCATAAATTTTAAAAGTTAAGGTAACTTTCGAAAAAAATTTATGAAATTAAAGGTATAATTTATGCTTTTTTCGGCCTTCAAAGCTTTATCATGACAATGTTCTTACTGCAGTTCGAATTCAAAACGTGAAATTACTTAATAACATTCAAGTCCCAAAATCCCAAAGGCGTTCTTTAAAACTAAATATGTTTTCCTTCAATTAATCGCCTCCGAGAAAACAATAAAAATCTAAAATTACTTCAATTTCAATAAATGAGGTCTCGTGACTAGACAAAAAAGTACTCGGACGATAATCGAGTAATTATTGAGGGGAATTCGTTTTTTTCATCCTTGCCGTTGTGATAATCCAAAAATCAAGTCTTCTTGAAGTTTCTTTTGACTATTTTCGATTTTTTTGGCCTTTAGTTCTCAGAAAAGTCAATGATGATTTTTCAGTGATATTAGATAGAAAGGCCTTTTTTTCTAAATGGTACAGTACCATTACGAATACAACCGAAAAACTTAACTAGTTTGATTTTTTTTTTCTCATCAGGAAATTCATTTTTTGGAAGTTTTCTGAACACTTCTTGATGTACCAGACCTACTCAGCCTGCCCTAATTCCTAGCTTTTGAAAAATGACAGCTCAAAGTCTGACAAACCCTGAAAATAAGTTAAAATGGGCTATTTTGGGTCTTTGAACCCATATTTTTCAAAAGCTAAAAAATTGTGCAGATTGATAGTTTCAGAATCTTCAGTCTGTGTTTCAAAAAGTGTTCTGGCAAATTTTTTTAAGATATTCCAAGCGCAAAAAAAAAGGCCTGTCCTTTTTTAAATAAAAGCTCATTTTTTTAAAGCGAAGACCGAAGCTTATCAAACCCCAAAAACACTAACATTTTTTGATTCCCAGAAATCAAAGCATTCTCACCAAGAAATTGACCCGTTTGATTTCAATTAACCAAGGTAAAGGCTCAGAAAACGCTGCTACGCTTAAAATAAGCTAATTTCAACAAATCAGGCGCTTTCGTCTCGTGACACTTCTTTAATGCAGACAAAGAAATCAGAGGATAATTGATTAATTAGTGAGGAAAACCGATTGTTTTTATTTCCTCAGTGTCGTCGCAACGCTTCAAAAACCACGCCTTCCCGAAGTTTCCCATTAGTTTATTATGAATTTTATTGCTTTTATGAGACAAATCTTTCAACACAGCTAGTAGGAAAAGATTTTTTTCAATTCACATAAAATTCCTTTTTTTTTAAACATTGACCTGTCGCTCGGAGAATGGCTCAAGGTGTGAAAGACGCGTGCGCCCGACTCAAAACTACTTGCGCTCAAGCTAAAAAGAATAAAGATCTCAGCGCGACCGCGACGCTTTTCGAATCATTCTACGTGCAACTAGAGATTTTCAAAACTTTCATTAAATATTGACCTGTCGCTCGGGGAATGGCTCAAGGTGTGAAAGACGCGTGCGCCCGACTCAAAACTACTTGCGCTCAAGCTAAAAAGAATAAAGATCTCAGCGCGACCGCGACGCTTTTTCGAATCATTCTACGTGCAACTAGAGATTTTTCAAAACTTTCATTAAATATTGACCTGTCGCTCGGGGAATGGCTCAAGGTGTGAAAGACGCGTGCGCCCGACTCAAAAACTACTTGCGCTCAAGCTAAAAAAAGAATAAAGATCTCAGCGCGACCGCGACGCTTTTCGAATCATTCTACGTGCAACTAGAGATTTTTCAAAACTTTCATTAAATATTGACCTGTCGCTCGGGGAATGGCTCAAGGTGTGAAAGACGCGTGCGCCCGACTCAAAAACTACTTGCGCTCAAGCTAAAAAAAGAATAAAGATCTCAGCGCGACCGCGACGCTTTTCGAATCATTCTACGTGCAACTAGAGATTTTCAAAACTTTCATTAAATATTGACCTGTCGCTCGGGGAATGGCTCAAGGTGTGAAAGACGCGTGCGCCCGACTCAAAACTACTTGCGCTCAAGCTAAAAAGAATAAAGATCTCAGCGCGACCGCGACGCTTTTCGAATCATTCTACGTGCAACTAGAGATTTTCAAAACTTTCATTAAATATTGACCTGTCGCTCGGGGAATGGCTCAAGGTGTGAAAAGCCGCGTGCGCCCGACTCAAAACTACTTGCGCTCAAGCTAAAAAGAATAAAGATCTCAGCGCGACCGCGACGCTTTTCGAATCATTCTACGTGCAACTAGAGATTTTTCAAAACTTTCATTAAATATTGACCTGTCGCTCGGGGAATGGCTCAAGGTGTGAAAGACGCGTGCGCCCGACTCAAAAACTACTTGCGCTCAAGCTAAAAAGAATAAAGATCTCAGCGCGACCGCGACGCTTTTCGAATCATTCTACGTGCAACTAGAGATTTTCAAAACTTTCATTAAATATTGACCTGTCGCTCGGGGAATGGCTCAAGGTGTGAAAGACGCGTGCGCCCGACTCAAAACTACTTGCGCTCAAGCTAAAAAGAATAAAGATCTCAGCGCGACCGCGACGCTTTTCGAATCATTCTACGTGCAACTAGAGATTTTCAAAACTTTCATTAGATATTGACCTGTCGCTCGGGGAATGGCTCAAGGTGTGAAAGACGCGTGCGCCCGACTCAAAACTACTTGCGCTCAAGCTAAAAAGAATAAAGATCTCAGCGCGACCGCGACGCTTTTCGAATCATTCTACGTGCAACTAGAGATTTTCAAAACTTTCATTAAATATTGACCTGTCGCTCGGGGAATGGCTCAAGGTGTGAAAGACGCGTGCGCCCGACTCAAAACTACTTGCGCTCAAGCTAAAAAGAATAAAGATCTCAGCGCGACCGCGACGCTTTTCGAATCATTCTACGTGCAACTAGAGATTTTCAAAACTTTCATTAGATATTGACCTGTCGCTCGGGGAATGGCTCAAGGTGTGAAAGACGCGTGCGCCCGACTCAAAACTACTTGCGCTCAAGCTAAAAAGAATAAAGATCTCAGCGCGACCGCGACGCTTTTCGAATCATTCTACGTGCAACTAGAGATTTTCAAAACTTTCATTAAATATTGGCCTGTCGCTCGGGGAATGGCTTGAGGTGCAAAAGCCGCGTGCGCCCGACTTAAAACTACTTGCGCTCTAGTATAATAATAATTAGATCCCAGAGCGACCGCGACGCGTTTCGAATCATTCTACGTGCAACTAGACACTTTCAAAACGTGTAGTATACCAAGAAGCTCAATATTTCTCTGCTCGCTCTCATTTTTTCGTTCTATTTGCATGTTTCTAGAAACCCTGCGGTGAGAGAAAAGAGGCTGCAGACAGGTCAGACTGTTTCAAGTACTGATGAATGAACTCCATTTCAAACAATCATTTTTTAACCCCGAAAGCTCTCCAGATTGAAAATTACTCATTAAGATCTCTGAAACGAGGAAAAGCCAGCTCAAAACCCAACTCATAAATCTCAACTTCTCCTTTTAATCAACCCTTTTCCTCGAGTTTACACGGAACTGATTCAATAAACCAACGCAAAGAACGGTGTTTTTTTGTTCAAATCTTTTCGAAAGCGAAAGAAAGTGATTAAATTCTTCAGTCGAAAAGTTGATTAGGGATAAGAGTCAGCCCAAAATCGAGTTAATATGGGCCCCCAAAAATTCGTTATGTCAGCTGAGGATTGGATTAATTTCGAGCCGATTGGTGCGCGGCTACTTTATTCTTTTCGTTTTTTTGGTTTTTCGTTGTAGATTTGGTGTTTTAGTTCTGGTTTTTATCTTACTTTTTACCTTAAAAGTTAGTTTTTTGATACGTTTTGATGCCCAAATCCGTTTTTAATTCGTTTCTCCCGACTTGGGACCTTCCAGTTGCATTTTGAATGGCCCAACAAGCTTATCCTTGATGCTGAAAACTATTCACGCCTTCTGGTATCCTTTAGTATATAAAACAAGTCGTTTAAAGTCGGGTGCAGTTGATAATTCCCAAAAAACGCAGCGCGACCGCAACGCTTCGAGCCATTCTACATGCGGTTGTATAAAAATGGCTCTAGCAAATGTTAAAAAAAACTCTTCCAAGCCATTTATTATAGTTTAAAGTTCATAAAGTCCTTAATTAACTTCTAATTACAGTACTCAAAACAATAGAACCAACTTTTTCACGTAACAATCCAATTAATTACCTTCCCAATTATCTCACCTTGCTGCAAATCGCGAATTTCCAGTTCAATAAGAACAACTTTTCTCTACTCTTATGCAAGCCAATGAAAACCTTCTAAAACATCTGTTGCCACGTAATTTTTCGAATTGAAATGTTGAGAAGGAAGTTACTCATTATTTTTTCGTCTGATGGAAAAATCGAGTTCCTGTTTCCGAATTTTTAAAAACCTTCGATTAAAAAAAAACACTGTAGAACCCATACATGGGCAGAACCTCTTTGGAGGCCCCTCCTCTCAATTTTTCTAAATTAGGGTTGATACCACCTCCCTGAGGCTTAAACTTGTATTATTGTGGCTGAAAGTGCCTTCCTGAGATTGAAATATTCTCAGTGGCCACTCTAGGGTTTTGACGTTTTAGTGGCCACTTTAGTAGTCGAGATACTGGTTACTTGAGTACTATAATGACCACTCAGACGTAGCTTCCATGGAGGTGGTCCAAGTGGTCACTTTAGTGTCCTCTCCAAGTAGCCCTTGAAGAACCTCTTAAGTGGCCACTAGAGTTTTTCCTAGTTAATCCTGATCTGACTAAGTTCTGTTCTTGCCCATCAACGGTAGAACCTCATTTCTCCGAATTTCATTCAGCTTCTTCAATACTTTCTTACGGACTTATCTGAAGCTTTTCTGGATTTTCAGACAGTTCTGAAACATTTGGAACTTATTTCTTCACAAAAATGGCGACGGTTGGGATCGTCGAGGTCCTATCAACTACGCCCATATATGTGGAAACCACTACCCCGTTTGTCGCCACAGAAGATCCGGTACTAATTTTATAGTTTTTTGAAAATTCCTAAGCCTAAATTTCACAATAGTCTCTCCATATACACATTTCTTTATTATAAAAAAAATTTCTTTCAATTAAGCTTAAATAAATCATTTTTATTACAGGGAAAACTCAGTCTAGTCATAAATGACTCATTGACAAACCTGGATTTGGATTCTGGAGAATATGTTCCAATAATCGTCGCCGCTCTATGTTTCGCCGTGTTAATTGCCACTGGAATCATCGCCGTCAGCCTTTTTGTGCTCGTTTTTGATCCGAGGACGGAGGAAATTTCAAGAAGTTCTGAAAATATAAATAGAAATAGAAGAAAAAAAGAGTTAGAAAAGAAAGTTTGAAAAAAACTAAAAAGTTGAACAAATTAAAAATTAAAAAAACGCGCTTTTCTGCAAGTGCGTCGGCGTGTCTGCGGAGTTGAGTACCGTATGACCTTTTTTTCTTCAAAAAAATAATTTTTTTCAAAGTTATTTTTTTCAAAAATTTTTTTAGCTTATTACTAGCTTACATTTAGATAGGATTTTTGAGTAGCAAATAATTTTTTCTCATCAAATTCATTGAAAAAAAATTTTTTTATCAGTATTTATTGAAGAAAAACGACTCAAAACCTAAAAAAAAAGTCTAGACACATATTTTTGGACCAACATCACCAGCGAAAGCACGGTTGAGCAAACAGTGAAGAACTGGAAACGAAAACATAAATTGCAAAAAGAAACTGCCCACAGACGGGATCGAACCGTCGACCTTCTGTTTACGAGACAGACGCTCTACCACTGAGCTATACGGGCTGGTGTCCCAACCACACTAGGAATGTGTTAGCTTTCCAAAATCTCAAATAAAACATATCTCATCTGTTCAAACATGCAAGTGGATGACAAGTTTTTAAAGAACGGATTAACGCATCGCAGCCTCTATAGCTCAGTGGCAGAGCGTCTGTCTCGTAAACAGAAGGTCGACGGTTCAATCCCGTCTGGAGGCATTTTTTTGCCTTTTTTCAATTTCTGATTTCAGTTCCCGTTTTTCGCGATCGTCTACCATTTGACCGTCGCCAACGCGATTCATATGCTGATTCTGGTCTCCACAGTGCTACCAATCATGCTAATCGAGGTTCGTTCTTTCGTTCGATCTCTGCTTTTGCAAAAAGCTAAAGTCGCGCAGAAATCTAATCGTCACGGCGCGTTTTTCGATCTGCAGAGGGCTTAATTGAGTATATTTTTCAAAGAAAAACAGATGATTTCTGGTGTTTTTAGATGATTTACGGCTCAGACTCTAGCGAGTAGTACAATTTGTAACTTAATTTGTTGATTTTATTCTTTATTCCTGAAAAAGGTGTAGGAGGTGTAAATAAGTACGAAACGGCACGAGGTGATTCAAAGTTTCAAAGTGCTTTAATTAGTTTTGAAATTGTTTACGATTGGATGAGGATCAGAAAACAAATTGACAAAAAGGTTCTGTCCTGAAGAGGATTCGAACCTGTGACCTTTTTGGTATCGTTTTTAGGATTGCTATTCGAGTTATGTAGTTGAAAAATCATCTCTGACCATGAACAAAATAAATGCAGTCGCTTATTAAAAATAAGTTCTGAGAAAAGAATCGTAGCCGAGTGGTAAAGTTCCCTCTTGGCAATAAAAAGGTCGTTGGCTCGAATCCAACGTGCGTTTTTACACTTTTTTGAAAGCTATGAAGTTAAAAAAACATTTTTTTTTCAATTTTTGCCAGTACTTGCGTTTTATGTCCAATAGTCATAAGGTAGAGTGTTATCCTAGCGGTCAAAGAGTTCCTGGTTCGACCCCCGGGTGCGTTTTTTTGCCATTTTTCTTTCAGTTTCTTGATCTGCCAGCTTTGAAATTGTCTCAAAAGTTTTTTTTTTTCAAATTTTTCCAAACTTATTTTTGATTCTCTCTTCAGGTAGAGTGTTTGATTGGTAATCAAAAGGTCATTGGTTCGATTCTTACCTCCTTTTTTGCCATTTCATCAATCTTCCCCTATTTTCAGGCATCAGAAGACACGCCTCAGCGAACCTGGTATCAATGGGGCTCCAGAATATTGATGGTCACCGAATATGGATCTTTATATTTCACACTTTTGATGACAATCAATCGATTTGCGGTTTTCGTTTGGCCCAGTTTACTTTTAATTTTTAGCAAGTTCGTCTCCATTTTTTTTCTTTTTTCAATGAAAATTTCCAGAAAAGGAATCCATCTAATGGCGGCTTTTGTATGGGCCTATGTGATCTTCATTGTTTATTGGAACGTAAATTGGGGAACAGTAAAGTCGTTTTCGAAGAAGAAAATCGCCGTCAATGAGGTCTTGCTGGGAACTAATGAATTGACCAGTGTAAGCTTTTTCAAAAACTGTTTAAAATAGAAAATCTACCACTAAGCTATAAAAAAGGCAAGTATTCTCTGTCTTTGTTTGAGCAGATGCGCTCACCATAGAAACGCGCGGAATGAGGAGGAACCTGACTCAATTTGAACTGGTTGCCTGCCGCCAGCCCGTATAGCTCAGTGGTAGAGCGTCTGTCTCGTAAACAGAAGGTCGACGGTTCGATCCCGTCTGTGGGCAGTTTCTTTTTGCAACTTATGTTTTTGTTTTCAGTTCTTCACAGTGTGCTCAACGGTGCTTCCGCTGGTGATGCTGGTCATGTACGGCATTATTTTCGTGTTTATCATCAAGAAACGGATGATTGTTAGCAGTGATAAGAAGACAGAACGGGATAAGTCCCTGCTTTGGCAGGCGCTGATAGTCACTCTTTCTTTAGAGGTAATTTTTATATTCTTCGAAGTTTTTTTTTTGATTTTATGCATAAAGAATGATTTCGAATAACCATGATTTTCATTACAAATTTAGCTGATGAATATCACCGATATGGTCACACCATTCTTGAAGTTCGGCACGACTTGGGTTCAATGGACATGGACCATCGTTATTTATTCGTGAGTTTCTTATTATTTTGAAAGGGTGGAGCATAAAAATGACGTCATAAGGGTATATGCGCTCTCCTAGAAGCTTTTTAGAGCATATCTTGCATTATTTTGAAAAATAAGTTTTAAAAAAATTGTTATTATTCGCTCCTCTCATGACGTCATAGTTCGTTTCTGCATGAATTCCAACAAGCCACGCCCATTTTTGATATGACGTCACTATTTGAAACTTCAATGACTTATTTTTTTACAGTTTTCTCGTATAAACTAACGTCAAAAAAACACTAAAAATGAATACTCGGTTTTTTTCTGAAATGACGTCATTTCAAAGCTTAAAAATATCTTATTCTCCGATGACGTCATGATCATTCATTTTAATCTTACAAATTCCAGAATATCGATCCTAAATCAACTGGTCAACCCAGTGATGTTCCTGCTGACGAACAAGATGGTTCGCGGGATTCTGTGGCACATGTTCGACAAGAACTTCTCCAAGTTCCTGTCAGAATCGTCGGAAGGGAGGACGCGTCGAGGCGCCGGACCAGCCGCGGTTCGACGCCATCGCCCAATCCTCGGCTCTTTTTTCCGCGGCATTCAGCGCCAATATTTTGGTCGTCTGCTTGGCACTGCTCCTAACACTTTGAATCCGAACGCCAGGGATACTATTGTAACGTTTTGATAGTGACGTCAGAAACTGTTATTGAGTGACGTCACTTTTGAAATTGATGTGAAAATGACGTCAGTGTTGAAAAATTCATCTTTTTTTTCCATTTTTTTCGTCAAAAGTTAGCTCCAAGCAAAACTACCTTCTCGATTCATGAAAAACCGTGCTGTGACGTCACAAACTAATTTTTTTTTAAATTTGTTTCTTGGAAAAATAGAAGCTGGTATCTATTATCATTGCAAATTTATTGCCAACTCTTGTGAATTTTTTTTTCTTGTACAGTCTGTTGTGAATAAAGATTTTCTTATATGCATTCTGGTCGCATTTGAACTGACTTATATATCGTTTGTTTTGAAAATAAAATTCAGATTTTGACTCTTCTATATTTTTCAAAATAGTAATTTTCTCTGACTTTCATAGTAATTATTTTGAAGATCTTCAAAGTTTCAAAAATAATAGATTCGTGCGCAGATCATTTTTTTTCACGTATAAATAAATATTCTTTAAATAAAATTTTGATACGGAGAAAAATGCTTGTGAGATCTGAAGAAGAGCTCATTAAACACCAATTACAACTAAACCCAGCTTTGTGATACTATGAAACGACAGGGGAACAACCCTCCTCTTTTTCTAAAACAACAAAAAAGAGCTGCCTCCAGACGGGATCGAACCGTCGACCTTCTGTTTACGAGACAGACGCTCTACCACTGAGCTATAGAGGCACCGGCGCACCCAGTCTCCCTTTGCCGAGTTAGCAGTCGTTTACTTCTTTGCACAGATGACAGATGTTTGCAATTTTACGGAAAGCTGCTTTATTGATAGCATGAACGTAAAAAAGATTTTCCCTGGTTTTTAGATTTTTGTTGAGGTTTTGTAAGAGGTGTAGCAAAAATCTAGTTGATTCGAGCGCGTCGTTTTCCATTTTTTAAACACTCGAATTTTTGTCACCTACGAGGTAGGTTATGATTTTTCAAACGCATTGTTTCAAGTTTATTACATATGCATTCTCAGAAGACCTCAACCAAAACCTCCTAACCTAATCAAAAAAACACTAATATTTAGTCAACTTGAGAACTTTAACAAGTCATATCTTATCTTGTAAGTAATTAAATTTGGGACTGAAAATTTTAAAACGATGCAAACTTATCACTCTCAAAAAACCTCAACTAAAAGCTGGAAATCAAGAAAACCCCTGATTTTCAGTCAATTGGAGAGCTTAGAATAATCATATATTGGCTTGTAAATGATCAAAATTCGTGTAATTGTGACTAAAAAACTCAGAACAACGACTGGATTTTCCTAGAAACTCAGCAATCCCAGAAGACTGCAACAAAAATCTCACAATCAAGAAAATTTTTTTCAATTAAGCTCAAACCCAAATGAGCTAAAAAAATTTTTCTTGAATAATTTGAAAATCTTGGCCTGTGATTGATCAAAATTCGAGTATTTAAGACCCAAAACTCAAAACGTCGCGCTTGATTTACCTCGAAACCAAGAACTCTCAAATACGTTAAAAAAGCCAAAATTAAAAAAGGGAAAGGTCTTTGTTGCGTTTTGGGTGATCGGCGGTAGCCTCCGCGGGAGCTACTTGCTAAAATGAGAGTAATCGAGATTTAATCAGTCAAAAATTTACATTCCTTAACATTTTAACACAAAAACCGTTGTGTTCAATAAGTAATTAATTTCCAAAAATGAAACTTTCCACTAATGGAAATATTTTGATTTTCTGATTTTCGAATTGAGAGCTCCCGTTAGCGTCTGGTGAGGTAAAAGGTTAGAAAATATTACTGACCAGGGGACGTTTTTACCCCCCGGTTGAACTTTTGCTGAAACAAGTGTACTTTAGGACCCCCTGATTGCAAATCAAAAAGAAAATTTCTCGCAATAGATCTTTTCTTCGAATTATGGAACTTCAAAGTGTGCAAAATACGCAAGTTAGGCCAAAAAAGCGCTAAAAAACGTTCCCTAGTGAGATTGACAGTTCCCTACCTAACGTGACTTTCCCTAGAAGAACAAGATTTTCTACGCGCGGTTCTTGTTCAACGACAGTTTCTGAATTCGGAATCAGCGTGAAAAACTACGCATACTGCACTCTATACTATCTGAAAGTTGCAATATGAGCGTCCCCCCATTCAGAGCTCACCTTTCGTATCCCTCAACGCTTCCATACATTAGAAAGAACAAATTTCAATCGCATCGGCAGTAAAGATTTGAACCGTGTGAATGGGAAAATGATGTTTTACAGGCATTTCAGCGTCTTCTCTCCCCCTTCCCCTTTTTGTTCAAACTCGCAGCTGCGCGCGCGTTCTTCCACCTCTTCTTGGCTCTTCCAACTCGACTTTTTATCCATTTTCGATCTCATTTCATTCAAGTCTGTATACTGTCATTATTGAACGAATAGTTACAAAAATATTCAGAAAGGAAAAAGCGAAATGCCTTTGAAAAATAAACTTAAATGATATGTTTCTTCATTACTCACCTGGAAAAGTAGACTATGAATGATAAAATAGGCGCTTTCGTTTAAACTTCAGACTTCCATAACCCTCTGAAAAAATGAGAAAAATTCAAATATATACCAATAAAGAAACGAAAACCAACACGAAGAAGAATAGAATAAATATCATTTTACAGCAAATATTTTTTCTAACGCCGTGTTCAAAGTAATTTCCACAAAATTCAAAATTATAACTGAATTCCCAATATTCAATTTTCTTTTACTTTCTCTAACGGTCTTTTTTTGAATTTCGCAGAATCATTTAAACATCAAACAGTGAAGTAATGGAGAAAAAATGTGGTAAGTCTATTTAAATTTATATTTTACAAGCTCTTCTTGTCTTAGGGAATTTATCTTTAGCAGGTGTCGAAAATATGCCTGAACTATTATAAAAAGTTCTAAAAATTAAAATAAATAACCGAGTTAAAAATAAATAACTTAAAAATAAAAAAAATTGGAAACAAAAAACAAAAATTTTAGGACAATTTACGCGTCCCGCAAACACGTCGACGTAGAAAGTAAGAATGCGCAGCATGACGCGCAAAAAAGTTTTTCATTTCATTTTTTATTTTCAATCTGCGTTGGCATTTTATTTCACTGTAGGGAAGTTTAAAAATAGCTTCTATACTTTTTGCTGTTTTTTTGTCTTAACCTTTTCTCCCTTTCGACCTTCTTCTCTTTTCAAAAAAGCCAGTTTGTTTGAAACTTATTTCCAGTTTTTCAGGATGATGTTCCCGGTATTCAAGGCTACTTGGCAGGCGTATCTAAGGCTTATAAAGCACCATTTTCTTCACACAACACGTCGTGAGTTGGAATTTAAAAAATGGAAGAAATACAAGGCTTTACGAGCATGTTTAACCGCACTAACTTTTTGAAAAAAGTTGATAGAATTTTATAATTGTGCGCAAATTAAGACCCAAGATACTTGAATTGCTTCAATTTTCTCCTTTTTTTCATGATGAAAAATTATTCTGTGTGTCAAAACAACAAGCTGATAAAAATCAACCATTTTTTTTGCCGAAAATCACTGATTTTTATCATTCACCGCAGCCACTTTTATCACTCCGACCTTTATCACTCTGCTCATCAACCCTCCAACCAGTTGTTTGCTCCCAATTTGCTCATTACGCTTTCAAAATTGATTCCAACGGATTATCATGGCATTTGTCCCTGACTTTGGGCTTGGCTAGCCTTTTCACGAAACAGATTTTCACTACTATCACGAAGGCGGATGGCGGTCAGTTTCTTTTTCCGAAATTTAGTTGATAAATTGATTTGTCAAGAAGTTATGAAATATTTTGAGTGAGACCATTACTTAATTTTCAATGACTAGTTCCTTCAAAAATTTTAATTTTCATGAAATTGTCTCACTTCTCTGCGCTCCCTTTCCCCTCGACAAACTTAAGAAATTTAGAGGGATCCCTATAGGTGTTAGATGTAAAACAGCCCCTATAGGGGTAATATCAAGGTGGTCCCTAGTGAGGGTGTGACCTCTTAGCCCCTAAAGCTTGAGTGGTCCCTAGAGGGGTCTTACGGTTTTTTTTTTCAAAACACGCTCATTTGTATAGTTTTTCGCATGGGAATGCTTTCGTAAAATTTTCGACTAACATGTCCTCCATAGGGGCCACTAACTAAAACCCCTATAGGGACCACTTTTGCAAGCCTTAGTGACCCCTATAGCGGTTGGTAAAGTGGTCCCTAGAGGGTTCCCTCCACAGGCTCATAATTTTGCCCCTATAGGGACCACTCTGGAGTTCCTAAGAAGCTCTCATTTTCCTATGATACTTTCCATTTTTCTCTGACCGGTGAGAGAAAAGAGGGCGCAGGCAGGTCAGACACGGTCGCTTTTTACATAATTATACTTTTTTTTCAATTTTTCCCTTTCCTTATAGCTAAAACTTCATGGAGAAAATCGGAAAAAGTGGAAAAGGCTCCATAGAAATGTCCCTTTTAGGGTGACCAGGGCTCCTTTTTTGCGCCATTTCATCGGTTTTATGCACTATTTTTGCTGCCTCCTCTTTTTTCCACCGTTTTTGAGCCTTTGAAATTCCAGGAAAAATGGAAGGCTTGATAAAGGGACTCTTTTTGCAGCCTTTCTGCGGCCTTTTTGCGGCCTTCCTGCGGCTTTTATCCAATATTTTCGATTTTCGATGAGTTCCTAACCCAACTTATTAATTTAGAAAAATACAGACCTGCCCAGTTTCATTCAAAATCCCCTCTCTTCAGCCCTGGGATGGATTGCGGCAGTCCCATTCGCCTTCCACATCGTCGAGCTCGTCGTGGGCATCTACATCCTTCGCGACACTCAGGCCCAGGAAATCATCAAAGCGACTTTCGTCCTGTTCAACGTCACCTCGGCGCTCAGCGTCCTCTACGGCGCCAACTTCGCCTTTTTCGCCATCGACTTTGCCATCTACATCGCCACGTATCGATGCGTCTTCTGGCTCCTTCTGATGACCCTCGGAACCTACGGCTTCGTCGCTGGTCGGGTTAGAATACCGAGGTGATTTTGGGAAAAGAGCGATTGAAAAAATTGATAGGAAAGTTGTCAATATGGCGTCAGAAGTGTACAAAAATCGATAAGAGATTTTTAAAACTCGAATATCTTCTTTAGAACGCCAGAGTAGTCCCTATAGTGGCTAGGGAAAAAGGCAGGACAACAAAGTGATCCTTTTAGGGGTGAAATTCAGGTGGTCCTTTTAGGGGTTTTTTAAATTTTTGTCCTTTTTAAAAAGGCAGCTTCTAAAGGGGACAACAAAGTGATCCTTTTAGGGGTTGAATTCTAGGGGTTTCAAAATTTTCTCTGACATGCTTCCCTAGAATGGCCACTAACTAAAAACCCTATAGGGGTCACTTTGCAAGCTTTAATGACCCTATAGGTGAAGTGGTCCCTGAGGATGTCCCTATAGGAATCACTTTAGGGTTCTCACGTCTATGGGCACTTTTTCCGGTTTTTCTTTATCTCTGACATGCTTCCCTAGAATCGCCACTAATCAAAAACCCTATAGGGGTCACTTGTAGGTAAAAGGGTCCCTAAGGATGTCCCTATAGGGACCACTTAGGGTTCTCACGTCTATGGGCACTTTTTTCGGTTTTTCTTCCAAAAAATGAATTTTTCCAATTTCTAGTCATGCACTCATGCGTCAAAGTGTATGCACACTATAAGCATTTTAATTCACGATATTATTTTCAGACTCTTCAACCGTCCCCTCCCGAACGACGTCGAATTCATCTCCGCGGCGACGTTCCTCTGGGGGATCGTCAAATTCTTGCAGATCGACATGTTGACCATCTACCAGAATTACACGCTGGAACGGCTCAAAAACCTCCCAAAAACCTAACTTTTCCCAAATTTTAACTAACTTTTCAAATTCGCATATAATGCACCCCGCCGGTTTCGTGAAAAACGGTTAACTGTTTTTTTTTCCTGTCAGTTGTTGATTTTGCCATAAATTGTATTGGATTAAAGCAGGTTCATTCGCAGATTATCACAATTTGAAGAAACAGGCGTTAGATGACGTCATTTGCACATGGTGGCGTCGATTTGGTTGACCTGCGGCAGGGCGAGCATCACCTTGCGACGGTAACCGGTCCGGTCGGCCGTGTAGATCGGGTTCTGCTCCAGGTAGACGGTGTCGAGGACAGGTAGAGCCCGGAGTCGGTCAACCTCCGTCCAAGACTCGATCCGGTTGTCGTTGGCCTGGAAAAGCCCAGAAAAATGACCGCATTTTGGAATGGATCAGGTGTTGCGGCCTGCGTCGCGGTTTTCTGACTTTTATATCGTGTTCAAAGTTTTTTCGGCGACTTCAAAATTTACGCGATGTACATTTTTTGAAAAAATTATTTCACGATATACGGAGAATTGGAGTTCCAGGATAATAAGGTCCTACGAGACTGCGACTTTTACGCGGGAAACTCAAAAATTTGACATCACTAAGAAATTCCAGAGTGGTCCCTATAGGGGTTAGGGGAGAAAACAACCCCTATAGGGGTCGGAAAAGTGGTCCCTAGAGGAGTAAAGTTGAGGTGGTCCCTATAGGGATTTAGGGTCTGACCCCTGAGTCTCTAAACCTCAAGCGGCCCTATAGAGGCTTCAAATTTCATTCAAAAAAAGCTTATTTATTTCGTTTTTCGCATGGAAACGAGTTCATACAAATTGTCGAATAGAATGTCCACTACAGGGACCACTAACTGAAACCCCTGCAGGACCCATTTTGCAAGCCTTAGTGACCCCTATAGGGGAACCCTACAAATACCTCAAGGTAGCCTCTACAGGGACCACTCTGGAGTTCCTACATAGGTAAAACGGAAAAGTTCCTTTGAGGATCCTTAAAGTATCCTGAGAGGGAGATAAAAAGCTTCCTCTAAAAGCTCCTAAAATTATGTAAAAAAGCTTTTGAGCACCTTTTTCATAGCCTCAGAGGATCCTTTTTGAATCATCTCGAATCTTTTCAGTTGTTTTCCAGCATCCTTTTTGTTAGAGGATGTGAAAAATATGGAAAAAAGAAGTGAAACGATATAAAAAAGATCTGCTGGGGACCAATTCAAGGTCTTTTTTTTTGAGAAAAGCTTTTGGGGAGCTTTTCAGTTTTGCCCGAGTAAGCACTTTGAAATTTTTTAACTAAAACTTTAAACTCGCGCGTCCATTTTTCGTTGTAAGACCCTTTTTTTTGCGTATTTCGCGGAACCATTTTTTAACGAAAAGCGTCCGAAATCGCTTTCAACATGACCCTATGAGTAACAGTTAGATTGAACTTTCTTAATCGCGTGAATTAATGAATAAATTTTTCGATTTTTTCTTTTCCCTTGTGAACTTTCCAACAGCGAAGTTTCCGAAATATCGATTTTTTTTCGGATTTTTCATTATTTCAAAAACTTTGGATCGTCCTAAAACTTTTAATCGAGATTTTTGTGCTCTAGTTTCTCACAGATACGACCACCCAAAGTGTAAAAATGATCATGTTTTCAACTGGAAAGGTCTCGAATTGATAAGAATCAAAATACGGAAAAGTGCAAATTCGGTGTTTTTTTGCAAGTTTTGAACTAAAAATAAAGATTCTAGGCTCTCAATTTTGAAATTCAAAAAATAGATCTTAAAAAGTTTTCACTGAACGTTTTCGTTTGAAAAACACAAAATTCTACATTTTCTCACCCAAAAATCTTCCAGTGCCGTCAGATTTTCGATTCCTTCCGTTGTGGTAATCTCGTTCTTGGCCACGTCCAGGATCTTCAACTTTTTCTGAAATAATTCATTCAAAAAGGTTTAAGAAAATAAAAATCTCACAGAATTCGAAAGGCCAGCCAAATTGGTCAGCCCCTGCTCACTAATGTACAATTCTTCGAGCTCTGTCAAATTGTCGATATTTTCGATTTTAACGATTCGATTTCCCTGAAAACCTTCTCAAAATTCATATTCTACACCAGAAAAACGCCTACAGGCAAGCTGAAAACTCTCAAGTTCACAAGGTCGGAAAGTCCTTCAATTTCGCGAATTTTATTCTTTCCCAGGTACAACTCCCGCAAATTCTTCAAGTTGGACAAGTTTTCAATTTTCTTGATCCTGAAAGAAAAATATTTTCGAATTTTTTGAAATTTGTACACGCACCGATTATCGCCGAGTTCCAAAAGTTCCAACGCCGTCAAAGAATCCAAATTTTCGATGACCGGTATTTTATTGTGGACCAAGTACAAATGAGTGAGGTTTTTGAGAGTTGAGAGGCCTTTGATTTCACGAATCCTGAATGGAAATTTGTTAACAATGAAGTTTCATTGTGATTTTGACAGAAGAAAAGACTTTAAAAAAATTACAAACTTCAAAAAAATTTAATCAGAAAAACTTCAAAGCAAATCTTGAAATTATCCTGAAAGTTTGAAATTCAATTTTTTTGGTCTTATAATTTTTAAAAAAATTGAATTCTAATGGTCTAACTTTGATATAAAGAAGTTAAAAAAATTGAATATCCTGGATAAAAAAACAGAATTTCTAGCAAAAATGAAAAAAATGAAATAAAAATAACAAAACCCTTCAAAAAGTTAAAAAAATCGAAAATTTCTAGAAAAATCGACTTTGAAAAAAAGTTTTTTTAACATGAAGAAAGCTGAAATATCGAAAATTTATAGGGTAAATGAAAAATTTTTTTTTGAAAAAAATTCCTCGAAAAAAATACCCATTTTTTTCAAAAAGCAAAACTTCAAAAGGAGAAGTTACCAAATTTATTTGAAACTATGAACTTCCTTAAAACTTTCATATTTTTTTAAATTTATCCAATGACACAGTTACACTAAGAGATGAATCCAAAAAATTACTAAAAATTTAAAAATTAGAGGTTCCCTTAGCCATCTATGAACTTTGAAATATTGAATCCAACCTGTTGAAACTCAAATCAAGCCTTTTCAAGCTGACCAACGGCTCCAAATTGGCAATTTCCGTGATTTGGTTCTCATAGAAGTTGAGTTCAACCAAATTTTTCAAACAAAGCAGGTTTTCGTTGATCGAAGTCATCAGATTTGTTCGCATGCACAGCTCCTAAAAAAATTTAACTATTATTATTATTATTCTTTGGGATTTTAAACAACCTCAAGGACTAAAAAAATCGCGACAAATCTGGAATCGCATCAGCTCTTGTCAGTGTCAAATCAATCACCTTCATAAAAAAATTATATATTTTTGTTTTTTTATAGTTCTTACAGTTTCAGAATCTGTAAAAGCCGCCAAATCGAACTGATTTTTTTCTTCACCGGCGTTGAAGCTTCCCCAGAGACGCTGGGATTCTCAATATCCGGCACTTCGATTCTGCCATTCTCTAGAAATATTTATTATATGCAAAAAAAGTCAAGAAGAAGACACATTATACACGTAGAAGGAGCAAAAAAACGAATGAAAAAAATGAAGAAAGGAAATATTTTTTTAAAAAGTTTAAAGTAAATTCCAATTATTTGAATAAGAACTGTTTTTTACAAAGATACTTAAAAAAACAACTCTTTGAACTGTATAAAAAGATTAGGGTAAGCTTCAAAAAGGTTTCATGACGGATAAAACTTTTCAGTGTTATTTTCGGTCATGTGAAACTTCTGCGCCTTCAAATAGGACCTTGACGTGGCTGAAGATAAGAAAAATCGTGAATGAACCATGAATAATAAAACATATAGCTGAACTAAAATCCTAACTAAAAGGATGAAAAAAATTCTAAACTTCCTTGAAATCGGACAAAAAAAAAATCAATTTTTGCGCTCGAACGGGTCCTTCCAGACGTTTTGGCCGTGGGCGAGTTCTTCTTTTGTGGCTCGTAATAAGGCACGTTCCTCCTTCTGCGCCTGTTTGTAGTAGTCGTGGTTGACTTTGGGGTAGACGGTGACGGCGGAAACTGCCGCGCCGGTGATGATCAACGTGACGACGACGGCGACCGTTCCAAGGGAAGGCCGTGAAAATCGTTGAAACACTGGGAATTTGTTCTTGACAGCCAGCCAGAACGGCACTGGGGCTCCTGCTGGCACGCGCATCTTCTGAGCTAAGACCATTTTTAGAAGTTGATTCAAAATAGCTTCTCAAGGCCTTCAGAAAAAACTGAATTCGCAGCAATTTTGCTTATCAAAAGGGTATAAGCCAATGCATCAAAGTTAAAAAAGAAAAAGTAGGCAAAAAGTTAACTGTCGCTTTGAACACTTAAAAACCTCTTCCCGATGAATCATGAAAAGCTACAGAAATCGTCAAAAACAGCCTTGAAAAAAAAGGTAACAGGTGGTTTTTTTTTTAGCAAACTCTTTTGTGATTTTGAACAAAACAGAAATTCAATAAAATCTACAATCCCCTGAAAGTCAATATCATCGGAACTGATAAACAAGAAACCAGGAGAAGCTTGTGATAGACAAAGAAAAATATGGTAAAATTAGGAAATAAACAAAATTTCGAAATGTTTGCAACGTGCAATTTTGCGCCGAGTTCAATGCAACTTCCGCATTCACGGGCGCCATTTCGAGCGCGGCATCTTTTTTTTTCGCCTCGAAGTTTTTTCAGTCTTTTTGAAATTTTGAAATTGTTTTGTTGTTCTTTTATCAATCAGAATATTATTCAGGGCTTCAACCGTTTATGACGAACTTTTGCCGCACGCTCGGAAAAGCAGTGAGTCATTTCTTTGTCTGAAATCGTTGTTCTTCTTTTTTGGGAATACTTGAAGTTGTCCGCTGCTGATTCCCTTGCAGCCATACGTGGTTCAGGCGGTTCTTTGTTTACGAATATGAAGCCCAACAACACTCGTAAGAAAAATATGTTGTTTTTGATTAATAATATTTTTTTAAGATGAGGAAGATGAAGATGGAGTTGAAGAGCAGGTGGAGCTGGACAGACCGGTCTCGCCGGCCCCTGCTGCTGAGTCGGCAGATACAACCGAGCCACCGGCCGGCGACGGACTTTCCGAAGAAGTTTTCGTCGTGGGCAAAATCCTTGACCACAAGTTCAAACGTGGCGATCTTATGCTGAAGGTATTGTACATGGAGAACTCAGAGATTTCAATATTCATCTTTTTCGAAAAAAATCAGTGATAGGAAAGAGTTTTTTCTTCACTTTGTGCCAGTAATCTAAAAAAAAAACCCCTGCTTGATTTGCGAAGAAAGGTTTGCATTTCAGACATTTCTTTATTTTTTATTTTGGCGGGAAAGTCTTGTATGCCTTAAATAACACAGTGAAAGGGTTTTCGTCGCAAAACCTTGTTGAAATTACGAGATGCGCCTTTAAACTTTCCGACAATTTTATAGGAGCTCTTTTTTTTTCGTTTTCACATTAGTTGCTTTTTTATCGATTGCATCATTGTAAACATTCGTAATGTTTCAAATTGATTCACCGTAAAAACCTTAATTGAATGTTGAACACTTGAATATAGCCTCATTCTGCTTTATGGGGAATTCAAAGTAGAAGTATAGCATGAGTTATGATAAACTTTTAGGGCTCTTTTCTATAAGAATTTTAAAATTTGCCTTTTAAGCAATCCCGCACCGGTTTCGCAACATTTGTAGCTTCTTCTAATTTTTTTACTCTGAAATGACTCAGCTTTTCCCCTTGTAGGTCTCCTGGGAAGGTTACTCGGCGGAGCATGATACCTGGGAACCCGAGGAAAATATTGCCACCTGTGCCAAGGAGGCCATCGACGACTACATGTTCACCCTTGACGACTCGGAGCGCAATAAAATTGCCTCCGAGAAGCAAAAATACCTTGAAAAGGAGGTAGAATCATGGAAAGGCGCTGGGATCTTCAACATGAGAATTTTCAGCGCCGTCGATCCGAGAAGGCTGAGCGAAAGAAGCATGAGAAGAAGGAGAAAAGGAGTAGCGCCAGGTTGAGCGCCACCCCGACTCCTAAAAGGTGCAGTCTTACCTGAATCCTTGGGGAATAAAGTCTGAATTCAGTGAGAAACGGCGCGGACGTCCGCCAAAGGAAGACGGGAAAGCGGCCGACGAAAGTGGCGACTATGAATCGTTCCTGAAGAGCTCCTCGAAACGCAAGCGTCGCGATTCCGGCTCTTCTGTGTTGGTTTTAATCAGATTTATAGACCTGATTTTTTTCAGAAGTTCAATTTTTTTGCAGAGAGAAGTTGGGAAGAAAGATTGTTCTTGGCGAAATTCCAGGCCCCCCATAAGGCAAATTTCGAGGGGGCGGGTGGAAATCAGAGACCTTTTAATGGGGGAGGCTATATCTCATTCTAAAATTGCCCCCACAGTGTTAAGTTGGGGACGATTCTAAAAAAACAATCTTGAAGAATACAGTTCTAGAATCCCTCCTCCCCTCCACCATTCTAGAAGCCCCCCCCCACAACATACTAAACTACCAGTTCAACGAAAATTTAAAAAAACTACTGGAAAACAACCAGCTCCTGTCGAGTATATAGTATACATGCCTGGGAGGGGGGCATTCCGGACTAATATCCACAAATTTTTCATCAGATTTAAGCTATAATTTTTACTTTTTTACTGGGAAATCTGTTGCTTTACAACAAACTAGTGTTTTATATTAATAACTTCTTCAGAAAAATAAAACTTTTCTTTTCAGCTCTTCGAAGGACAGCGAGTTCGAGCCCAAGAAAAAGAAGTCGAAGCGAGATAAGGGGTGAGAATTCGAAAAAAATACAGCTCAAATTTATTGATTTTTCTTAGCTCGGCGAAATCGGCGGCTCCCACGACCAAAGCCGCCTTGAAGGCCTACGATGCTCCGGCTTCGTCTGGATCCCCCACTAAAGTGATCATTTTCAGAATTTGATGTGAAATGATTGGCAAGAAAAGAGAAATTTCAAGTAGACTTGTCTCTTTTTCATGCTACATCTCTACTCATTTTCAAATAGAAACCCTAAAAATTGGTTGTTTTTTAGAAGCTCCGCAACACTTGGCTGCTTGATTCGGATTCCGAGGCTTCGGATACCGAAAAACCTGCCGGCCCGGAACTTACCCTGAAACTCAAGAGAGAAGATGTGGAGGTTCGATAAATATTCCAGAAAAAATCCGAATAAATATATGTTATTCTAGGATCCCTCCCACAACTCTGCTCCTTCCTCCTCCAAGAGGGACAAGGAAAAGGAGAAGGAGAAGAAAAAGGAGCGCAAGTCCAAGGAAAATCACTCTTCGAGCAGCCATCATGAGAAGAAGCACGAGGAGAAAGGTACGAGAAAATAGAGATTTTTTGATGATAAATTTTTTAATTTTCCAGCTGCCAAGGATTGGAGCGTCGTCGGAATGGCTCAGCAGCCTGATTCGAGCTTGATCATCCTGATGAACAACTCGAAAACCGAGGAACGCCGTCAGCTGTCCCCTGAGGGTTGGTCTTGTTAAGATTTTTTTTTCGCTTAGGAACGCTAGATTGGTCCCTATAGGAGCGACCTTAAGATCCCCTTAGAGGTTTCCCAATACCTAAGTTTTACCCCTATAGGGGCTCTTTTTTTGAAAGGCTGCTTCCTAAGGATCTTTATAGGGATCACTTTAGAATTCTCAAATGAGTCTTTTAAAATGCGAGTCAGTACTTGGAAACTCCAGAGGGGTCCCTACAGGGCCTTTGGAGGACCCCCTCTAGGGATCACTAAATCTTGAAAAGGGGCTCTCAAAAGAGCTGTTTTTTCCCCCTAACCCCTATAGGGGGCACTCTGGCGTTCCTAAGGGTAGAAGCATTTTCATGGGAACACCATTTATGGTTATGGTATTAACTGTACAGGAAATTGCTAATTCGCGTGAATTTCGGTAATTTTTAGAAGATTAGCCCTGGAGCATGTTCTGTGGGAGTAGAAGAGCTTTCCAATTCGTTAGGATTTTTTCTAACCCGAGAGTTTTGAAATCATTTTGGCGGCTTAAAAACACTTTTTCAGAATTGGAGCGTGATTTCTTCAAGTTTAAGGAATTTTGTTTGACTTGCTTGCTAAAATTTCAACGTTCGAAAGTTTTAAAGCTATCTTTCTGATTTTTGACGTGTTTTTAAGTCGTATATGCTTGAAAATGGACTCTGAAGCGTTTTTTTTGTGGATTTCTGAGTGTTTTGAGGAGAAGAATTGTGTTCAGAAGTTTTGAAAAATAGATAATTTGGAATCTGAAATTTTTTAAAGCTAGAAAGAGCTGAAAAAACTGGAAAAATTCTTTCAGAAGCCTTCAAACTCAACTCGTGGGGCTTTTGCAAGTACCTGATCGATCGTGTTGTTTTCTGAGCAATTTCAGGAAAAAGAAAATCATAATTTCTGACCCAGTTATTAAGCCAATTGTTCATTTGTTAATTGCTATGTTATCTGTATTTATTTTGGCCTCTTTCTTCTCATTTTTATAATTTCGACTGCCTAACAAATCATTCCCTCATGTTTTTCAGTAATTTCGTAGCGTTTTTTTTTCTAATTTTTGCAACTACCTTGATCATTGGCATTTATTGCAGAAACTAATATTGACTAATTCTTTTAAAAATTTGCCACTTATCTGATAAGTTGATGTTATAATCTTAACCATACTCCTTAAATTGAATCAGTTGAATAATATTTTGAGGTCTCAAAATATCTACTCGTTTCTCTACTGTACCATTTTTCTGTTGATTGTGTTGTGTTTTTCGGCCTCTCCTCTGTTTTTTCGGTAAACTTTTTTGTAAAATCTGTCTTTTGAGTGATTTTCAAACGTCGAAGCGTTGTTGAATTTCTATTTTGGAGAAAGAAGTTGATTTTTGAAACTTCCTTAAAAATAGTTTTTTCATTGGATTTCTAGATAAATTTTGTTCAAAAGTTGATTTAGTATTCATGATTCTTTTAAGTGGAGGATGGATGGTATTAAAATTTTCAAATTTACAAGGATTTTTTTGAAGAAAAAAATGAACCTCCAAAACGTTTTTTTCATTATAAAATTAACTGTTATGCATATTTTTTTGTACTCATCCCGATTAAGATTTTTTTTTTTTTAAAGAAGGAAAAAAATGGGCGAGCGGCACATGTCAAGCATCTTTCCTGAATGCGATCAATTGAAACAGGTTTTTTTAAAATTCATTCGAGAATAAAGAAAATCCTTGCTTTGGTCATGGCTCTGTATGGAAAACAGGTAAAAATGTAACTTTCATTTTTTTTTTTGTGTTTTTTGTTTTCTAGTAAGAATTTTTCAGTTAGAAATAATTTTTAACCCTGATTTCCAATTTTTTTAAGTAAGATTAATCCTTGAAATAATAATATCGTGAAATAATAATAAGTGCAGTCAGATTCAGCTTATGAAAAGAAAGATTGTTTCAGATCTACGACAAATGCTTCACGGAGTTCTTCCAACGGTTCATTTCTCCGAATTATCGGCACAGCTACGCGAGTAATCCATGTGATCGACTATTAGAAGTTTACCAACATTGTGTTGAAGAGGTTTTTTTAAAAATTTATATAATAAAAATATATTTATTCACAGGAAAGAAAACAAAATAACAAGAAGTTGCTGCCCTCATGAGCTAGTGAGAGAAGAATTTTTGCGAAAAATGCACAAAAAAAGGAAATTTTTATTGAAAAAAATAGCTTCCTGAAATAATTACAATGAAAATTCCCTTGATTCCAGCGGTTAGAGAAGAACAAGCCGTTCGAAATCGATCTGGAAGAAATCCGGAAAGAATATTTGAACTCCCCCGAAGACGACCTCAAGGATCGACAACAATAATTCCATTTTCTTCTCGTTTTGTTCCCCTGTGATCATTTTTCTTCACTTTTTTGTTAGGAATTGCTGTTTTCGAAAATCGTGACCGAGCTTTCATCTCATTGCTTTTTTCCAAAACCTTTTTTTTTGGAATAAAGGGAAATTTTCATTTAAAAAAAAAGCTGTTCCCTATGAAAATATGAAAGCCACAACCAAATTTCTCCCATGTCCTTCATTTTGTGTTATTTTATAAAAAATAATTGCAAAAGTGTATGATTTTTTTTTGTTGACGCTTCTTGTTGAGCTGTATAAAGTGATTTTTTTCACAGTAGTACCAAGAAAAAAGGTTTTTAACCATTTTATTTTTTTTTTCGTTCGATGGTTCCTTTTGGAAGTTATTGAAAAGATATAAAGATGGATCCGAACTTAATACAACAAATGACACTACAAGATCCAGCTGAGGCGAGATTTACCAACTTGGAGAGGACTTTGGAGCAGTTTCAGGTTTTTTTCGATTTAAAAAAACCTTTCTAAAGAATAAAAATTTTTGAGCTTCAAATTACACTTGCTTGGTTCTAAACAACTTATTTTTTTATAATTTAGGATTGATTTTTTGAAAAAAATTATATATTAATTATCAATTTTTTTATCGAAAAGTGTCTTTTTGAGCGGCTTTTTCATGACTGCAAATTGTTTATTTATTTTTAAAAAAACAAGAAAAATAAAGGAAAATCTTCAATTTCAAGGAAAAATTCCCGTCAATTGGGAGTGATTGCCAGTGATTTCACTCAACGAAGCCAAGAGCCCCTCAATCAGAAGCTCACGACTTTGATTTCTGGCCTTCAGGTTCAAAAAAAATATCATTGAAAGTCTCTAAAATTAATAGAAAAATTTTAGGAACTCGACGCAATTAGAAGGAATTTCGACGATATCCGAGTGCCAATGGAACTTCTCACCTTCTTGGACCAAGGCAAAAATCCGCAATTGTTTACGAAAGAAGTCCTTGAGAGGACGCTGCAGAAAAATAAGGAGGTTTGGAAGAGAAATTTGAAAAAAAAAGTTGTTAAAGTTTTTTTTTTGTGTTCAGGATTCCTTGCGGGAGTTTTTCGAAGATTTGAAAGTTTTTGAATTACCGTGAAAATGGATTTTTGTTTGGAGGCATTCGAAAAATAAATTGAGCTTTTGTAAAACCTGGCTTGAACAGAAAATTTTGCATTTCCTTCAAATTTTTTAAACTTCCTTTTCAACTTTTCAACTTCCTCAACATAATTTTTTTGAGAAGATTTATTTTCATCTAACTTTTTCTTGTTTTGCATTTCTGAATAAGAATCGGAAATCTTTTTCATTCGAACTTTTCGCCATTTACAAGGAATTATCTCTCTTTCTGTAGATATATTATTAATCCAAGAAGTACACAAAAGTAAAACTTTGCTAGAAAAAAATCAAAAATCAATTTTGAAATGGACTTTCTAAGGAAGAGAGTGAGGTTTAAAAATATCACGACCAGATTTTTTTGTACCTTTAGCCTTCAGAAGTAATTGCGCGAAAAATTCGAATATTCTCGGAAGTATAATGATTATATTTCCAGGTGAACGGCAAGATCGAGATGTACAAGAAGTTCAAAGCGTATCTGCTGAAAGAACTCGGCGACGAGGCGCCAGCCATCGCCGTCATGTACAGGACCTTGAGAGAGGAAAAGGAACGGGAACCCAGTCCTTCGTAGATTTTTCGTGTTTCTTTATATCACTCTTGTATACTTTTTTTTCACCTTGTGATTTATTAACTTGATCTCATTTTGGGTTCTATTCGTTTTGATATTGAGTAAATTCTTGATCGAACTTTGCTTTTTTCTTTAAAAGGAAGGTTTCGAGCCTTCAAAATCCCTTTAAAAGCCCTTTTTGCTGCCTTTCTGCGGCCTTTTTTGAGCCTCTTCTTTTTAGCGGTCATTATGCCCCTTTCAGACTTCGCCAGAGCCTAAAAAACTGAAAAAATATCATTTCTATTGTCGAAACTATATCTTTCTTACCGATTCTTCTACTTTTTCGAACTGTCTTCTGAAACTTTTAGACCTTTTTAATGAAGATCATGTAAATATATAAGACTGAATAGTCTTTTTAAAAGCAACTGTAGTCCCATAAAAAAATCGAAAATCAGATGTCGATCGGGGCCAACGCCGTAATGGCGGTCCAGAACGCGGCGTCGGCACAACTCATCCGTTTTGTGCCGAATTTTGTGGCCCTCCGGTTAAGTTGGACCCAAAACGAGCTGAAATCCGAGGGGATGGAGCAGTTCGTCGAGGAGTTTCTTCCCATTATCAGGTGCCTTGATATTTTCAAAAGATGACTGAAATGTATTTTTTTACAGATCCCACAATCCGGATATCAAATATTTCCTGCACCGCACTTATACTTCATGTGACCCGTTCATCATTGGAGAGTGAGATGATTTTTTCAAAATAACTTGGAAAATAATGAGAATTCCAGGTATTCCTGGCTGAGGCACCGAAAAAAGCGCGTCTCCTGGAAATCCAAGCATCAGGTCCTCTCGATGGTCGAAGAAATGGCCCTCGGCGGCGATTATCGATCAGGTTTTGAAGATTTATCGAAAAGCCGAAAGCTTTCATGATAAATACTAGGCTTTTCGGACCAAAAAACATTTTCTCTTGTTCGGGAGCTATAGTCCATTCCGCGCCAGCTTGTCCAAATGACCGTATACCTAATTAGATCAAATTCGCTTCGAGACCCTTGTTTTTTGCTCTCAGATTTTGGTAACGCGAACCGGACGTGTCGGGGCGTTTCTAGTGACCACTTTAGTAGCGTCAGCTCTCTTAAGTGACCCCTAGAATTACTAAGGAACCCTTGGAACTCGTCCTGTTCTCGTTACTGTCTTTTATGTTTCTTAAAGAAAAAGTACTGTTCTTACTGTACCTTTTTCCTTCAAAATACCGTATACCTAATTCAATCAAATTCGTTTCAGGACCCTTATTTTTTGTTGTCTTTTATGCAGTTTCGTAGAGAAAAAGTGCTGTTTTTTACTGTAGCTTTTTTTTTTAAACCTGACCGTCTATAAGAAGTGTGGCCTGTCTGCGCTCTCCACCAATCAAGCACTATCTCTTTTTATTATCGTGTCAGGACCCATTTTTGATGGCTCAAGCTAGCCGTGAATCAGTTTTATAAAAAAGCTCAAAACCTTTTAAAGCTTTCGAAACAACTTTACGATTTCATAGATGCTATTTCAGTTCTTCGCAACGGTTCTTTCCCAATTTATTTACAAAAAAAATGCTGATTTTCTCAGAAATATAGCTGAGGCTGGTATGAGCTATCAAAAAAGGTCTTGGCGCGAAAAGTAAAAAGACAGTACCTGGCTGGTGGATAGCGCAGACAGGCCACGCCCCCTAGCTTCCCAAGTTAGTTGTGAATCGGCTATAAGCAGAGAAGTGGAAAAAAACATTGCGCTGGAAATCCCGGCATTTTACAGTTTAACCCCCTCCCTCCCATTTAAGTTGGATATCCTCGCTCTCCCCCCGTCTCCCCCCCTACATCTGTTGCATCTTCTTGAAAATCTGAATATCGAGCCGCATGTTCTAGAAAAAAATAATTTTTCATAACTTAAGAAATATTTTTTTTTCATACAGAAACGTTTTTTAAAAAGCAACCGAACTTTATCGAATTCTAGGATATAAACGAGGCGTGAACCGCCGTCTTCCCAGAGGAGCCGAACTTTGGGACACGGAAACCATGGGCCATGACGTGTTCAAGGTTTTCCAAATCAAAAAATTCCTAATCATTGAAAAATGATTGTTTTAAGGTGTACAGCAAGTGGAAGGCCGATGAACCGGAGGAGAACGACGATCCCGTAATTACCGCCAAAACGCATCCGAATTTCACGTATCGAAAATATTGATCTTCTTTTGTCATGTATAGTTTAGGCTTTATTCGAAATTGTTTGTTTTTTGCCTGTTTTTGTTGGAATATTATGAATTTTTTGAACTCCTTTTTCAATTTTCTATGACTTTAGGACGTCAGAGTGGTCCTTACAGTAAACTTGAAGCTTCCCCTATAATCACCATATTACCTCCCCTATAGGGGCCACTTATTGTCAATAATAACAATTTATTCACAGATCATTGTGAATCCCAACGATTTTATTGAAGTATGAACGTCAGAGGGCCTCTAGGGACCACCTTACCTCCCCTATAGGGGCCACTAAAGCTTCCAAAAGTGGCCCCTCTAGGGAGGCCTGATATTCGTTTATTGTTGAACCATTTCCATGTTAAAAAATTTATAAATTAGCGTTTTTGAATGAAAGAATGTCAACAGAAACTCATATTAAGTCTTTAATTTACAAGTCTGAAAAAAGACCCCTATAGGGAATACTTGAGCTTCAGGGGCTCAGGCCTTGAACCGCCCTGTACAGACCATTTAAAATTACCCCTCTAGGGAGCACTATTCTGCCTCCTTTAGGGACTTTTATCCCTAATCCCTCTAGGGACCTCTCTAGCGTTTCTAAACATTTTATCATTGTGAAAAAATGTTTCCAAGAAATTTTCATGTTTGACTTCAGCACAGGCGCCAAAGCTCTTTTTTCAGAAACCTCTAGGGACCACTTCAGCTCCCCTATAGGGGCCACTCTAGACAATGACTTTTGAAAAGTATTTTATCCCCGAGTTGAAAGGAAAATTCATTCTCGGACGGGATTCCCGAGGGGTTCCTTGATGGTGTTGCTTTTCTGCAGCGGATTCGACTCGATCACGTATTCCATGGCGGTGGCCGTCTCGTGGAACTTCACCTGCCTGGCCGTCGCCTTGTTCTTGCGCTCCCTTAAGTGGTCACTTTACCGTCTTCTTCTCAAGTATATCAATCAAAATGTTTTATTTCTCACACACAAGTACTAAATTTCACGAAATAGATGTAGGGAGAATTTGGGAACATATGTGTCGGAACTTGTGGTGATGGAGGGAAGAGGACCCGCGGTCGCGTTAACCCCCCACTTGAGTAAATTGGAATAACCTTGAAGTTATTCTTTTAAATGTCGATTATGTAGCTTTCATATTTTTGTTGGATCAAGAGTGTTTAGTTCTGTAATGTTGTTTTCAAACCATTGGCCACTTAAGGGGTTTGATTGCGTCTATCTTGGTTATTAAAAGCTTCTTGAAGTTCTAGGTAACTCTAAGGGTCCACTTAAGAGCTTCTCTATCTTGCCCCTTGAGCAATCCTTTAAGTGACCACTTAGAAATCGAATCAAACAAACCCCGTAAAGACGTTAGACCGCACCACCGACTCAAGCGTGTTACCCAAAAGGAGCTTTCTGAAAATTTCGAAATTTCCCAAGAAAATCACTAAAATGACCTCTCATTAAAGTACTTGAGGTCGTTGTAGAGCTGTGGAAGAGGTCCCCAAGGTTCGAAAATCGTCCGCTCGAAAGGATTGAGAAGTACTACGACGCTTGGATCCTTGTTGACGTACTGAAACAAATTTTGGGTCTTGGAGCGAAAAAACAAAGATTACTGTAGATATTGTGAGAAAACAGAGTATTTTAGACGAAAGGGAAAAATCTCAGCCGAGTCGCTGGTTTTCAATCTTTTTTGGTGACGCGGCTAACAAGCTCCGCCCCCTTTTACTTTATTTGGCGAGTTTATGAGATATTTCCGGAGAATAAACGAAAATATCTTTTAGCCGAGTCGCACAGCCGCGTCGCAATCACCGTGCGACTCGGCTAAAGCTTCCATTTTTTTTGAGAGGATCCTTAGCCGAGTCGCACAGCCGCGTCGCAAGAACCGTGCCACTCGGCTGAAGCTATCTAACAGACCTCCTTAGCCGAGTCGCAGGCCGCGTCGTCATCACCGTGCGACTCGGCTAAATCTCCCTTTTTTGAGAGGATCCTTAGCCGAGTCGCACAGCCGCGTCGCAAGAACCGTGCCACTCGGCTGAAGCTATCTAACAGCTATCTAACAGACTTCCTTAGCCGAGTCGCACAGCCGCGTCGCCATCACCGTGCGACTCGGCTGAAGCTCCCTTTCCTAAGAAGAACTCTTAGCCGAGTCGCACAGCCGCGTCGTCATCACCGCGCGACTCGGCTAAAGCTCCCTTTTTTTCGAGAGGATCCTCAGCCGAGTCGCACAGCCGCGTCGTCATCACCGTGCGGCTCGGCTAAAGCTCCCTTTCCTAAGAAGAATCCATAGCCGAGTCGCAAAAGCCGCGTCGCACCACACACCTTGGTAAACGTCTCCGAGTCGGCGTACTCGTCCTCCTCCGGCTCCTTCTCCTTTTCCTTCTCACTCTCCGAATTTCCACCCCCGACACCGCCATGCACATCGTTCTTACTGGAAATTATGACGTCAGAATATTCAGTAGACGTTGGGAAAACCTGGCGTCATCACCGCATTTCCAGAAGAACTCGCCGCCCTCGCCGATGGCGTTATACAGGTTCTTGACCTTGCCCTCGATGTCCTCGGCGTCCATGAACTTGTAAGCTTCCTTGATCCTCTGCCGGTCAACATCTGGAAAAAATGAAGACGTTGAAATTCCCAGAAGAAACCTTCGTCTTCGTTGAACTCGTCTTGGAGGGCGAGATTCGCCTGGAGCTCCTTCTCGTAGTTGTTCTTTTTGCCGGCTTGGCCACCGCTTGGCGCCTTGCTCGTCTTTCCAATCTTCTTGGTGATGGCGCTGGAGATGATCAAATTTTTAGGGATTCAGAAGAATGATTGTCTTGGTTCGTAAAAAGCTTGAAAGTCAATCAGACTGACCTCAAGGTCGGCTTCTTCGCCTCGGCCCTTTTAGTGTCCCTTTTGCCGAACCAGGTCGCGAATCGGGGATCCGGCCGGAGGACCAAGTACTCGTGCATCAGCTCGCCGAACTCCACCTCCGAATGGTTGATTTTGCGCTTCTCGCGCGGGAATGACTACAAAATTCATGGAAAGCGTTGCGGTCGCGTCGCGGTTCTCGACCTCGTCAAACTTTTTCATGTCGAACGCCTTGCTTTGTGGCTTGATCTCACGCAAAACTTGATTGATCCGGTACTCGACATACTTTTTGTCCTGCTCTTTCGCTTTTTTCCTGAAAACTACCGAATTTTGAAATGAAAAAATCGACGAAACCTTTCTTCGCGATCGTTATTTTTCCTGAACATGGCGGTCGCGAAAAGACGAAGGCCTTAGAATGACTTGCGATCTCACGTGACTTTTCATTTCTTTCATGTTCCCCGTTGGAATACATTTTGCTGGCTTGAAATCATCGAGTCAAGTGTTCACTAAAGAGTTCTTGACACCATTTAAGAGGACCCTAGACTTCATAATGTTCATCGCAACGTTTCGAAAACTGACTGTCATTTTCGAAATTTCAAAGAAACGTGAGAAAGAGTCGGGCGACCGGCATTCCTATAGATTTTCGCGAAAAAAAGAATTCCCACAATGACTTCATTTTCAAGCGGTTCGCTTTTTTGCTATTTCCGAGAAATTGTCCGTCCTTGGGAAATCCAGGGCTGTCTCTATAAGGGCTAGGGATCACCCTGGAATCCCTAAGTCGTCCATTTGCAGGTCGGATAATCCGTCTTCTCGTCGGACTTTCGCTTGTTGGATCAGTTTCAACCTTCCCCATGTGTTTATTTTGCATCAAAATTTTAAAATTTTCTCTTTTTTTTCTGTTTTTCCAAGTGTTCGATGTGTCTTTTTCGACAAACCAGGCCCCTCACACGAGAAGTGCGAAAAGAGGTATTGGAACTCGATGAATCTTCGTATGTAGATTCGGACACCCTGAATCCAGAGTGCGCCTTTTCGGTTCTAGCCGATTTATGGTATCTCGAAGTTTGCACGCGAAAAATGATGGATGGAAGGAGAGAATATGTCGCGGGGAAGTACCTAAGTACAAAGTTTCATCGAGTTCCAATACCTCGAACTTTCGCATTTGTGTCAGGCGCTGCCAATATTAAAAGAAGCTTGGGATTTTTCATTTCGGGCGCTGCCAAAATTCAACAACTCGCAGCTCTTCAAAAATATTCCTCATTCATACTTGAAACAGTCTCACCTTTCTGCCTCCCTTTTCCCTTAACTCCCATTTTTAGAACGTTTTGGCGAATTGCCCATCATCAGAGAAGGGCATCTTCGAGTTGACCAACGCCAGTTACACCAAAAACCTCATTTTCTCCTTTAAAAAAATTTTCAGCGGTTTTCATCATTTCTCACGTTGTGTTTTGTTGCTTATGGGTATTTTGGATTGTTGCATATTTCCTGATTGTCAGAGAAAAGGACATAGAATGTTCGACTAATAGTCAAACAAGCGTGAGTCGTCAAACAAATTATTTTTTCGATTTAACACAAAAAAAAGCTTTTCAGACTTCTAAAGCCACTTCCAAAGAATCCGTAGCGACCGCCCCCGGGGACAACTACGTCTTTCTGTATAAATAAACTTTTTTACTTGGAAGTTTTCTTTCAAATTTCTCATGTTATACTCACTTGATCTGTCAGTGCAACTTTCTGTAAAATGAAAGTGAATGGCAGAAATTAGTTCCTGAGAAAAAAAAACGACATTTAAAAATAAATCAAGGCTTATCGGATGAGGCGACCATGTTCGCCCCATCGTTCAGGTTTAAATTCGCGCCCAAGCATTACAGTAAACCCTTGAGCAAATCCTAAATCAATCCTAGTGGTTCATTTCCTGAATATTCACGGCTCTATTTATTTTATAGCCTTTTTTCATTATAGCTTTTGGAGCTATTTCTATACTCCAATGGCCGATTTGGTCAATATTGTACCGTTCGTTCATTTTTTTAATCTATTTGTACCTTCCCAAGGTTTAATTACTCAAGTTTGAGGAGACCTGCAAACCTCGAGTGCTACGCCCACGCCTCCCACTTCCCACCGCTTATCGTATATTTTGTATTTTTATTCTAATCTTCTATTGATTTTTAGATTTTTTGTATAATGTAAAAAAAGAAAAGAAAATATAGACGTTTTCTGAGTTGCATATGAGTCTTCAACAAACCACTGTAGAGAGAGATTGTCTTTTAGTGGTTTCGCTAGATATTCTCAATTGAATTCTAGTAAAGAAAGGGAAATAGAACATCACCAAGTATGCCCCATCGCTCAGGTTTAAACTCGCGCCTAAGCCCTACAGTAAACCCGTGAGCAAATCCTAAATCTTCGATGGTTGTTCGTTTCGTAAATGTTCACGGCTTTATTTATTTTATAGCCTTTTGTCTTTATAGCTTGTAGCTATTTGTACATTTCATGGCCAACCTTGATCAATATTGTTTCCGTTCGCTCATTATATATATTTGTATATCACCACGGTTTAATTACCCAAGTTTAAGGAGCCCCAGCAAACTTCCATACCAGTGCTACGCCCACGTCTACCACTTACCTCCACTCAATGTATATTTTTATATTGTTTTTATTCTAATCTTGTATTTTTTAGATTTTTTTGTATAATGTAAAATAGACGTTTTTTTCTGAGTTGAATATCAGTCTTCAACGAACCACTGTAGAGAGAGATTGTCTCTTAGTGGTTTCGTTAGATATTCTCAATTGAATTCGAGAATCGAACGCTTAAACAAAAAGGGAAGAACGAAAAGTTCGTTTGAAGCAAAAGCTTGGCGGTAATAGTGTTTTTGAAATCGAAAAACTAAGCCTCAAACGATGTAAAAAGTTCCATAACATTGTCCAGTCAACTGCAAGCTCAAAATAGAGAAAGGCAGAAGAGCAAGTCATTTGCTAATAACCATCGACGACTACATGAGGTTCGTAACATCAACCGAATACACGTCACAGGGACGGCCCCCGGCATTCTCCTTTACAACTGAATTTTAAGAGTTTCCGAGGATTTCAACGTACTCTTCCCGGACTTCAGCGTGGATGTGGTTTCGGGCGACGGATCCCTGAAGATCCGGCGCTCTAAAACTGACCAAACGGTAATCGAAGCAAACATTGATTCCTGCTTCTCACCAATCAAACCAAGACGCTCGCCGTCTACTTTCAAAAGTGCTCCGGTACGAAATAACTCTTCGAATCGAAAACTTTAAACAAACCTATCACTTACTCCACCGCTTTACGCGCACTGTTCATAGCGGCAGGCCTCGAAGGAAAAAGATATTCCTCACATTCATTTCGCGCAGGAGCGGCTTCTAACGCGTTTTTGCAGAGAAGAGAAGCGTCGGACGTCATGCGCATGGGCCGTTGGAGAATTCTCGTGGCGTTCACCGACTACCTTCGTCGCACTCCACTAAAGGAAGCCGCCTGGAACCACGAGAAGGGTCGTGCCGCCAACTCGACAGTCGCGCCTAATCCTACCGTTCCGTAGTACTCCAACTTCACTTCGGACTCTCCATGCAGCCTTTTCTCGTTGTTTTTCCTCGTTGTTGTTCCCATTCCATGACTCATGTGCGTCACATCTGTACAGTGTTTTGTTTGTCGCCCACATTGGGTATGACAATAAACAGTCGAACTTCCCGTTTCAAAAAAAATCAGTTTATGATGATATGAAATGCAATTATAAATGAAATTAGTGAATGAAGTCTGACTGCGCTTCCAAAATTTCAAAAGAAACGTGAAAAGGAGTCGGGCGACCGGCATTCCTATACATTTTCGCGAAGAAAGAAGGCTCACAATGACTTCATTTTCAAGCGGTTCGTTTTTTGCTTCTCCAAAAATTTGTTCTTCCTCCTTTTTGATTTTTCACCAATAAGATCAATTTTTCGGCCTCTTTAGAGGTTATTTTTCTACTAACCCTAGTGAAGACCATTTTGGAATTAGTCGTCCATTTGCAGGTCGGATAATCCGTCTTCTCGTCGGACTTTCCCTTGTTGGCTCAGTTTCAACCTTCCCCGCATGTTTATTTTCCCATCCAACTTTTTAAAAGTGTCCTTTTGTTTTTTTTCAGCTTGTTGCAGTCTTCCTGTGACTGGTACTGGTGGTGACAATTGTGTATCTCATTGCACCAGGAAATGTCTATCTGCCGAGTACATCGTCAGAAGACAGAGCAACTTCGACAAGAACAACGCCCTGGAATTCGCACAAAAGTTGGAGCACGCCTCGCGGATAATCCTGGAAGACAACTCGGGGACCGCCAATTTCGACTCTTTGGAGTCGTTAGAGCTCGACGCCAGCAACGTAAAGTTCTTCCCAGGTCCTTTTCGCAGTTTGTTATCAAAATAATGAACACATGAATTGTTTTGCAGAGCCCTTAATCCGGATCCGGGACACAGAAGTCACTGAGAACTCCTTCACGAATTTGAAAACCATCACAATCACGCCGATCAACCCTTATTGCGAGAAGGGAACTATCTTTGACATTGATAAAATGAAAGAGGAACCTCGGAAAATTCTGAAAAACTTGGAAAAGGTTTCTTTTTGAGTTACAAGTTCACTTTTTTTCTTGCCAATTGTTAATCGAAACAAATGCTTTTTTTTTATTCCAAGGGTTCGATGTATTTTTCATTTCGGGTTCTTTCCCCTCACCTCCCGGAAAATGAACTTTTTCAGAAAGTTTTGGCGGATTGCCCATCAAACAAAAGCATCATCGACTTTTCCAGTCCCCGTTAGATTAAACATCTTTTTCTCTTTTCAAAAAAAACTTTCAGTAGTTTTCATCATTTCTCACGTTGTGGTCAGTTCCTGCTGGGCACTTTTGGTTGCTCTATATTGCCTGTTGACGAGAAAAAAGAAAAAGGAATGTTCGACCAGTAGTAGTCAGTCAAGCGTGAGTCGCCAAACAAATTATTTTTTCGATTTAACACAGAAAAACCTTCAAAAATTCTTCGTTTTCAGACTTCTAAACCCACCTCCAAAGAACCCGTAGCGGCCGCCCCAGGGGAAAACTACGTCTTTCTGTATAAATAAATTTTTTCGCTCGGAATGTTTCTTTTAAATTTCTCATTTTATACACACTTGATCTGTCAGTGAAATTCTTTGGTAAATAAAATGAAGTGGTAGAAATTACTTCCTGGAAACAGAACCAAAGCACTGGTCAATCGGGAGGTCGATAAAAGTAGGTACCGGGTAGCAACTTTTGAAAAGTCTATCGGCGTAGGGTAATCGGTGGTCGTTTGTATGCGAACGGGTACTTTCTCTTTGGTACCTGGGTAATACCTGGTCGGAATCTGGATGCTACCGGGTAGGCACCTGAAATTTGCGATTGCTAATGGCTGGTACATCGGTCGTTTATTTAGCACTAGCTTTTTTTTTACACCTTCCCAAGTCTTCCAGGGTCTTATTGGATAAAGCTGAAACAAAAATTAACGACCCTGGACGCAATTCCAGACTTTCCGGTAGCAATCGCGAATGTAAGGTACCCGGTAGCTACTTGCATCGACCTCCGACCCAGGTACCATAGAGATAGTACCCGGTCGCATACAAACGACCACCCATTACCATACGCCGATTGACTTTTTCAAAAGTTGCTACCCGTTAGATATTCGTAACGACCTCCCGATTCACCTTTGCGGGTGGCTCCTTTCATGGTACCGGAGATCATACGCTCGAATCATACCCGGTAGCACCTTGATACCTCTCCGGTAGTATCCAGGTACCATAGAGACAGTACCCGGTCGCCTACAAACGACCACCCATTACCATACGCCGATTGACTTTTTCAAAAGTTGCTACCCGTTAGATATTCGTAACGACCTCTCGATTCACCTTTGAACAACATTCAACTTTCAAAAAACGTTCCAAGCTTGGAACTATTGAAATTTAATACTTTCATAATGATTTTATTGGTTAGGGGGAAAAGCGACGTTACTTTTGCACAGAAACCCCTTTTTGAACTTTTGTAAGTCTTTTATAAGCTATCTAAAAATAAGTGATTAGTTTTTATATTTAACGATTAATATACAAATTACATGCATTTTTTAATTTACAAGTTTCTTGAGAACGGGAAGAAGGGCATCAATGTCGCATCTGTAAAATTGATGTATTTTGTTTCTGAAGAATATAATTTTCAATCACTAACTTGTCAGAAGCATATCAAACCCGCTATCGAATACATTTTTCAAAAAAACTCATTAAAGCGCGTTTTTCCAGTTTTTTGTTTGGCTTCAACTTTATGATTTTTTATAGTCTGTTTAGATTTTGAGAGTTAAGCAGCAAACTCCGCCCCCAACATCACTCTGTGGATAACTCGTTCTCTGATTGGTTTGATATACGCATTAGGGGCGGAGTTTAAGCGATGACTTGACATTAAAAATATGAACAGACTGTATTCAAGGAAATTATTAGCTTTTTTCAAAAAGAGGCTTAATTTTGAAAACCTCACTTTTTGACACTCTTCGTGCATTTTTTCGGGATCAGTCAGGCCCATGTCATCAACACAAGGATCGTCTTTATCATCCATTTTTCCATGATGATTCTTGTCCTCATCACTGTTCATGGCCTGAAAATTGATGTATTGAATTGATTTCACTTTTTTTGGTCGCACGTGGAATGGCTAGGAGCGTTAGGTTTTTCTTTTTAAGTTATTTTTTCAGACACGAGTCATTTTAAGTTTTTTTATTTTACAAGTAATGCTTAGCGTCTGCATAGCTGATTCACGGCTAGCTTGAGAAATCGAAAAATGGGTCCTGACACGATTTGAAAATAGTGTTTGGTTCGTGGAGTGCGCAGACAGGCCAATAGTAAAATATAGAAAGAATTTAAAAAAAAAATTGAAACCTTCCCAATGAGGAATTGATTGATATCCATGTGCTCTTCTTGCATCTTTCGGCCTTCCAAAAGGCTCATATCTTTATCGAAACTCAGACGAGACATTCTTAATTAATATTACATGAAAATAGTTGTAATGTGCCCTGCTAGACTGTTTAAAGGAGCATGGAACAACGGCAAAAAGGTCTCGAAGCGAAAAGCTTGGAAGTTTTCAGGCATCTCGGTAAATACTTCCGAACAGCTTATTCAACGAAAAGAAAAAATACGAACCTAACCGTAGGAAAAAAGGAAAAAATGAAATCAACACGTCTTTTTTTCCTATTTATACGCATCCAACGTGGACTGTTTTGATGGGAGAAAGTGTACTTTTTGCGGAAAATATCACAAAAAACTGGATTTGAAGGAACTCTGGTCTATTTATAGTACATGTCCTTTCAATGAAAAATAAGATTGTATTTTTTTTTTGAATCTGGAGAGGTTGGGACAGGTTTTTTACATTTGTGAAAGTGCAAAAGCAAAAAAATGATCTTTAAAATTGCGATCTTGTACCTGTCCTAGAAGGTCCTGAAAGATCCACAGTTTTTGTCAAAAATTGAAGGTCCAAAAAAAAACAGAGAATTCAGAAAAGTTGGTTTAAGACTGCCTTAGATAATAGATTCATATACTTCCAAGCGAGCTGAAATTTTTCTCGAGAAAATTTTGATTTTTTGATTTTTTTTTCTCTTCTATCAAGTGACGTTTGATTTAACATACTGTGCTCAATTCAACAAAATTCTTATCAGATCACAAAACAAGGTGAAAACTTACAAAGCAGGTAGTTTTTGGCTGGCTTAAATGAGCAAAACGGGTGCAAAATGGCCGCTAAAAGGGTTCCGTTTTGCGACCTTTATTGAGCCTTTCTTCTTTGGTGGGCTAAAAAGAATCGAAAAGGGATGAAAAAAGGGATGATTTCCGATTACCGTAGCACATTTTGGTTCATACACAGTCACTAGTAAAGGTTTTTATCAGTTTAAAAAGGTTTATGTTTCTAAAAAAGGTCCAAAAAAGGTTGATAAATGCCGATAAAAGGACGGAAAAAGGCAGTAAAAAGGAAACCGTTGCCACCCTTTTAGGAACAATTAATGGAAACCTTTTGATCCAAGGGCCTTTCCGACTCTGCCTATGTTGTGACAAGACCGAAAATATTTATCCAATCAGACAAAAATCACAAAGTGCAGGAAGCGGTCGGGACACAGACGTCGCTCAGGTTCCTAGCAAAGTTTGGTTTACATCCGCAGCCGGGCTCGCAGTTGTTCTGCAAGTGCTCGAAGCCTTTCTCGCACATCAATCGGAACGCGGTTCCGCCGCAATAATCCTCACAGTAGGGGCATTTCGACCATTCTTCGTTCAAATCGCAGCTGTCTGCAATGTTAACGATTTTCTATAGTGTTGGTCGCGTGGGGAATGGCTGGGCTGCGGTTTTTGACTTGAAAGCTTCGGTGAAGGAATTCTAGGAAGACCCTTAATCCTATAGGGACCACCTTTTTGGCCCCTATAGGGGTTGTAAATGACAAAAACGTCGTTTTTTTTTTCTGAAGTAAAAGTTTGGATTATCCGTGGAGCATATTTGATCCAGTATATCACGGCTATTTTTTCTCACCTTTTTTCACCTACTCGAACATTGGTAATGCGAAACGAACTTGCTCCGGACGTTTCTGAGCATTCCTAGTGACCACTTTAGTAGCGTCAGAACTCTTAAGTGATCCCTAGAATGGCACAGAAACGTCCGTTCCGCTTTACCAACGTACGAGTAGTTTCTAAAAATACGAGAAACTCGGTTTTTTTGAAGTTTCATTTTCTAGAAGCTTGATAATCAGAAATTATCAATAGAGCATGATTTCCTCGATCAACCAAGCCTGATTTTTCCATTTTACCTTTTGGACATTCGCTCAAAGGAACACAATTTCCCTTGGAATTCCTTCTAAGACCCCAACGACAAACACAGTGCTTCTCTCTCTCATTCAGATTCTGAAAAAAACATTCAAACTTGAAATTTTTGTTATTAGTCTCACGTAGAACTTGTGCTTGCAGTTGTTCAAAAGGTAATTTTCGGTCTTTTGATACGCTTCGTTTGGTCTGCAAGTGAATTCTGAAACATTTTTTTGACGTTTAAATTTTTTCCTGAAACTCACTGCCATGGACAACTGGAGGACATTCTTTGTAGCTGACGCATTTTCCGGCGATTCTCACGAATCCGACTTTGCATTTGCACCCGGGAACGCAGTCGTTTTTCGAGACTTTCTGGGATAATCGAGTTTATCAAATATATCAAAATAATCAGTGGACCCTATCAAATTTTTTCAGCTTTAAGTCAAAAAATTAATCACCTTAACTGAGGAAGGATCACAGACGTCTTCATCTCTACCATTCTTGCAAGGGGTGTATGTTTCGTTGGGACTAGTGCATTTTGGAGCATCTGAATGGTTTTTTGAGAGATGTTCAAAAATTGATTAAATATACGCTTTGAAATGCCTCGAAAAGTCACTTTTTAGCATTGAAAATGAAGCTTGAACTGCGCCCGACCCTAACCGACTTTGCTACTCCCTTATGCTACAAGATACCGTCAGGCGTCGAGCCATTCCAAATGCGACTTTAGACTCAAGTTTTCCTTTACGACGGATACATTTAGAGGAAGAATTCCTAGGCAAAGTCTCGAAAAAATTGTTCAAAATTAATCTTAAAGTGCGCCCGACCTTAACCTACTTTGCTACTCTCTTATGCTATAAGATACCGTCAGGCGTCATGCCATTCCAAATGCGACTTTAGACTCAACCTTTACGAAGGATACATTTAGAGGAAGAATTCCTAGGCAAAGTCTCGAAAAAATTGTTCAAAATTAATCTTAAAGTGCGCCCGACCTTAACCGACTTTGCTACTCCCGTATGCTATTAGATACCGTCAGGCGTCGAGCCATTCCAAATGCAACTTTGTACTCAAGTTCACCTTCACGAAGGATACATTTAGAGGAAGAATTCCTAGGCGAAGCTTCGAAAAAAAATTTCAAAAATGAATCTTAGAGTGCGCCCGACCTAAACCGACTTTGCTACTCCCTCATGCTATATGATACCGTCAGGCGTCGAGCCATTCCAAATGCGACTTTCCATTCAAGTTTACCTTTGCGAAGGATACATTTAGAAGTAGAATTCTTTGGCGAGGCCTCGAAACAAATTGTCCCACTTGGACATTTACGCTTGTAACACGGTAAATGATCTGAAAAATCCCATATTTTTTTTCAAAAGAGTACTCACCTGGCTTGATGAAACAGTAACTTTTCCTTTCCCCATCAGTACACATCCTGTTCTTGGGACAAGTCATGTCGACGCAAAGCGTCTGATTTGCAGTAGTATTTACGCAAGCTGGGGGTCCAAATGGTGTCAAAAAATCCTGATCGAAAGATTGCTTACACTTCTGACCGGTTGGGCATTTCAGAGAGGCACAGGTTGTGGTGTCTGAACTTGGATTTTTTTCCAAAAAAACATTTCGCTTGTAAAAAGACACCTATCTCCTTTTTAAAACTTCCAAGTTAGTCGAAAAAACAACCGAAATTGATAGTTGAGAAAAAATAGCCGCGGTACGAGCATGTGCGCTCCGTTGCTAATTTTTTAAAAAGTCGATTTTTATACTCGAAATGTGGATGTAATGTGAATCCGAACGGAAACAAGGCGAAAAAATTGTTTTAAACTTCCAGTTGATTGAAAAAAAAAGACTCTGGAACTCGATCTCATGCGCTCTATTGCTAATATTCAAAAATTGAGCATTTTGGGTGAAAAAAAATCCTTTTTTTCGAATGAAAATAACCGAAATTGATTCTTGAGAAAAAATAGCCGTGGTATGAGCATGTGCGCTCCATTGCTAATTTTTTTGAAAAAGTGGATTTTGTACTTAAAATACGGATGAAATGGGAATACAAAAGGGATTACGGCAAAACAAGTCAAGTTGCAGATTTTTTCAATGCCAATATGCCACCTATTTCATTTTTTTTTTCAAACTCCCAAAATGGTAGAAAAAAACAGCCTCTGAGACTCGATCTCATGCGCTCTATCGCCAATAATCAAATATCAGGCATCAGAAGCCAAAAAAGCGTCTTTTTTGAAATAAAAACAACCAAAATTGATAGTTGAGAAAAAATAGCCACGGTACGAGCATGTGCGCTCCATCGCTAATTTTTTAAAAAGTCGATTTTAATACTCGAAATGTGGATGTAATGTGGATCCGAAAGGAAATGAGGCTAAATAAGTCAAGATGCGGTTTTTTCAATGCCAATATGCCACCTATTTCTTTTAATTGGTTGAAAAAAATAGCCTCTGAGACTCGATCTTATGCGCTCTACTGCTAATGTTCAAAAATCAGGCATCTTGGGTCAAAAAATCCTTTTTTCGAGTGAAAACAACCAAAATTGATAGTTGAGAAAAAATAGCCGCGGTACGAGCATGTGCGCTCCATTGCTAATTTTTTGAAAAATTTGATTTTATTGTAGAAATAGGGTTGGAGTATGAATACATAAGGGAATAAGGCGAAAAAATCAAGTTGCAGATTTTTTCAAGGTCAATATGTCAATAGAGCGCAATTGTTTCATTGTTTTGTGTTGATTTTTCGGCCTTGTTTTTCGCCAATTTTGAGGTCTTATTTCGAGATTATGCAGCAAATTACAAATATATTCGATTAGTCTCGAATCAAATGGAGAAAAAAAAACCACAAACTTGGTGCGGGACACTCGTTTCCCTTGGTACACGTTCCATTTAACCTCAAATAACCAGGCCTACATTTACAGCCTCTTCTACAGATTGATGTATTGCAGTTCTAAAAATGAATATTTATTAATTGGAAAGAAATTTTTACCTTGAAACGAGGATAGTCACAGGTTGGATCGCATCCATTCTCACAAGAGGTGAAAATCTCGTTCTTCCCTGCACATTTTGGTACGGCTGTAAAATGGTTTTCGTTGATCCAGTATGCTGTCGCGCGCAAACAGTTTCTCGTCGGGCGCAAGTCCTAACAAACCTTCCGGTTTCACACACTTTGAAGTGGTCGAATTTTCATTTTCTTGGAAGCAGATCTTGTCTCTGGGGCATATCCTTTTTGTGCACGGCATCAGATCTGAATTTTTCATTTTTCAGGTCATTTTCAAGTATCGTTTCTCTGGGCTCTCTTTTCTCTTCCTTCGTTGATTAGAGTGAACAGAGTGAAGAGAAGCCAGACTGTTTTGAAAAGTGGCGAGTGAACTATATTCGAAATTCTCTGCCCTCTCTTCTCTTCCTCTCATGGTCGATGAGAGAAAAGAGGGCGCAGACAAGTCAGAAGGATAGAATGAACTATCTTACCATAGTTAGGATAACAAAAGGGAAAGTTGCCGGAGAAGGAAGAACTAAACTAAAACTTCTCTGCGCTCTCTTCTCTTCCTCTCATGATCGATGAGAGAAAAGAGGGCGCAGACAAGTCAGACGGGGAGAATGAACCATCTCACCATAGTAAGGGTAACAGTAGGGAGAGTTGCCGGAGAATAAAGAACAAAACTAGAACTTCTCTGCACTCTCTTCTCTTCCTCTCATGATCGATGAGAGAAAAGAGGGCGCAGACAAGTCAGACGAACGATCTCACCGTAATTAGGGTAACAGTAGGGAGAGTTGCCGGAGAATGAAGCACATCGGCTCGTGTTGGAGCATTTTGTGTCGGTACAGGTAAGGTCAGAAGGAAAATGAGGTACACATCTGGGTGCCTCCACGGGAGCACTGAATAGCGGCATGAACAGTTGGGCGCATACCTGGCCCGACGGACAGGTAACCCAGTCACAGGTGTCGTTCACTGAAAAGTTAATTTTTGAGTAAAATTGAAGCATTCTGACTTCTCTGCGCTCTATTATGTCTAACCCTAAAGTTAGACAAACAGAAAAACAACATGCAAAACCGAGAGAGCGCAAAGAAATCAGACGGTTTCAATCTTAGGTTATTTAGAGTGTCCTTATAGGAGCAAGGGGAACAACAACCCCTATAGGGGCCGAAAAAGTGGTCCCTATAGGGGTTTAGGGTCTGATGGAACTGCTCTTACGCATAGGCATGAAAATTACTGGCTAGCATGTCCCCTATAGGGGCACCTAACTAAAACCTCTGGCAAGCTTTAGTAACCCCTATAGGGGCTAATTTTCACTCACACGTGTAATTGGCGGCCTTCAAGGTCGCCAATAGTGAAAAACCAAAGAAAAATCGCCAAAAATGCTCCTGAAATGAACCTTTTTGCAAAAACAATGTATGGAAAAGGATACCGTGAATGTCGTCATGCCACTCCGAAAATGGCCTTTTAGTTTTTTTTTTAATGCGGATTTATATCCATCCATTCTTTCATTCGGATCAATGATTCAGTCGTTTCGAAAGAATGGGGATTAAATATAGACAGAGATTTTTTTCTTTTTTTCTCGGCATGATTAATATGAAAATATAGGAAAAAAAATATTTTTCCAAGTTTTTCGTCGATGAATGACATGTCTGGACAGATCATGATCAGTACGGATTTTGAAAAATCGAATAGAAAATCCCTATTTCCGGGCTTCAACGTCCAAAAACGCCCTTTGAAAACTTTCTGACTGGTCTTGAAAATTACCAGATTTTTCGCTGATTCGGTACTTTTAGAACTCGTCTACTAAGATCATAAAAAGAGATGTTATACGCTCCGTTCTTGATCAACAACAGCCTTTTCAGCCTTCAACAATTTATTCTTTGCTTTTCTCACTCAAAAAAAGTGCAAGTGTTAGAAAATCAACAAAATAAAATATAAATGGACGACATTGAGGCGGAAGACGTAATTCGCGACGCTGAAGTTCATGATGAAAGCGATTCTCGCGTCGCTGAAGAAGCACCTGATTTGAAGTGTCCTGAAATTGTAAAAAAAAAAGAAATAAAAAGCCCCCACAGTAATCCAAAAGATAAATGGGCCGTAGCCTGCGTATAAAGCATTTGATCTTACGACAGTTCTCCGAATTTTGTGATTTTCTTTGGGTGGCTCTTTTTAATTCTCAGCAGCACGCCTGTTTAAGGTGGCCGGTCTTGTTACGGTAGTTTGGATAGGTTTTTCAATAATAAAAAGAAATTTTTTGTGACGTAACTTACCTTTTAACCTCGAGAAATAGGTCCTTAACAAATTGCAAAAAAAAAAGAAAAGTAAAAAAAATTTCCTGACTCCGAAACTGACTGCGCAATAATGACCGGCCACCGGCCGCCGTAGTACTGTCTCAAACATGCGTGGCAGAGAGTCTTTCGAAAAGAAAATAATAGAAGTTCGATTTTTTACTCTTCTCTTACGTTATACTTTGGACCCTGACGCATTGAGAGACCTTTGTACCTTTGAAAATCTTTAGAGAAAACTGTTCTTTTTTCTTTCCGTTTTTTTTTCTATGGAAGGGTTCCCTCGTTCCGTGATGGTGCACGTGAATGCCATGTGATTGAAGAGAAAAAGCGGCTGCGAGGCGTCAGCCGGCCACATTTTTGAGCCGTCTCAGTTGATTTCTTCCAACCAGCCCGGTGGGTCGCCGACCAGAAAATGATGTTCTCAAGGTTGGCTTTTTTTTATTCCATATTTTCAATGTCATTAGTCGAAAAATCTTTTAATTATGGAATTAGGTTGAACATAAAATAAGCTTCACGCTGTCTAAAATTTTTCTTTTTTCTCGAAACTTGCACTTTGAAATGAATAATAAAAAAGAAGCTCATTTTATCGAATTTTCATGGCTTTCTCAAAGGACTTCTTGCACTTCAAGGAGAAACTTCGGTTTCGGAGCAAAATCGGGTGAAAGTACAGTCAAACTGCACTTTGTTTCACTCTAAAAAAATGATTTTTAGTCTTTTTTTACCCAAAAAAAATTTTTTTCAAAATGAGAATTTGCTAGTATCCATGCTCATTTTGAAAAAAAGATTGAATTTTCAGATTTTTCATTTTTTTAAAAGCACTCCAAACATAAAAAAAGTTGATAAGAGCCTTAATCACAAACATTTAAATGTTTTTAAAAAAACAAACTTTATCATTTCCAGGGCGTTTTTCTTTATTTGATATAAATTTTTATCATGTTTTTTTGGGCGTTTTTTTTCGGTTCAATAGCTTTATCATGCTCTAAAAAACCTTTATAAACGTGGAAATCGAATTTTTTAATATTCGGATCTTTTCGAACCTTCCTTTTCATTTTCCAAACGAAGAACTCTTCTGGGAACCGATCTTCTTCTTTGAATTTCACTTCCCCTTAAAAAAATTACTAGGTTCAACCCTATCATCAAGTACTTCCGTCAGTTGAATCACTAATCTCAAAATCTTTCTTTCTCTCGCCAACACTCTTTTAAAAGGAGCTCTCTCGTTTAATCTCCGCCCAGATCTTCAAGGTCCTTTGAGGTCGTCTTTTCCTAAAATTTTTGTTTCTTTCGAGAAAGTTCTTGAAATGTGTTATTTAGTTCATGAGTGATGTTCAGTCAGCATATTTTGATGTTTGGAACTACTTTAAAGCGTTGAATCGACAAAAATAATCAAAATGATTACGGTATGCGTTAAGGACGCATGCACTTACATTCAAACCGCAAGTTCATTCTCCGCGCAAATTTAGAAATATATTTTCTCTCTCATTTCTTGTTTTGTTTACATGAAATATTTTTTTACAGATTTTGTTGTAGTTCATCTTTGGAATGACTGAAAACACACAAGCGGAAACTATGTGGAATCGTGCGTGTTTTCTCACGCGCCTCGTCGCTTCTTCGGTCCGCGTTTCTGAAACGGCCGGTGGCATTATTAAGGTTTATTGCTGCTTTATGGCATTTTCACTCAAAATGAACAATTTACAGTCAGTTATGGCCGGTGGCGACTTGAAAATTGTCGACAAAAGCGAATTTGGCGAGCCGTCGGACCCTCAAACCGAAGCGGATCGTCGCGCTCAGTTTTGCATCGTTCAGTCGCTCCAGAAGCACTTTTCTCAGTTGAATATTATTGGCGAGGAGGTGAAGATGCCATAAAGGATGATTTTAATTTTTGCGAGTTCAGGACATCACTTCTGCCGTTCCAGATGTGGAGTTGGGCTACAGTTTGGACGTTTTGCGGACGGAGGCTCAGTTTTCCGATGATCTCAGGGCGATTAAAGAGGATGATGTGAATATTTTGTCGATATTGGATATGAAAAAAGCTTATTATTGATAAGTTTTCTCGAAATTTCAACTATTCTTATTATTTTCATGCTTTTTTTATTGTCCTTTCTGAGATGTAAAGAAGATTTTCGTGTATCTGATGTTCATAGTGATGATTTCCCATGATATCGTTACACTTTTGAAAGTTTTTTAAAGTTTGGCATAAAAAAATTCGAATTTCAAAATTTAAGGTCGTTGTTTGGGTCGATCCACTCGATGGAACTTCTGAGGTGGCCTTGGCCGTGAAGAATAAAAACGCGGGTTTGTTCATTAATGTATTTATTTAGGTATTCATGAATTTTTTTCTATGTTGTTCATTTCCGTACAGAGCTCTCGAAAGACAGGAAATCATTAGGAATGAAAATTTTCTGTTTAAAAATGTAATTTCTCTGCTTTTGAAACATTCTTGCTGTATTTCGAGGCATTTTGCGTTTCTCCTTTTTCTTACAATGTTAATTTATCGAAAAAATATTCATGCTGGTTAAAAATGCTTCAGAAAATTGTAAAAAAGGAAATATTCCAACCCTTTTTGAACAAGTAACATTTCTCATTGGAATCGCTCATGAAGGCCGAAAATATTCGCTTTTTTTTCACCTAAAAAACAACTTTTGTGTGTTTCCAAGCTTATTTTGTGCGTTTCGAGACATTCTAAACTTCTCCCACCCGTGTATTTCTTAAAAAAAATCTCTATTAACTCGCCAAAAACATCAAAGTTTTCACGTAACATTTCTCATTAGAATCGTGTAAAAAGCTGAAAATTTTCGCTTATTTTATGGTTAAAAAGGAATTTTCTCTGTTTTAAAGCACGTTTGCTGCATATAAAAAAATTCTACCTTTCTCCTTTTTGTGTATTTCTTTAAAACACGGCTGATTCGTCATGATTGATAACTAAAACTGCTACAGAACGGTTTAAAAATCAATATATTCCAGCTCTCCCCGAGCAAGTAACATTTATCGTTTGAATCGCTTATAAAGACTGAAAACTTTCGCTCTCTTTTTTACCTAAAGACATTTTTCTGTGTGTTTGAAGCACACTCGCTGCATATTTCCTCTTTGTGTATTTCTTTAAAAAACGGCTGACTCCTCAAAAAGGGGTTCATGATGATCAAAACTGCTACAGAAAAATTTAAAAATCAATAAATTCCAGCTCTCCTCGAACAAGTGACAGTTCTCATTGGGATCGCCTACAAAGGCCGGCCCGTCGCCGGCGTCATCCACCAGCCGTACTTTCAAGAGTCCGGACGCACGATTTGGGCGATACAGGGATGTGGCGTCCATGGCGTCACGCCCGCCACCGGTTTGGGTTCATTTTCCATCTTCTTCTGATTTTCATGAATCTTTTTTCAGGAGCCCCGACGGGCTCGAAGGTCGTCGTGACGACGAGAAGTCACTTGAGTGAATCTGTGACCGGCGCCTTGGATGCGTTGAAACAACGTGGCCTGGCCGATTCGGTCGAGAAAGTCGGCGGGGCTGGTTATAAGGTTTGAAGTTATGAAAAGTGATAGTGAATCGAGTTTTCAGCTTGGAAATATCCATTTTTCTCACTGTATCTATGCTTTGAAACTCCAGATTGTCCCTATAGGGGCAACTTCAAGCGCCCTTGGAGAGTCCCCTCTAGGAACCACTTTACCAGCCCCTACAAAGGCCACTAAGGCTTGCAAAAGTGGTCCCTTTAGGGACATGCTAATCAATGATTTTCATGAACTCTATGAGAAGAAGCGTTTCCATGCAAAAATTGAATAAATAATCGTTTTTTAAGGAAATTGAAAGACCCCTATAGGGACCACTTAAGCTTTAGGGCTAAGTGGTCAGATCCTAAACCCCTATAGGGACCACTTTTTCGGCCCTTATAGGAGCTGTTTTTCCCCAAATCTCTATAGGGGTTACTCTGTAGTTCCCAAGTAAGTAATTCCAATTTTTCCTGGAAGGATAGAGACGGACTTTAAGGCTTCACTTTAGGCTTTATCTATAGTCTGCTGTCTGCGTCCTCCACTAACCAGGCACTATCTCTGTTTTTTCGTGTCAGGACCATTTTTTCGAAGGCTCAAGCCAGCCGTGTATAGGTTTCATTCGAAATATTAGTGAAGCTGATGAGATTATTGGAATTTCTGAACTTTTTTCAACCTCATATCGTTTTCCAGGTCCTCAAAGTGCTGGAAGGATGTGCGGCGTACGTTTTTGCCAGTGCCGGGTGCAAAAAATGGGACACTTGTGCGGTTGAGGCCGTTCTTGCTGCGGCAGGTTTGCATTCAAACTTTGAAAAATGTTCGAAAATTCGAAATAGACGGAATTTTCATGTTTTGAATAAAAAATGTCTTTTTTATCGAATATTTTTCGATTATTTCCCTCCTCGAAGCTTGTAGAAATCACTTAAATGATCCCTTGATTGTCTCAAAGCAGTTATTGAAGTGTTCACTCAAGGGATTCATCTTAGGGTATTAAATTTCGAGATGAAGAGGCTTTGTGCAGGCTAAACCCTATAGGGACCACTACGAATTCACTCGGATATTTCTAGCAAGATAATTCGAGTGTTCACTTAAGGGTTAATCATAGGCTATCGAATTTTGGCAGTTTTTGAACCAAAAAGAGGCTGATTGGAGCCTAAACCCTGTAGGGACCACTACGAATTCACTCGGATATTTTTAGAAATGATATTTCAAGTGTTCACTTAAAGGATGCTTATAGGCTATAGAACTTCGGCAGTTTTTGGACTGAAAAGGCATTTTTGAAGCCTAAACCCTGTAGGGACCACTAGGAATCCACATGGATTATTTCTAGCAAGATAATTCGAGTGTTAACTTAAAGGTTACTCATAGGATATCGAATTTTGGCAGTTTTTGGACTGAAATGACAATTTTCAAAGCCCTGTAGGGACCACTAAGAACTCACTTTGATAATTTCTACCAATGATAATCTAAGTGTTCACTTAAGGGTTACTCATAGACTATCCGATTTTGGAAGTTTTTTGGGCTGAAAAAAAACTTTTCAAAGCCTAAACCCTGTAGGGACCACTAGAAATTCCCCTAGATTAACTTTAAGAAATGATAATCCAAGTGTTCACTTAAGGGTTAATCATAGGCTATCGAATTTCGGCAGTTTTTGAACCAAAAAGAGGCTGATTGGAGCCTAAACCCTGTAGGGACCACTACGAATTCACTCGGATATTTTTAGAAATGATATTTCAAGTGTTCACTACAGGGTTACTCATAGGCTATCGAATTTTGGCGGTTTTTTGGATTAGAAAGACAGTTTTTGAAGTCTAATCCCTGTAGGGACCACTACGAATTTACCCAATCATTTCTCAGAAATGATAATGTAAGTGTTCACTTAAACGTTAATCTTAGGATATCGAATTTCAGCAATTTTGGGACAAAAAAGACCCTTTTCAAAGCCTAAACCCTGTAGGGACCACTACGAATTTACCCAATCATTTCTCAGAAATGATAATGTAAGTGTTCACTTAAGGGTTACTCATAGGCTATCGATTTTCGTCATTTTTTTGGACTAAAAGACACTTTTCAAAGCCTAAACCCTGTAGGGATCACTACGGATTCACTTGGATCGTTTCTAGCAATAATATTTCAAGTTTTCACTTGAAGGTTTATCTTGGGATATTGATTTTTGGATGTTTTTGGACTAAAATGGCAATTTTTAAAGCCTAAACCATGTAGGGACCATTAAGAATTCACTTGAAATGATCGTCCAAGTGTTCACTTAAGGGGGCCGACTTTCCGACGTCTCCGGCCGCGATATTCGCTACGAGCCTTCGGTTCAGAAAAATAATACTGGCGGCGTTTTGGCCACCGCCCCCTGGGTTACTCATCAGGTGAGCTACCTTAATTAATAAGTATAATTAATTTAAAAAAATTCAGGAATACGTCGACTCGATCCCGCAATCGCTCAAGAACGCGTTGCCAGAAATCGCGGCGAAAAATTGAAATTTTTTCACGATTTTTTTCCCTCTGAATTATAACCATTTCATTCGTTAACCCCCCGTATTTATTGTCTGTGATTTATTTCGATTGGATAGAAATGTTCATAGTTTCGGCTCAAAAACAACAAAAACGGATAACAATAAGGTGGAGAAAAATTAACAAATATTGATACAATTTCGTCATTTTTGGACCATGGCTTTCTTGACGGCCGGCACGAATTCGATGTCTTCTTCGGATTTTCCCTCGGCCTTTGCCCGATTCAATTCTTTTCGCGATTTCGAGTTTCGGATCGTCTGGTGCTCTTTGGCGGCGCTAGAAGAGGGAAAATTTGATTTAAAAAAAAATTGCGAAAAAGTTAGAATTTTTCCTAAAGACATGATGTCGTGTTGAAAGTGATTCGTCAGACAAAGAAAAATATAACTGAATTTTGGAGAGTCAGAGATCATTTCGCATTTCGCGGAATCAAATTGAACACAGTATAAGCTCAAAATCTTTCACAAATCAAGTTATATATTAAAAAAATGCTCAGAAAATTCACTAAAGTGGTCGCTTTTGTAACTTTTTGAGCCAATATTTTTTGGTAAAAAGTACAAGCAAAGATTTCGATTAGTGAAGAAGCCCAAAATTGATCAAAAAGTCCCAAAAAACCAACTTGAAAATGTGTTTCGGGACGTTGCGATGTCGCGCGATTCGCCTAATTTCCGGATGTTCCTTATAAGTTTCCCTGAGCTTTTCGTTGTAGGCAAACGCGTCCTTTTCTCGTTTCGCCAACTGAAAAATCATTTTTGAAAGTACTTATCCAACAAGAAGCAGTAGATTCCACGCTAATTGTTGAATTTGTTATAAAAAAAAGTGAGAATCCCTTACCGGTCCCAATTTTTCCGAAGCATTGGCCTTCCAAACACGAACATTCATCTCATTACTTCCGGAAAGGACGAATTTATTGTCCGCCGACCAGAGAACCGACAAAACCGTGTTCATTCGCTTCGTGTAGTAGACATCTCTGAAAGTTTTAGAAATTCCTTCAAATTTCAGAAAAAATAATAATCCTAAGCCAAAAAAGGAAATTTTTTGAACTCAAAGTCGGAATTTTGAATAATGGCAGCAAATGAGTCCTTTTATCGAACCTTCCATTTTTCTGGGCTCAACAAAGCGTGGAAAAAGAAAGAGGCAGCAAAAATGGTGCATAAAAGCCGAGAAAATGACGCGAAAAGGCAGCAAAAAAGGAACCATTCTGGAGCCTTTTCGATTTTGCTTATGTATTTCGAATACATGGGCGAAGTCGGGAGGACCCTTTACTGGCCCTTTGAGTGACCATTATGGTTTAAAAAGGTTTCCATTAATGGTTCCTAAATGGAGGGGGTGACAGTTCTCTCATTACTGCCTTTTTTTCCGTCAGAATTCATCGACGGCCAAGACTTTCAGCACCCTTTATTGAGTCTTTTTAGCCCACCAAGAAGAAAAGGCTCAAAAAAGGCCGCAAAACGGAACCCTTCTAGCGGCCCTTTTGCATCTGTTTTGCGCACTTGCGACTTTGGCAGTGCTGTCCAAAAGCTATGAATTTGAAAAAACATAACACACATCTATCAATGTTTTTTTAAAAATTTAGTTCCTTAATGTTTCCACCGTGAAACGTACGTCAACCGGCTTTTTTTCAAGAAGCAATTTTGAAATTTTATTAAATTTTGCCGAAAGGCTCTTTGAGACACTGATTCCAAAGGGGTTGAAAAACCGCTTTTTATTTTAGAATGCCAGAAAAATGGCCTTATTTTCGTCCGCAATTTGTTTCTTATCTCTAAAGTTTGGTCTGCTTAAAATTTGCGTATCGTTTAAGCTAATAGCGCGATAAACCAATCAGAGAGCAACTGGGACATTTTTTAGAGGCCACTATAGGGTTTTGACGTTTTAGTAGCCACTATAGTGGTAAAATTAATGGCCACTAAAGGGTTCAAAATTAGTGGCCACTATAGAGGTCTAAGTGCTACTACAAGACCACTAAAAGTTTTAGTGGCCACTTTAGGGGTCAATGGATCAACATAACTGGTCCAATCTGTTCCTTTTAACATTATCAGAGTTACTAGAAAGGATACTGGATGAAAAACTACTGAATTGGCCACTAAAACGGAAAATAGTGGCCACTATAGAGATGGGTTTAGTAGCCACTTTAGTGTCCCCTCCAAGTGGTCTTTGGCGAGCCTCTATAGTGACCACTAAAAATTTTTCCAGAAGCCTTGCACAGAGCATTTTCAAATGACGTCATTCCTTTCCAAACTCTCACCGACTGCTCTGCTCCCGGGCCTTGAAAATGCGGACGGAACGATCGTAGGATCCGACAACGAATTCCTGACCGGTGGGCGAGTAATCAACGTCCAGAACCGCCGATGTGCAGCCATTGTGCGCCATGCAAGGGTGTTGCAGGTACCGCATGTCGAACGTGTACAGGCTGAACCATTCCAAGTCACTTTATGTTTATTTCAACCTTCTTTTTTTTCAAATAATACTCAGGTACGCCAAAGCGGTCCCTGTAGGGGTAACCGTAAAGACCTTCAAAAGGTTCCTTTTTAGGGACCATTTTGAAGTTTCTAAGTTAATTTTTGAGGGAGGTTCTGCGAAATTTTCAATTACAACTTTTTCATTCAGCCAACAGTCTGTTCCGATTTGGAAAGTCAAGCTCCGCCCCTAATGCTTCTATAAACCAATCAGAGATCGTTTTTGGAATGACGTAATTTTACTTGACATTCAAAATCTGAACAGACGAGCCAGATCTTAGAAATTCCAGAGTGGTCCCTATAGGGCTCTTTCAAATCAATTTAAAAAACGCCTATTTGATGCGTTTTCGCTTAGAGTTATCGACTAGCATGTCCCCCTATAGGGGCCCATAACTGAAAACCCTATAGTGACCACTTTTGCAAAATTAGTGGCTCAGGGGTTGCCCCTATAGGGACCACTCTGGAGTCACGTTTTTTTCTTTGATACCGTATATCTATAGTTTAAAATGAAGACGCGAAGACATACAGGTATTGAAGCGAAAAAGCTCTGAATACTGTGGTTTTCCCTAATTTTTTTTTAAATCAAAAGTGAAAAGTTCTCGGAATACTTATACCGCTGGAGAATACGGAAAATCATCTTTAACTTTTTTCATAATTTCAACTTTTTAAACGTCCTACAGTAGGATATACAGTATGCTAAAAAAAAACACATAAAAAATCTAAAATTGAGAAAAAGTCGGGAAACAAGCGGATCTGTACACCGTATCAATAATTATCCTAGGTTTTTTTTGAAAGTACAGAACTAAGAAATAATCGTGATTACTGTAGGATACGGTAGGTCACCTGTAATCTTCGCTGGCTACTGTAAAAATGAAGGCTTCCATCGGGTTCCAGGACAGGGCGTTCGGCCGTAGCTTCATTGTCACCTTAAAAACCATATTATTATGAAAAAAATAACCTTTTTTCAGCGGAACTTGCTGTCTGGTATCAAGAACGAAAATCGAACGATCAGTCATTGCGCCAATAATTACGTTTTCCTCGATTGGATTGGCGCGAATCGTGTGGATCGTGTCGTGACCCAAGGAGAAGGCTCTCAGAGGCGTGTCTCTGAAAAAAAAATGATGAAACCGTTTTTCTAATGGAACTAGATACTGGAAAAACGATGGACTATGAGAGAAAAATCACCGATTAACCCGCCAAACACTGACGTCTTCACCACAGGTTACATAATCTGAAGAATGCGCGAGGTGGGAAACGCCGTGGGCAACTCCTGAAGAGATTTTGATATTTGAATAAAATATGATCTTATGGCGTCGAAGAAATGCAGAATAACGGTCAGAAAGTGGAAAAAGATAACGACTTAAGAATTCCAGAGTGGTTAGAGGAGATAAAAAACCCCTGTAGGGGCCGAGAAAAGTGGTCCCTCCAGGGGTAAATTTAAGATGGTCCCTTAGGGTTTAGTCTAGAGTATCGCCCCTAAAACTCAAGTGGACCCTATAGGGGTCTCTAAATTTCATTCAACAACGCTTATTTAACCAGTTTTTCCCATGGACAAGCTTATAGTTCATAAAAATTATCGGCTAGCATGTCCCCTATGGAGGCCACTAACTAAAAAACCTATAGGGACCACTTTTGCAAGCTTTAGCGGCCCCTATAGGAGTTGGTGAAGCGGACTCTAGAGGGATCACTTAAGGCCCCTATAGGGACCACTCTGGAGCTTTAAGTACATTTTAGAGATTCAGAAATAATTTTGAATTTCGCGGAGAGTACTTCGAGCAAGGCGTTAGCCAAAAAGTTGCAAAATTGTGAAAGATTGGAAATTTTAGTTTGCAATGTCAAAATTTCAATATTAGAAGGATTCTGGCTTGAAATTAACACTGAAAATTAAAAATTAAGAATTTCGGCTTCTAAAAGTTCTTTTTAAGGAACCTACTTAATTCTAGCTTTATATCGATATTTTTCATTAGATTCTACATTTGACAAATGCGCACAGTAGCAGGGAAGCGTTAATTATTCGGAAATGAAAAGAAGAAAAAATGAATAAAATTCGCAGAAAGTAAATGGGATAAAGAAATTTGGTTGCCTTTCCAGCAAAAACACCCTTCAAAGCTTCAAAAAATACGATAAACATCAAATTTTAATTCTAGAATTTCTCTCAACAAAATAATCCGCCAAATAATAATAAAAATATCCTTTCATGATTCTCACCTGTCAAAGCAACAGAATGAGATGGCTGTTTGATATTATCTTGGAGATTCCGGGGAATTTTCCAATACTTTATCTGACAATCTTGTCCCACAGTTACAAATGAATCTCCAGCGTCGTTGTCAACAGAAACACCTGGAAATGTCTCACTATTAGAAAATATAAACCAAAAACTAGGAGGAATTACCATTTAAAAGTCCGTGATGAGCTTGAATGGTGGCTTGGCAAGTTCTCGTGGGAAGATTCCAGATTTTCACTTGCCCATCTCGAGCTCCGGATAATATTGTAGATGGTTGCTCTAAAAATATTCTCTTTTCTCTTTTTGAGTGTTTTTTTTTTTTCAACTTGGATGCTTGGCAAGGACGTGAACGCCTTCTAAATGACCATCCAAACTGGCGACGAAGGGCTTTGCGAAGACTCTCTCCAATTTTGTGGCATTCAAGGCTCTCGTGTACTCAGTTTGAGCTCTGAAAGGGTCCGCTGGTAGATTGAAATTCCGAACCACTGAAAAGAATCATAAGGAAAGTTGAAATCGAATGAAAAATTAAGATTTACCTTTGTGCAGCTGCTTCGTTGTTTCGCGCTGATATGTATTGGGGTTCCTGGATATTACTTTGACCTTCATTCTGCAATATTATAACGATAATTTAGTGAAAAGGCTTTCAAAAGAGCATGATGCCGTGTTCAAAGTGATTCCGCGAAATTCAAAATAGCCGTCAGAGAAAGAGAAAGATAACTAAATTTTGGAGGGTCAGAGACCATTTTGCATTTAGCGGAAATTACTTTGAACACGGCATGAGCAAAAAAAAAAGAAAAGAAAAATAATATTGGCAAACGCAACTCGCACGCGGAGTTTATGCAAAAAACTGGGTGCGTGCACAGAATCTTTTTACAGCAAACATTTTTGCATGTCCATTTTTTTCTTTCATTTTTTTTCTATTTTCTCTACTTTTTATTCTTTAAAGGTAGTGTGTATTGTCGAAGTTGCTGAGGCCTATATTTTGAAGGATCTTCTATTTCAGTATAGTATATTCATTTCGCGTTATAGTTGTGTTCCTTTTTGTTTCGCCTTTTTTTGTTTTTATTTACTTGAGTTTTTCAGATTGTTGTCTGTTAAGCTCAAATTTGGGACTTTATTAAAATGACATCTTTATCAAATCAATTGGAAGTACTCCGTACAGCCACCGCAAGACACTTGACAGTCGAGAAGCGGCACATTTCCCTGCTGTTCGACAAAAAAGACGCCGGTCAATTGAATGATCAGACCATTTGGAGGATAGGTAAGGTTATAAAGAACGATTTTACGAAGTAAATAGTTTTCAGGAGTCGCCGGACTCGAGCAAATGAAGCGAATCGACGGGGTTTTCGATGGTGATAAAACTCACGCCTATCTCTTTGACGAGAAGAGAATCGGATTTGTGCGAAGTTTGCTCACACAGGAAGAGAATGAGAGGCTCGATGCGAAAATCGAGAAGATTTTGTTCCAATTGTCGCCTTATTTGCAACATTTTGCCTGTCAGCAGGTCTTGGAGTACCTCGTCCACACCTATCATGTTGGTTTTCGATGAAAAATTTGTCGAAAAATTTAATTTTGGGAAATTTTAAAGTATTATATAGTAATTTTGGAGTTCTATGTTGTATATGCGTTAAAAAGAAACGTAAGGAAGGTCGTTGGGTTAAAAATCTTCAAGCCTTAAGTTGCGTTGGAAATTAACTTGTCTTAAAAAATATATATTTCAGTTCATTGTTCATGAAAAAAAAACCAATTTTTCGTTCAGATCTACGCCTACAACGCCGAGACATTAATCGTTACATTTCTCCCATTCCATGACACGAAAATCTACGCAAGAATCTTGAGAATCTTGGATTTCGACTGGAATCGGTCCAAGGAGTGGGCTTTCATGAAGGAGCTTCAGATGACGGAAAATCCGATTCCATTCTCCTCGGTTTGAAATTATCGTTTTTGTGTGGAAATAAATTTGTTTTTGTTTCAGATCGTCAAGGCGACCATGGCCGGGGCTCATTCAATCATCACACGTCTTTCGGATCATATCAGTAAAGGCGTTGAGGTGCCCCTTAAGCGGATTTTTTTTTTCTAAAATCTGGGAATATCTCAAGTGTTTTTAGGAACTTTGAGAGGTCCTCAAATTTGTCAAATAATGGGGCAAAGGTCTAAAAATCTTCATTTTATCCCTTTTTCAACGTGTTTCCTGTCGATTGTCTTCTTTTCTTTTGAATTTTATCTTTCTGAAAAGAAACTTTCTAATAAATAGAAGTAAGAAAGCGCTAGGAAGGTCTTTCAAAGGTATTTTTAAGGTCCCTTGAAAATAGGGATACAACGAAAATGAATCAAACCTGACGATCTAAAAAGAACTTCTAAAAAAACTTTTTTTAAAGATTCGATTTTTTTATAATTTCCTTTTGAATAGGTTTTTTTAAAAAAATCTTATTAGAAGCTTTTCAGGGTTTCAAAGTCAGAAATATATCAAAGCTGAGGATCCAAATAAAATTTCGGAAAAGGAACCTTTTTTTCAATTTTTTTATAAATTTCTGCTGGACTGGTTATTTTTTTAACCATATTAAAAGTCCTAACAAGGTCAATTTATTAAAAAAACTTTTTTTCAGGCTCTCTGAAAGTTTTTTTCACTTAAATAATAATTTTTTTCCAATATATTTCAAATATTAAGTTTATATAATACAGTTTCGTCAGAAAAAAATACGAAAAAAACGGTTTTTTTCATCATAACTTCCTTGTATGGAGTTTAATCATTCTGAAACCTTTTGGAGGTGTCACGATCGTTAGTTTAATTATTCTGGGGAAATTTCAATTTGCTGAAAAAAAACACAGCTTCATAGATTTTTCTGAAAAAAATGAGGCCTTTTTGACTTCGCGACCGGGAATTCCCTCAAATTGACGAGAAATCACCTTAATAATAATATTTTTTTGTACACGAAGTTACAACAATTGATAAAAAAAAGTCCGTTTGTAGCCTAATGAGTACAGTTTGACCCAATAAAATATACCTTAATATACCAATAATAGTCTCTTGAAGTTTCAACCTGTAAATATTCCTATTTTTCAAAAAGTAAAGGCTCAAAGCATGAAAGTAGCCTATTTTAAAGGATTTTAGGGGATTTCTTTGACTTCGAGGTGTTCTTTTTCGAAAACTAGGAGATTGGACAGGTTGGGACTTTCATAATATTCAACCAGTACATCAAAAAGTGGTGGTATGAAAAAAAGACTAGCGAATATTCAAACGGCGACTTTTCCGATTTTTTCTTATCGCTAGGGAACTTTCCGACTTTTTTTCCCCTATATTTTTCGGTTTATAAAACATCTATAAACTTTTCCTATTTCTTTGTGTTTTAATCATGAACCAACTACCTACTTTATATAGGAAGATTTAAAACGCAGATTTTATCGAGAAAAAAAGTCGGAAAGTTCCCTAGCGATATGAAAAAATCGGAAAAGTCGCCGTTGGAATTTTCGCTGGTCTTTTTTTCATACCACCCAAAAAGTATTCTGACCAATTTTCAGGAAAACAAAGTAAAATGAGCCGAAAGGTCCCCTTTATTTTTTCAAGAATTCATTTTTATCAAATTAAGCTCGTCGGCTCGGATTTTCTCGAATCGAAAGCGCCCGTTCTCTTCAATTTCTACGCAAAACTGCTGGTTTCGCTGTTCAACGACCCTCTGCAAGTGGACGAGGGCCTTTTGAGCAAACTAATGCCCTTCGTCGAGCATGGAATCAAGTAGAATATTTTATTCATTTTTTAAAAAATTAGGTAATTATTTTCCAGAAGCCCCATGATTTCTTTCCGTTATACGGCTTTCATGGTCGTTTGCCAGCTGGTTTTGACGGTGAAAATCAAGCCGGAAATCGTGCAAGCCCTCACGAAACTCATCATAATGGTAGCTTTTCATTGGAATTTTTTGACAAAGAAAAATTCTGGCGAAAAAAATTACAAAATTTGGGGTCCCCACCGCCCAGAAAGCCCAAAAAGGATATAATCAACCATTTTCGAGAAAAAAAGAATTTTTTTCAGCTTTTTTTCACTAAAAAAAGTTTCAAAAAAAGTTGGAATTTTTTTCAAAAAAATACCTACAGTAACCCAGCGAGGGGGCGGAGCCTCACAGTAACTATCCTAAAAGCTTACACACTCATAGGCAACGTCGGAGCGTCCGTTATGGATCAAAAGGTCCCCATTTATTGCTCCTAAATGGTTTCCTTTTTACTGCCTTTTTCCGTCCTTTCATCGGCCTTTATTGACCCTTTTTGGACCCTTTGAGAAGCACAAAATTTTTCAAATTGAAGATGATCTTTACCGTGACTGTGTATGAACTAAAATGTGCTACAGTAATAAAATCAGAATTCATCGATGGCCGAGACTTTCAGCACCCTTTTTGAACCCTTTTTCCACCCTTTATTGAGTCTTTTTAGCCCACCAAGAAGAAAAGGCTCAAAAAAGGCCGCAAAACAGAACCCTTTTAGCGGCCTTTTTGCACCTGTTTTCCGCACTTGCGACTTTGGCAGTGCTGTCCAAAAGTTATGAATTTGAAAAAACATAACACACATCTATCAACGTTTTTTTTTAAAATTTAGTTCCTTAATGTTTCCACCGTGAAACGTACGTCAACCGGCTTTTTTCAAGAGAGCAATTTTGAAATTTTATTAAATTTGGCCGAGAGGATCTTTGAGACCCTGATTCCGAAGGAGTTGAAAAACTGTGCTTTTTATTTTAGAATGCCAGAAAAATGGCTTTATTTTTGTCCGCAATGTTCCCCTTATCTCTAAAATTTGGTCTGCTTAAAATTTATCGTTTAAGCTCCGCCCCTTTTAGCGCCAAGAGAGCGAATTTGCCGAAAGGCTCTTTGGGACACTGATTCTAAAGGGGTTGAAAAACTGAAATTCCTACCGTAACCCAGTAAGGGGCGGATCCTTACAGTAACTAGCCTTAAAGCGTGTCAAGTAACTGTGACAGTAATTCCGCGAAATGTAAAGTTATCTCTGATTCTCCAAAACTTAGTTATCTTTTTCTTTCTTTGACATTGCCAAAGTCGGAAGCGCGGAAAAAGGGTGAAAAATGGCCGCTAAAAGGGTTCCGTTTTGCGACCTTTATTGAGCCTTTTTTTCTTGGTGTGCCTCGAACATATGTGGCTAACAGGGTGTTTTTCACTTTCGTCCCCCCTATTCATTCAGGTGGCTTTCTAAGCCGCGGAAAAGGCATTTATATTATTTATCGAGCTTTTTAAAGTACATTTAGTAGGAAATTCATTGCCTATCTTTTTGTCTAGAAGATAAAATCGCGTTGAATCGTAGAAATAGCCTTATAAAAAATTCCAGAAATGATTAATCGACCTGAATTCTGGTTTGAATGCTACCAATGAATGAATTATACATGCTCATCAAAATTTAAGCTGTTTGAAAAATTAAAAAAATAATTATCAATTTCTGACCCCATTGGAAAATTATTTCTGGAGACGTGCACTTTTTTGGCTCAAAATCATTATTAACCTTGAGAAAATTCTAAATAAGTTATATGCTCCGAATTTCCAAGCTTTTAGACGTTTTTTGACAAAGTTACAGTGTTTCAAAATGTTATCACTTGACGGTAGCTGTGCAAAAAGGGTGCTGAAAATCTCGGCCATTGATTTCCGATTTTATTACTGTAGCACATTTTGGTTCATACACAGTCATTGAAAAGAATATTTTATTTCTATTTCTCAAAAGGGTCCAAAAAGGGTGGATTAAGGGCGATGAAAGGTCGGAAAAAGGCAGTAAAAAGGAAACTGTTGCCATCCGTTTAGGAACACTCATTAGAAACTTTTAAACCATAATGGTTGCTCAAAGGGCCCCTAAAGGGTCCTTCCGGCTTTGCTTTCTGGAAAATTTGTATATCGCGAAATCTCTTTGAACACTGCATAAACTTAAAAAAACGTATTTTTCAAGAAAATCCGCGCCGAAACGGTCACCAGCTCATTATCAACACTGGCCGTCATTTGTCAGCAGCAAATCGTCGATTCATTCTCCAACAAGTGGATAATTCCTTCAAAAAAAAAAGAAATGAAAGATGGAAAATTCCAGAGCCGTCCAAAAATTGCTCAGGAACGGTGAGACTTTCGGTGTTTGGACGGCCGTAAGAGACTTGGGCGCAAGAACGGATTTGACCAATTTTCTGAAGCCTCTTTGGAGGAATTTGTTCGAGGCGGCGAGGGGAATCGGTGGGTTTTTTTCTGGTGTAGGAAAGAAAAAAAAGTAGGAAAAATTAGCTGAATTTTTAAAAAGAGGTTGTGAAAAAAATTGTGAATTTTAGGATTTTTAGGATTTTTTTAGGATTTTTTTAGGTTTTTTTAAAGATTTTTAGGATTTTTAAAGATTTTAGAATTTTAGGATTTTAAAGATTTCAGGATTTCAAAGACTTTAGGATTTTAGAATTTTAAAGCTTTTGAGGATTTTTTTAAGACTTTAGGATTTTTTTAAGGTTTTAGGATTTTTTTAAGATTTTTAAAGCTTTCCTGCCGCTCTGGGGATTGCAAAATGATAATAGGGTATGAAGCAAAAAAGTAGGAAAAATTAGCTGATTTTTTTGAAAGAGGTTGTGAAAAAAATTGTGAATTTTAGGTCTTTAAAGATTTTTAGGATTTAAAAAGATTTTTAGGATTTTTAAAGATTGATTTAAAAAGATTTTTAGGATTTTTTTAGGATTTTTGGAATTTTAGGATTTTTTTGGATTTTTTTAGGATTTCAAAGCTTTCCTACAGCTCTGGTGATTACAAAATAATGATATGTTGCTTGTAATTTAAATTTCAGAGTTATTTTAATTTTTTTAAAGAGTTTTCTGAGCTTACATGTTAGAAACAGCGAAAATCTTCAAGGAATACATAAATTTGGAATAAAAAAATATTTTTAATTTTTTTAACTGATTTTTTGAGTTTCTTTACTGTATTCACATCTTGATTACCTTTCAAAAAAATGAGATTTTTCTGTATTTTTCAAAATGAGATTTTTTTGGATAGCTTCGGAGGGTTTTCTGAGCTTAGAAACAGCAAAAATTTTCAAAGAACGGATAAATTTGGAAAAAAGAGATTTTTATACAAATTTTGAGTTTTTAACTGTTATTTTTAGTACCTTTACTGATTCACATCTTGATTACCTTTACAAAAATGAGATTTTCTGTATTTTTTTTTCAAAATGAGATTTTTTGGATAGCTTCGGAGGGTTTTCTGAGCTTAGAAACAGCGAAAATTTTCAAAGAACGGATAAATTTGGAAAAAGAGATTTTTAGTTTTTTTAGCTGGTTTTTTTGAGTACCTTTACTGTATTCAAATCTTGATTACCTTCACAAAAATGAGATTTTGTTCAATTTTTTTTCTAAAATAAAAATTTTTTCAAAGGTTTGAAGGGTTTATTCAAGTTTTCGAAGTACCTTATTATTTTTAAGGCGTTTTTCAACGATTTTCTCGCCTTGAATAGTTGATTTTTCATCACAAAAGATAAAAAATCCCCCCAGAAAACTGTAAAATTCGACACTTTTCCAGATTCCGAAGGCGAAGACAGTTCATTGGCACTTGCTGGGCTTCTGGAAACTACGGACTCCAATATTCTGACGGCTAAACAGGCTCAAATCTTCCTGGAACTTGTTCGTGATATAAAAATATAGTTACATTCATAATTTTGTAGTGATCCTACTTGATTTCTTGAAAAATACGTCAAGTTTTTGATTTTTCCTGGTCTAATTCAACAAGTGAGAGTTTAAAATCGGGAGATTCCTGGAAATTGGTCAGAATAGTTCCTATAGAAGCAAAGGAATCATTAGAAAACTGAGGGTTTTTGCTTTCAGAACCTAAAATCTTCCTACAAGAAAGGTCATTTTGCTTTTCGGATGGGATTTTCCTGAAAATTGGCCAGAATATTTTTCGAAGTACCAGAAGACGATTCTGAAAGTCTCAACCTGCAAAAGCTACTAGTTTTTGAAGGCTTCAAGTCCCAAAATAACCCATTTTTACGGATTTTGATTGGTTCCTTTCTTGAAAAAATGGGAATTTCTGGCTTTTGGGCCTCCTGGAATCTATTTTTAGTACACTTAGAAGAGCTCTGGCCGATTTTTATGAAGTTTCCAGCCAAAAAAGTAAAATGACATTCCTTGGAGGTTAGCAAAAACATTAAATTCAGTTGAAAAATCTTTTTCTGGGATGGCTAAAAAAAGCATTGGAAAAAAAATTTTTTTCGAAGGTTTTTTTATGCAAAGAAAATTTATATTTTTAACATTTTTTTGATCAAAAAAAGATCTAAAAAAATTGAGAAATTTCACACTCAGGAACCTTAGAGTGACCCCTAGAGTAGCTAGAGGAAAAACAGCTACAATAGGGGACAAATAAGTGCTCCCTATAGGGGTGAAACTTAGGGGAGCTAGGGAGACTTCAAGGACTTCTAAGATTGACCCTGTAGGGACCACTCTGAAGTTTCTAAATTGAACATCGACCAGCATGTCCCCTAAAGGGGTCACTAACGAGAACCTCTATAGGGACCACTCTGAAGTTCATAGGTAAACAATAATAGACCAGCATGTCCCCTACAGGGGTCACTAACGCAAACCCCTCTAGGGACCACTCTGAAGTTTCTAAATTGAACATTGATAGACCAGCATGTCCCCTACAGGGGTCACTAAGGCAAACCCCTATAGGGGCCACTTTCGAAAGCTCCAGGGACAACTCTAGAACTTTCAGTTGATCGGCGAAGCTTCATCCGGCTTTTTCATCGAGAAAAAGAAGCATTTGGCGAATATTCGTGGCATTTGTGCCAGGTTTTTTGTGTATATTCTGAAAAATATGTTATTTTTGATTTTTATAGATTTTCTGATGAGCTGGATGCTCTTCATAAGGAATGGACCTCCAGGGACCCGAAAATTTTGGAAGAGTTTTTGGAGAAATATCAGTTGAAGGAGCTGGTTGTGGTGAGTTTTGGGGTTATTTTTGAGTAGTAAAAATTTTTTTTTGGTAGTTTTTATAAAGAAAAATAATGAAAATAGGTTCCATAGGAAGGAATACTGGAAAAACGCTTTGAAAGATTGGAAAAAAATACCGTGTTTATGATTTTTTTCAATGAACTATCAATTTTGAGAGGAGAAGAGCAAGAAAAAAACAGGTACCGCGATTTTTTTGGGAAACTGTAAAGTGATTTAAAAAGACCGAAAACATATTTTTTTAAAGAAGTTTTAAAAATTTTTAGGGTCAACACGCTATTGGAAAAAAATTTCTGTTCGATTGACAGTTTTGAAATTTTTTTATACAGATTTCATCAATAATATGGCTTCTTTATCACCTTTAAAGTATTAGAAAAAAATGAAAAAAATAAGAAAATTCAAGATTCGAGTGAAAGAAGACGCGAAGAAGAAAAAGAACGAGGAGAAGGTCGACGTCGATGAGAAAAAGTGTCGGGAACGATTTGGAGCCGAATGACGAGAGTAAAAAGGTAAACAGGATTTCTAGGAGCTTTTGAAAAATCCCTATAGGGGGTACTTCAAGTGTCTCCCTTTAGGGGGTCCTTCAAGTTTTTCTCTTTAGGGGTCCTTCAAGTTTCTCCCTTTAGCGGGGCCCTTCAAGTTTTTCCCTTTAGGGACTCCTCAGTTTCTCCCTTTTCAAATTTCTCCCCTTAGGGGTCCTTCAAGTTTATCTCTTTAGGGACTACTTCAAGTTTCTCTCTTTAGGGGCTCCTTCAAGTTTCTCTGTTTAGGGGGTCTTTCAAGTTTCTCATTTTTGCGGTCCTGAAAGTTTATCCCTTTAGGGGGTCTTTCTAGTTTCTCCCTTTAGGGGCTCCTTCAAGTTTCTCCCTTTTCAATGTCTTAAAAAACTCCCTATAGGGCGCACTATATCTCAATCTCCCTTTAGGGCCCACTTCAGCTTTTCCCAGTGATCAATCATTTTTTATTTTTTCCCATGGTATCAACTTTATTCCGTGAAGTTTCCCCTCAAGGGGACTTTGGAATTTTCGAAAATTTGGTCGCAATCTTAAAACTAAGACCTTCGAGAAGACATCAATAAATATACTAATAATTCAAAATTCAGAAGAAGACGGCCGTGGAAAAGGCTGAAGAAATGGCGGCGGCTTCGGAATTCGCCAAGAGGAAAGTCTTCGGCGGAGATCCCCTGAACAAGGCTCGAACTTGGATCGAAGACGGCGAATGGGCTAATGTAATTTTCAAGGAAATCTTATCTCCGTGGTGTCTCAACGGGTCTACCCGTATTAGACCCGCTTTTGTTTGAGGCTAGGTTGTGCAAAAAACGGGAGGAAAACGGGTGTAAGAAGAAATAGGGACTCAGCTGTATTAAAATGAGATGAAAAATGCCGAAAGTTCTACCAGATTCGCTTAAAAGGCCTTTCAACGGGTACGCCCGCTAAGACCCTTTGTAAAAAAGGAGGAAAACTGGTGCAAGAGCCGTGATTTTTTCGAAAATTTGGGACCTACCTGTACTAAATGATGACCAGGTGCCTCAAAAGGTGTACCCGTGTTTTTCGTGACTAAGTTGTATCAAAACGGGATGAGTAATGCCAAAAGTTCAAACAGCTTAACTTGAACGGGTTCAACCCGTCAAGACCCTGCACGGCTCTACTACCTCTCATGCTGGCCAGGTGTTTCAACGGGTCTGCCCGAACTAAACCCGCTTTTTTTTTGAGGCTATGCTGTACTGAAACGGGAGAAAAACGGGTGCAAGAAGAAATAGGTCCCCCGCTGTGATTATTTCTGAAATTCGGGACCCTATTTAACAAAAAAAAAAGTGCTTCAGTTGTGTTAAAAATGCCATAAGTTTCACCAAAGTATAAACGGGCTTAACACGGGTACACCCGCTGAGCTGACACCCCGTGTTAGCACGGCTGTGCTACCTCTCATGCTCGCCAGTTGTATCAAAAGGTGTACCCGTATCAAGCCCACTTTTTTCAAGGCGAAATTGGCTGTGGTTATACCGTAAGTTTGAGGCCTAAATGTACGAAATCGGGGTAAAGAATGCAAAAAGTTTTATCAGCTGTACTTAAACGGGCTTGACACGGGTATACCCGCTCAGATCCTCTGCTAACATGGCTTTGTCACGTCTCCTGCTAACCAGATATTTCAACGGGTGTACCCGTACGAAAGTCGCTTTTTTTAAAAATTTATGTTGTACTAAAACGGGAGAAAAACGGGTGCAAGAAGAACTAGGTTACCCGGCTCTCATTTTTCCGAAAACCTGAAACCCTAAATAAAAGAAAAAACTGGTGCGAGAAGAAATGGGCGGCTCACAGCCGTGATTATTTCAAAAATTGAGACCTAACTGTAAAACTGCCAAAAGTTCTACTAGTTGTACTTAAAAGGGCTTAACACGGGTACACCCGTCCATACCCTGCCTGGCTGGCCGACGTCTCATTTGCACTAGAGTGAAAATTGATTCCAGGTGACCTGGGCACTTGAGGAAATGGCGACCAGAAAATCGTATCTGAGCGGAAAAGCTGAAGACGACGTGGAAGAGTTCGCCGTTGAGCTTATCGTCGGAGCTTTGGAGAAGAAAAAGGGGCTGGATTTGGCGGCTGTGAAGGCTGCTCTGGCCTCGGTTTGTGTTGATTTTTGAACTAGGAGAGTTTGATGAGAAGAAAAATAGGTTTTGAAGTTTTTATTGAGCTTGAGAGCTTTTGCACTTTGAAAGTTAGATAATTTATTATTTTTTGCGTAGATTTGGAATTTTTTTTGTCGTTTGGACTGTAGGGAAGTTGCAGAAAAAGCAAAAAATGAGCGAGCAGGTCTCTCCGAGATTTCAAATTGGTTTTAGAGCTATTTTCACGGCTCAAATATTTCCAGACCTCGTTGAGCCCGAAGTTCATCGCCGACCTCCTCTCAAAACACGACTCGACCTCGGAAAAGACCCCAAAAAGGCCGAAAGGACCTCGTGGCGTGGCCAACGTCAGCCCCGTCGTCAAGGTGTTCAACGACGAGTCCCTCCAACAGTTCAACAAACGCGTCTTGTTCGTCTTGGAGCTGCTCCAGATGCGCGACGTCGTTCCGGCTTCGGCCAACGTCTTCCAAGCGCTTTTCGACATCGTTAAACAGTGCGTTTTTTTGGGAGAGTAAATGGGGATTTGGCCTTGAAATTTTTCTTTGGGGGCATACTTCGGCCGGATTCCACCCCGGGGTGCGGCCCACCCCCTCAAACTGCGGCTTACCCCCCGGGCATACGTCGGCTGGATCCCACCCCGGGGTGCGGCCTACCCCTTACCCCTCTCCCCCGAAAAGTAGGGACTACTTTTAAAAAAAGGCTGGGGTGGGTTCCAGCCGACGTATGGGGGAGTTCAGATTTTAATGGTGAAAAAAATATATTAGGTTAACCTTGCACAATTGGAATTATCAAAAAAAGGGATATTGGTTTTCCGGTGGATTTTTTTGATGATTATTTATAATTTTTGTAAGGTTTTTAACTTTGAAAGTTCGATTAAACTTTTTTATTTTTTTGGTTTTTTTCCATATTTTTAGAGTTTTTTTATGAGTCATTCTATAACGTTCAGGGTATCATTGAGTATGAAAAAATCATCATGGCTTTTATAATTTTTTTTTTCCTTCTCTTGCCTCAAAAGTTCATAGAATCCAATAATTTCTAACAAGAATAGCGACATTTTTTTCTTTTATGATTCAATTTTTACTCTTATTAAGAGTTTTGAAGACGTTTTTTGAGTTTTTCATGCACTAAAAGTTCATATTTTGTTCTTCTTATAACACAGGAATGGCTACTGTTTTTTTTTTCTTTAGAAGAATTATTTTTTGAAGAATCAACGCCTCGAACGAAGCCGAACAGTCCTCGTATCAGCAACAGTTGGCCGTGGCGATCGTCACGAAGTTGTTGAATAATCCCGGTATCTGAAATATCCCTTGGAAAAAATCATCCTTTTTTTGTAGGAAAATACAAAGTGACGACGTCGGATCTGGACATGGACTGTGTGGTGGAGACGATGAGATCCACTCATAGTCATCATTTGTTGAGGGACTCTTTGAGGCTGCTCACATCGGCTGTCAAGCATTCGCCGGTGGGTTTTATGGAAGAAGCTTAGGAACTCCAGAGGGGTCCCTATAGAGGCAACCTTAGGGGCCCCTCTAGGGACCAATGAAGCTGTCAAAAGTGGTCCCTATAGGGAACAGGCTAGTTGATAATTGCTATGAACTCTAAGCGGAGAAGCATTTTCATGAGAAAAACTGAGAAAAACCCGTTTTTTGAATGAAATTCAAAGTTTACTAAAGGGTCCACTTGAGCTTCAGGGGCTTAGAGGTCAGACTTTAAACCCCTGTAGGAACCACCTTAATTTTACCCCTCTAGGGACCACTCTTCCGGCCCCTAAGGGGACTTAATTTTTGCCCAACTCCGGGTCAGAGTTTTCTCATTAGGGTGAACTATATCCCATTACTGGATTTTTTTATTTATTTCTTAGGGGTTTGGATCATGAAGCCTTGGTTTCTCTCACTACCTAAAAAGTTTCTTAAACTTCTTGGTTGGGTCGAATTTGTGGCCCTGAAGTGTTTTTGCGAAGTTTAAGGTAGCTGGTTGGTTTTCTATGAATCAAAAAAAAAAAAAGATATTCTAAGCTTTTTGGGATCCCTCTCGATACAAGGAAAGTCATTTCACTTTTGAATTTCTTGAAAAATTGCCAAAATTTTCTTGATTTGTGATCCTGAAAGGCTCAAGTTCTTCATTTTGAGGAAAGACACCTTAAAGTGGAAGTAAACCCTCGAAATCCGTTAAAATGAGCTTTTTCGCGAAAACTAGGAAGCTCTGCAAATTAGGACTTTCTGAATCTTCTTCTGGTACATCAAGGCATGAACAAATTCGGAAAAAGGCTCCATAAAAATGTCCCTTTTAGGGTGACAAAGGTTCCTTTTTTGCTGCCTCTTTGCCCCATTTCATCGGCTTCTATGCACCAATTTTGCTGCCTCTCCCTTTTTCCACCATTTCGTGAGCCTTTAATCCCAGAAAACATGGAAGGCTTGATTTCCACCATTTCGTGAGCCTTTAATCCCAGAAAACATGGAAGGCTTGATAGATGGACTCTTTTTGCTTCCTTTCTGCAACCTTTTTTAGACCTATCTCTTTAGCGACCATTATCCACCATTCCGACTTTGCCCGAGCGAGTGTTTTTAGAATTTTAAGACTTCAGATCAAAAAAGGAGTCAAGAAATGAACGAAAAGATAATTTTATCATTCCTTGGATTCAGGCCGACGTCGTCAAGCACATCATGTCGGTGTTCACCTTCATGGGAAACGGACTGTTGAGAAAAGACAACGAGATGACGCTGGGAATCGTGGAGCGGACTGTCGAGTCGCTCTTCCAGGCCATCATCCTCACGGAGGCCGGCGACAAGGAGAAGCTCATCGAGGTGTCCCGACTCTTCGCGGCTTCCGCCTGCGACATTCCCGCCCACAGAAGGCCGAGAATCGCCCGCGCCATCGCCAGAGCGGTTGGAGCAGAGAATGCGGCCTTGGTCACGATGGTCTTGTTGGCTGGGTGAGCTTTTGAGGGCTTGGAATCGGAAAAATGGATGGGAAAGTTGAAAAAGCTCAAGTTTCTTGAAATATTCAGCTTGAACTTATTGGAGTGGTGTTTTTCAAGAATGACTCAAATGTTATATATTTGACGATAGAGCACAAGATTTACCCTAGGACGAGCTCAGTGAAGCTGAAAACTGAGAAAACATGAGAAATTGGTTAGAAATCTAGGAAGAAGTTGAGAAAACAGGGGCAGGAAAGCTCGTAAAATTTAAAAAATCGTTTTTTTCCATAAAGTGGTCTTAGGAACTTCAGACGGGTCTATATACCTTTAGCGACCACTTTACCTCCCCCTCTAGGGACCACTAAGGCTTGCAAAAGTGACCCTATCGGAGGTTTCAGTTAGTGGCACCTATAGGGGACATGCTAGTCGATTATTGTCGTGAACTTTAGGAGAAAAATGCGAAAAAATCAACAAACCAGCGTTTTTTTAATGAAAAAGATCAACATAGGATAAAAGGATCAAGTTTGTATTTTTAATTTTCAAAAAATCAAAAGACCCCTATAAGGACCACTTAAGCTTTGGGATCTTGGGGGTCATATCTTGAACCCCTATAGGGATCACTTCAATATTAACCCTGTAGGGGCATATGTTTCATAGCATATAGGAGCTATTTTTCCCTTAACCCCTAGAGTGGCCACTCTGGCCTTTGCTAGGTAGCGGCGTTTGAAAGACATTTCATATGGTTCGAAGGTTGCAAAAGAAGTGGTCTTCAAGAATTTAAAAAGGTATAATTTTTCACCACGAAGTTCTTGCAGCTTCTGCGCCCGATGGCAAAGGACCACCGAATCGGTCGCCCAGCAGACGGCTCGGAAAGGGACCGACCAAGAGGCCTATGACGATTTTGCGGTGGAAATGCTCGGCGCCTTGGATCCCTTCGAACAGGTCCTTTTTCCAGAGTTTTCCGAAGAAAAGTCGGATTTTTAGCTGTCCTGCGTCTTGGAATTGATCGAATACGTGCTGAGATTGGGCGGAGACACTTTAGAGGGAAATGAAAAGCAACTGCCTCTCGATTTGGCTGTTTTTGATCGGTGAGGCTGAAAAGAGCAGGGAGAAAGTATAAATTTCGAAAAGTTGCTCAAAAAAGAGCACTTTTATTTTTTTTAGGATGAAGATTTTGAGCTTCTTTTATTTTTAGTCGAGTTATGGGGTCCCAAAGTTTGTTAAAATAGGGAAAATAAGAACTTTTGGCTTTTTTGAAGCATCAGAACTCGCTATTAAAAAATCTAGAACTCATCAACAATTTTCCGAGTTTTATTAAGTATAGTCGATTCACGACTAGCTAAAGATGAAAGGGGCGTGGCCTGTCTGCGCTCTCCATCAACCAGGAACTATCTCGTTTCATATCGTTCCAGGACCCTTTTTTTAAAGGCTCAAGCCAGCCGTGAATCAGCTATATGCTTGAGGAAGGTTTTATCAAAATTTCAACCAAAAAAATATCCTTGTCAGTTCATCAAGTTCCGGAAACTTGTACCTTTAAACTGCTGAAAAACTGAAGAAGAAGGATTTTTTTTCAGATCAACCTTGACCTTGCCACGGCTGCGCCATTTCCGATACGTTATCGTGTCCCTGATTGCCAGGATTTTCTCCAACAGGACGCTTATTGAAAAAGTTTCTTTTCATTTGAAGAAAATTACTGGGAAGTACTCAAGGGGTCACTTGAGAGGTCCCTCAAGGACTTCTTGGAGAGGGAATTCTATAGAAGCTTTTAAAATTTCTCCTGGCGTCTATTCATACCACTTAGAATTCTAAAGAGTTCACCAAGTTTTAGCCACTTGAGTGGCCATTTATTCGACTACTATAATGGGCACTAGAACTTCGTAACCCTGAAGTGACCACTTTCGACTATTGTAGTGGCCACTAGAACGACAATACCCTAACGTCACCACTTCTGAAGAATATAGTTTATTTTAATAATTTCAAAAATTGAAAATCGAGAAAAATGGACTTTTTGTTCAAAAAAAGAAAGTTATAGGGCCAACTTTGTGATTTCGAAGAGGAATTTCGTTTCTTTTTTTCAAGTCGGGTTCATTGATTTGATATTGAAAAATAACCAAAAAAAGTGTATTTTTTTCACTAGTTAAAAAAATAAGAGGTATGTTCAATAAGTAACTGATATTTTGGGTAAGAAATTGGATTTATAATTATTTTTATAGAAGCGGGAGAAAAAACTATGTTTCAGTGGGTCACTGTCTCTTTAATTTACTATTCTGAAAAATTAAAATCAAAAAATGAAACAAAAAAAAAACTTTATTCCCGTCCAGCTTGCCGCCTACGACGACGAAGAGCTTCTGGAGCGAGCCCTGCCGATGAGCCGACGTCTGATGGAGTGCTCCGTGGAGTTGGACGACTTCGCGGCCGCCGAGGCCGATTCGGCGAGCAAAAGTTGCTCCGACGCACAAACCCAACGTTATTGGGTCGCCTTTTCTACTCGGGCTGAAGTCGTCTCGGAAAAAGTCGAATTTTCAACAATATGCAAAAAAAAATGTAGATTTTCAGCTCCGTCACTTACTGCCTGGAGGCGTCGCGGCTCGTCTGATCGCCGATGTCCTGAAAACCTCCAAAACGTCCTACAAAATGTGCGCCAAGGCCCTGCAGCTGGCCAACATCAAGCTCAGCCACAACGGCTACTTCTACACGGACAGCGGGATCAATGAGCGGGAGCTCATCGCCCTGGCGGAGGCTCTCAACGGATTCATCGCTCCTGAGACGAGCAGTTCGGATAAGGTAAGTCCTGTAGGGGTTTTAAGGGCTTTTTTTCGGGAGTTTTTTTGGCTAAAATTGAGGTTTTTAGGGCTACAAGGTTTTTCTCAGATGTTAGCAAGTTCCAATCGTTTAAAAAAATCTCTTCAAAAATCGCCCCCCGCCCACAAGGCAAATTTGGTTGATGTGAGGGGGGTATTCAAATATATCCAAGATTCAAATAAACCCCCCAAAGGCACATTTCAATTTAAGGGGGGTTCAGATAGATCCAAAAATTCAAATATAAGCCCCCCCTTCTGCTAAGTGGGGGATGATTCTAGAATGCCTAGACAATCTGAAAGAATTCCCCCGCCCCTTCCACTCGGTTACAGCCCCCGCCAAGGCACATTTCAATTTATGGGGGAGGGCTATATCTTCTCCGAGAATCCCCCCTTGTGTGGGTCCAGATATATCAAAGGTTCAGATAGATTCAGCTTTTTTTTCAGAGTTATTGTACCTTTATGACTTTCTGACGAAGATTCCAGGAAGGCAAGTCAGAAAAAATTTCGTATTAAGAAAGTTTTCGCTTTTCGCAAATTTTCCTCCACGGTAAAATTCGGCATTTCCATGCGCGCCGAATAGCGGCCGCGGTAGGTCCCAAGTAGAGTTCTCAAAAGTAAATGTTTGAACGAACGTTCAACCAAACATTTTCTGAACGTTTGATGAATTCGACCAATTAGTTAAATTTCACATGAACCGTTTGTTAAAAATTTCATTTTTGGTTAAATTTCATAACTGAGCATTTGAAAAAAATGAACAATTACTTATTTTTTTCGAAAAAAATTTTTGGTTAAAAAAATGAACATTTAAATTTCATTTTTGAAATTTTTTTGGTCAAAAAAAGTAAACATTTAAAAATTCATTTCGGAAATTTTTGGTCAAAAAAATGAACATTTAAAATTCATTTTAAAAAAATTTTTGGTCAAAAAAATGAACATTTAAAATTCATTTTTAAAAAAATTTTTGGTCAAAAAAAGTAAACATTTATTCATTACTTTATTCATTACTATTACGGTACTTGGCAGTATCTGTGTCGGAGTCAATTCTATCTCAGTCTTCTCCAAATGAAATCTTGAATCGATTACTTCGAAATTCAAACTAATTTCTGGTTAAAAAAATTAATAAATCTGTTGGAAAACAGTGATCTGGATGGTCAAGGGCAAAGCTAAAAAGCCGGTTAAGGCCGAGAAAAAAATTATATGGAACCGGTCAAAAAAATGAGCAGACCGGAAGAAAGGTGCTATCTGGAGAATTAATTAAATGAGGAAAAAAAGAAAAAGTATTGATTTGGATTTTTGGTTCGGAAAATCCAGGTTCGGAAAAATTATCGGCCAAAAAAATAAACATTTAATTTTTCACAGTTGAAAAAAAATTTTTTTACGAAAAAAAGTAAACATTTAAAAATTCGTTTCGAAAATTTTTGGTCAAAAAGTGACCATTTAAAGTTCATTTCGGAAATTTTTGGTCAAAAAAATGAACATTTAAATTTCACTTTTTGAAAATTTTTGGTCAGAAAAAGTAAACATTTAAAGTTCACTTTGAAAAATTTTTGGTCAAAAAAAGTGAACATTTACTTTTTCACTTTGAAAAAAATTTGGTCATTAGGACGAACATTTATTTACTAGTCAGAATATGATTGTTTAGAAAAATGACCATTTATTTTTTTCAGTCATTATTTGAAAAAGTCACAAAATGAAAAGAATGAAAGTGATCAATTTTTGGTTGATCTTTCAAAAAAACGACATTCGTTTGAAATGTCAAAAAGAAAAATTTTTTTCGTTTTTTTGAAAAAAATGTCATTTTTTTCAATTGGTCATTTTGAGAACTCTAGTCCCAAGCGCTCATTTTTACTGCGCAAATTGCTAAACTTTTTCTTCGGGAAAAAATATTGAGTTCCTGAGTGCGAAGGAAGCATAGGAGTTTTTGATAAAATTTTGAATATCAGACGGAAAATGGAAGAAATAATGACTTTTTTCAGATCATGCTGTGCCAGAACTCGGCGTTCACCCTGAAGCTCATCGCTAAACATTTACCCCTTCAATCCGAATCAACAGTCCTCTCGGACACCATGAAACGCTGTGTCCAAACCGTTTCTCAATATCAGAAACTCGATGATAATCTCACTGGAAATGTATTGCTACTTGCTGGAGAACTGATTCGGTTCGAAAAAAATCCAAGAAAAGTTAAGAAAAAATCGCTTTAGGTCTCATAACATGAGGTCGACGATGCAGCACTCGGTGGCCCTTTTGAAAGTTTGTCTGGCGATCTTGTCCGAGTGCATTTCCAAGTTTGCCAATGCGCAGAAGGTAGGTCAACAGATGGGATTTAAAGAAAAATCCAAGAAAAAATCAAAAAAATATCCTTCTTGGGTCTGTTCATATTTTAAATGACGTCACTCAAGCTCCGCCCCTAATTAGAGAGCGCGTTTTTGAATGACGTCATTGTGCTTGATATTCGAAGTCTGAACAGACTCAAGCTCCGCCCCTAAAGGCGCGAATAACCAATCAGAGAGCGAGTTTTTGAATGACGTCATTGGGCTTGATATTCGAAGTCTGAACAGGCTCAAGCTCCGCCCCTAAAGGCGCGAATAACCAATCAGAGAGCGCGTTTTTGAATGACGTCATTTTGCTTGATATTCGAAGTATGAACAGACTATATCATCAAAATGTAGTTTTTGGATTGAAAAAAGTTAGAAGTTAGAAAAAATTGAATGAAGTTTCACACAAAGATCGGTTTCAAAATATTTTAAGTTTTGTTCGAAATGTAATAAAAATAAAGTTGAAACTTTGGAAAAAAAAAACTCGGAACTGTTTGAAAAACTTTTTTGAGCGACTTGAAAGCTTCTGAATGCCTGCGTCTCTCGGTTCCCTCTCCGGTGAAGTCAGAGAAACACGAAAATAGCAAGTCAATATAAGAGTGTCGCCGAGAGACGAGGAGGGCGCAGAGAAGTCCTTCCTTTACAAGTACTAGGAAAAGAAAAAAAAAATTCAAAAGAGAGACAGGCTATAACTATATATCCAATAACTGCTTATCTCATTTAAAAAATGAGCGTAAAGTTTAGAAAATTGTGTATGAAAGCGGTATCAAACCAATTTTTCCAGGCAGCGGCTCAAGAAGCGGCCCGAGCAGCCGAAGAGAACCGCTTGGCCAAAAATCGTGGCCAAAGAATCCGGCAGCAGTCTTTGGGTGGTCTCCGATTGGGTTCCGAGACCTTACTTGTGAGATTTTCCACTGGAAAAATGAAATAATTGGATCATTTTGTTCAGATTTGCGCCTTGACCTGTGTCCAGCGAATCTTCGACCAGTACGCGTCATTCGTCTGCGAACACGTTGGCGACGTCGTCGTGCGATATTGCCGATTGGTTGGAAGGTTTGGAAAAGAAAGAATGAAAATCTAGAGCTCCGAGCTCAAAAATAGTAGAAAATAAGCCTTTTTCTCAGTTTTCAGCTCGAAAAAAGGAATTTTTCATCATTCAAATAGGTTTTTTTGATCCCAGAGTTTTTCTTCTAAGCTTTTGAACTCGAAATTCTCGTCCCCCTTTCTAAAATCCAGAGCCCAAAAAGGTAGGCTCCGAGCTTAAAAACAGTAGAAAAATGAGCCTTTTTCTCAGTTTTTCGGCTCAAAAAAAGGAATTTTTCATCATTAAAATAGGTTTTTTTGATCCCAGAATTTTTTTCTCCGAAGCTTTTGAACTCGGAATTTTTCGGCCCCCCTTCTTTTTTTAAATATAGAGCCCAAAAAGGTGAACTCCGAGCTCAAAATCAGTACAAAATGAGCATTTTTTTCTCTGTTTTTCGGCTCAAAAAGGATATTTTTTTAATTCATATAGATTTTTTTCATCCTAAAAAAATTTTTTTGTTGAAGCTTTTTGAACTCGCAATTTTTCGCCCCCTCCCTCCCCCTTTCTAAAAATTTGAGAGCTATACTAGGAACATTTTTAGTGGCCACTATAGAGGCTCCCCCAGGACTACTCGGAGAGGAAACTAAAGTGGCCACTAAACCCACCTCTATAGTGGCCACTATTTTCCGTTTTAGTGGCCACTTCAGTAGTTTTTCATCCAGTATTCCTTCCAGTAACTCTGATAATTTTAAAACAAACAGATTGGACCAGTTATGATGATCAATTGACCCCTAAAGTGGCCACTAAAATTTTTAGTGGTTTGGTAGTAGCACTTAGACCTCTATAGTGACCACTAATTTGACTACTATAGTGGCCACTAAAACGTCAAAACCCTATAGTGGCCACTAAAAATTTTCACAGTAAGAATTACTTTTTTATAAGTCGTTGGGAGCTCCCAGCATTAGGTTGATAATTTTTCAAACTTAAAAAAAACACTTTTACGAAAGAAGATAGTCTACGTTTCAGTGAGCCATTAAAGCTCAAACACTCATATAAAGCCAATTTTAATTATTTTGATTGATGAAAAAGGAAACTTTTGGCTAAAAATGGAACTCTTGAAGTTCCTATATATTTTTCGAAGCTTTGATATTATATAGGAATTTTTTTTTCATAGTTTTTTCGAAAGTTTGATTTTTCAAGGTTTGGCGAGTTTGAGCCTGGAGCGACGTCGACTCCCAGCACTTCCAGTGCTCCTCCAGCTCACACCAACGGATCTCAGACCTCTGGAAATGTCAATAAATCGAGTGTTCAGCATAGGTTTCTCAGTAACTTTCCTAAAAAACTAAAAAGTGGAAATTTTAGACTTTCTTTGATTCGTCGAGCTCTGCTGACGGTTGAACTTCGAGTTTTGCCCGGATACCTCTCCAAGGCGGTCGAGGAGCTCAAGGATGAGAAGGTATAACGAAAAAAAGCGGGAAAAAATGCTTTTTATCCCTGACTCACTTGAGCCTTCAAAAAATGGGTCTTGACACGACAAAAAAGGAAATAGTGAATGGTTGGGGGAGAGCGCAGACAGGCCACGCCCCCTTAGCGTCCAAAGCTATAGCTGATTCAAAACTGACTCGAACCATCAAAAAAAGGGTCCTGACACGAAAATACACGAGATAGTGACTGGTTGCGGGAGAGCGCAGACAGGCCACGCCCCCTTAGCGTCCAAAGCTATAGCTGATTCACGGCTGACTCGAACAATTGAAAAAAGGGTCCTGACACGATAAAAAAGGAAATAGTGCCTGGCTCGTGGAGAGCGCAGACAGGCCACGCCCCCTTAGCGTTCAAAGCTAGCCGTGAATAGGCTGTAGGCCTAAATCTAGGGGGCGCAAAGCCCCGCCCCTTCACGCCACCAAAATGACGATTTTTTTGTTGCAGAAACGGTTTTGAGGTGTTTATACTAGCTAAAGCCCCACTTTAAAAATGAACTGTTTCTGTTGATCTATGTAATCGACAACGCTCTACAAGACTGAAAAATTTTTTTAAACTATTTATTTTTTTCAAAAAAATAAGCGAAAAAAAGTAAGATTTAACACGAAAAAAACTGACAAGTTTCACAAAATCGTCGCGTTTCTGAAAACCAAGTGAGGAACGCTTTTAAATTTTGAGTATGTTATATATTAACACTTTCTTTATTTTTTTCGAGTAAAAAAATTTTTAAAAAAATCTAACGACGCGAAAAATCGAAGCTTGTAAAGTGACACCAAACTTTGAAGCTGAAATGCGAAAAAAAATTTCAGCGACATGGTATACTTTTTATTTGATTTAAAAAAACTCACAATGTGTTTAAAAAAATAAAAAAATTCAGAATGAAAAATAATTATTGGGACAGCGAATCAAATTATATTTGAATATTACCAAAACCTCCTTTTTTTCGTTTGCCTCGTTGACGCATGAGAGAATAGGATCGCTTCTATACTTTTTGATTATATTATTAAGCGTTCAAAAACTCTATCAATCAAAAAAATTATGAAAAAAATCAAACGACGCGAAAAAAAATAACGGCTTTGAAAAACCTCGAAAAAAATGGCAATTTTTTTGAAATTTTTGGAAGAATTCGTGCAAGCGTTCGTAACTGTGTTTGCGTCAAACACACCGATGCGCACTTTTAAATGTTGCAGGAGCCGTTTTTTTGGAGTCAAATTGCACATTTTTCCTGTTTTTATTTCGAAATAACATTATTTTTTTCATTTTTTTCTTTTTTTCCAAACCAAATGATAATAATTTTTTTCTCATTAGAAAAAAAGAAAAAAATAAGCTGAAAAATTCCTTCTGACCTTTTTTTCTAAGTAGTTTTTTTGATATTTTTATCAAAAAAATTCTTATGAGGATTGTACAAAAGATTCATACCAAAAACATGAAGCTCAGTTCTGACAACCTCTCGGAACAGAAAACCGATTTAAAAACAGTCCAGAAACGCGCAAAAACATTTAAAAAGAAAGCGTGCGGCAGCGGGTAAACCGTGAGATTTTGCCTCCAGTTGTACGCCGCGCGCGCTAGTTTTTTGGCCATAACTTTTTTCTTAGTAAACCTTTTTTCAAAAACTAAACGGATTATGAAAATTGACATTCTCCTCTATCGAACAGTGTAAAAAACATATTTTTTGGATCGTTTTGAAGAAATGGCTTGCGGACCCTACCTAAATCTAGAATTTTAAAATTTTTGAAAAAGATGATCCTCATCTTAACACAAGATCCTTAAGTAAAATGCGAAAGGTCACTGAATTTCTAATAAATTTTGATGGTCAGAAAATCAATAAATCATCAGATAATTTTTGAGGGACATTTTATACTTTATTTATAATTATTTTAAGCACTATAAAATGTTTTGCAATGTATTAAAGCAACGGGAACACGAAAAATTGAATTTCAATCCTTTTATTCACCTCAAAGCTCCCTGTGGTCGCTTTCTTCCGAAGAGTAACCGACCTAAAACTACTTGCGCATATTGGGCTAAAAAATACCGAATCTGACGCGAAAACAGGAATTTTCAAGTACAAGTGCTAAGAAAAGATTTTGAAGCTTACCGTAACCCAGTGAGGGGGCGGGGCCTCACAGTAACTAGCCTAAAAGTTTACAAATTATGTCTAGTAACTGTGAAAATAATTTCAACTCTCAAAACAAAACTTGAAATTCTTCTACCAAAGGTTCATCGCTTTTCTCGGAGAACGTGTGTTAAACTGATCCTGAAGAAGCTTCCAGAGAAAGGAAAATTGAACAGGAACCCGAAAAAATACTTCAGAAGCCTCTCTCGGCCCTCTTCACCCTCATCACGGGCTACTTCGACGCCTCGAACCGACAGGCCGTCGTCCAGCTCCGCTCCCAATTCGTCCAGACTGTCTTCGTACCCGCTCTGGAATACCGGTCAAGACAACGACAGCCTGAGGTTTTCTGAAACCCCCTCATCTGATCATCTACAATTTTACACAGCTCTTCGAAAACATCGAACAGCTCGAGCGCAACGTCTTCGACGCGATCATCGCCATGGCCGGAATTCTGAGTGAGGTCGAGTTCCGACCTGTCGCCAACGCTCTGGTCGCCTGGGCCGAGCCTGGCCTCAATTCTTCGTCACCCTTGGCCACGAGGATCCGACTTGTACCATTGCTCAGCTTTGCTAATTGGTTCGTTTTTCGAAAAGGGTGTTTTGAGTGAAAATTGATGGGTTTAGAGGTACCTGGGTTTTTTCAATTTTTTTCAGAGGTGGAGAAATGGCGCCCCTAAGCGTTTTCAAACGTTTAAATTTCTAAACCGACGTAGGCCGCCATGGCCATTTCTTGATAAGTCGCTGCCCAGGGCGCCCAGGGCCAAAGCCGCGATGGCAAAAAAACGCCATTGGAAGAAAAAGAACGCGCAAAAATCGGAATCTTCTAAAATCTTGTAAAATCGTTGTTTTCGAACCTTTAAAACAAGGTTTTTTGAATTTCCAATTTGGTGGCGACGGAAATTTATTCTCTCACTAGTCAGCGGGTTCGTAACCATAAATCTGGAACATTTCGCCTAAAGAAAAGAACAAATATAACCGTACTTCACATAAAAAAAAATTCAACTAGACATCATATCCACTGAAAAATTAAAAAAATTATTGAAAAAATTGCGAAATCCACGATTTAATGAAAAATGAACAAAAATGACAGTTTTCGCCCAACTTTTGCAACGTGGTATTATACGCCATCGACACGTAATGACGCGGCTCATTTCTTCTTAGAGGCCTGATGGCTGAGGCGGGCATGTGCGCTCTGGAGGGCTCCTCATTTCTTCCACCTCTGATTTTTTTGATCTTTTGTTAAAATTTGTTTAGAACCTATCTCTCGGGGTAACAAGAGTAGTGACGTCGGGATAGCTACAGGAAACTCTTTTTCCTTTCATCAGCGAAAAAAAAGACCAAACTACCGTACCACGACCCAGTGAGGCTACCAAACTTTGATAAGAACAGAAAAATCTAGGCGCTGCCAAAATACGGCCAAATTAGGGAAAGGTTTTCCGAAAATTAATATTTAAGTGCTCTCAGAATGCTTTTAAGTCTAAGGCGCTGATAAATTAAAGGATAAATTTTGAGATATTCAATTTTAGGCGCTGCCAAATTGAATAAAAGGCTTGTCGTCATTATTGTGGCACACAAAAGTTCTCATTAAAATCTTTTAAAAGTTATCACTTCTAGTTATCCTAAAGTTAAAGTTTTTAATCTTTTATCAATGATATGTTAAAAAATTTTCAAGGTTGAGAAAGAAGGTTTAAAAAGGCGATTTTTTTCAATAAATTAATCTTTACTATAGTCTGCCACGGCTTGAAATTTAACCGAATGACATTCCGCTGCGTGGCCTTGTGGCCGTGTAAGCGTCTTCGCCTTTGCAAATCTCGGTCGCGCTTTATTTAATTTCCCATTTTCACTATTTTAATTATATTTCTGTTTGTTTTTTCGTGCCAAACAAAAAATACTTATAATAACATAATTATTATGATGAAAATCTAGAATAAAAGAAAAAAGTCACCGAGTTTCGCAAAGGCGAGATGCTTCGCGACAGCGCGCACAAGAACCACAAGAACAATGGAATGTCGTTTGGTGAAATTCTAAGTCGTGGCACATCGACTATGCCTTAGTAAACGGAAAAAAGAAATTGAAAGTTCGACCAAGGCTCGCAAAGGCGCGCAGCGGCACAGCGGAATGTCGTTCCGTGAAATTCCAAGTCTTGGTACATAGAAGTATCTATAAGAAAACTGCTCAGCTTTAGTCGTTGTTAAAGAATTTTTCTTTTTTCAGCTTCTACAATGCTTACAACTCCCTGGCCTTGCCGTACTTTGGTCGGATTTTGGAGGTGGCTGTGAAGGTTCTCCGTGGCTGCAATGCTACGATCGTTGCCGGTTTTTTTTTATTTCAACCAAAAGAATTATAGCAGAAAATTAAGATTCCTCCCAATTGATCATGTCTGGAAAGAGGGGAACAATTGAATCGTTGGAAGTGAACTTGTTGCTGACGTTGGCCATCGATTTGATCAGCAACTGCGCCCGGCACAAGGAGTTCTTCTCACCGTGAGTTTGGAAACATCGCCGTTACCTTGGCAGAATAAGGATTCTGAAAATTCTGAGCTTTTTTTCAGTGACCGATGCGAACTTGTGGCTGGACCTCTGGTGGATGAGCTCGTTAACACGAAAGTCGAAGGACACGAGGACCGCTGCACGAAGCATCTCGTGACCGCTCTGTACAGGTATTTTCCCCTCAAGACCTCCACAAAAAATGAACCTATGCCCCTTTAAGAGTCGGCGACGCAGATCCCGATAACTTTGCTGAACTCTTGGGCAAGATTCTGCTCAAGACGAGAGATAACCGACCGAAGGTATACTGTAGGCTCTTGATTAGTTACAGTATCTTTTTAGATCCGCTACCGTACCCTCCTCGTGCTGGAAGCTCTCCTGGATCGCATTGGAGACGGCATCGCGCCTTATTTGACGCTTCTGGTGCCGTATTTGAACGAACTGGATGAAGGTGAAGAGAATAAAAATATTGGATTGAGATTTTTTATCACGTAGAGGGTATAAAGTTTGAGAATTTTCGATATCGGCTTCATATCGAATTATTCTTAAAACTAAAAAAATTTCTCCGATTTTTTTAGCTTCCTGCTCTGCTTTTTGAGTAATTTGAACGGTAGCCGTTCTTGTCTTAAATCTGAAAAATATATTTCAAATTTCTGTATGAAGAAGAGCCGCCGATTAATTTTTGAACTGAATAATGTTTCCAGACGAAAACAAACAAGTGGAAGATCAGTGCAAACGCGTCGTCGACGTGTTGCAGCACAAGTTCGGCGAGCAGTTCTGGACCCATTCTTCGTCAAATGCTTGATTTTAATGCCTTTTCCGTTAGAAATTGTTATTCATTTTGAAATTTTTATGCTCCTTTTTGTTGATTTTGTGTTGTTTTTGTGTTGACTTGATTGATGTTTTGTTATCTGTTTTCTGAGATATATAAAACAAAATTGAAGACAATAAGGCTTGAGATTACATCCGTAAAAAAAAAGGAAAGCTCAAAATTTTTTATAACTTTCCACTTTCTTCAATTTTTTCGACAGCAGCTTCTCTGTCGAAAACAAAAGTTCTCTTTTTTGAATTCTGCTCATTTTTTGAAAAATCATAACTCGATTCCTAGGAGGTTAGGAACTTGGAGATCTAGTTTTTCTCGATCCTTGTGATCTCCTCTATCGACTGATACCAATTCTGACAAAATTTGAAATTTTGATGGACTATAACTAAGTTCCTAATTGACCTTTTAGAATTGATATTTCAGAAGTTTCGACCGACATGGATGACGGCACGTCTTTTCCAGTTTGCATCTCAGCTTTTTCTTTAAACCATGTGATATCATTATCAGTCGATAAAGCGTCCCGAGACGGATCGAATGATATACTTAGATAAGCAGTAGCTACTCTGGGAGCCGAGATATGAGCCTTCAAAGTTTGCCTTTAAAAAATTTGCGCGTCAGATCAAATAAGTTGTGTGTAGTTGCGCGTCGGGTCAAGTGTCAGTCTGAGGCTCTCATCGGTGTGATTTCCTCGCGAAAAAGGAAAAGCTCAAAAAAAAGTTGGTCTTTTTCAAGTTTTTTCTAATGTAATCGATAGAGGAGCTTCTATATAGTACTGTTATCATATCAGTTTCGAGGGAAAAGCTCAAAAATTGGGTCAGAAAGAGGTCCGAAAAAACAGCATTTTTTGGACTTTCAAGCCTCATATCTCGGCTCCCAGAGCAGCTACAGCTTATCTAATCACATCAGTCGATTTGTCCCGTCGTCACCTTTTGAATGATATAAGTTATCACAAGATCCAGCTTCATCCAGAAACTTCAGACTTGCCTCAGCTTGTAACTCGACTTTCTGATAAGTTATCAGGCGCTGAGATATATCATTGGATTTGTCTCGGGAAGCTCTATCGATTGATTATGATATCTCATAATTTGAGGGAAAAACTGAGATGTAAGCTGGAAAAGTCAGTGACGTCAATCATGTTGGTCGAAACTCTTGAAGTCCTATATTATTGGAAAGCTGATAATGAGACGAATCGATTGATATAATCAGTTTCTCTGTAAGTTCAAAATGAACGGAGTTATGAGCCCTGATAGCTCGAAAAATAGGATTTTTTCGGACCCGATTTTTACCCAATTGAAGAGTTTTTCCCTCGAAACTGATACGATAACAGTACCATATGGGAGCTTCTCTATCAGTTACGCTAGAAAAAACTTGAAAAAGACCAACTTTTTTTCGAGCTTTTCCTTTTTCGCGAGGAAATCACACCGATGAGAGCCTCAGACTGACACTTGACCCGACGCGCCACTTCACACAACTTATTTGATCTGACGCGCAAATTTATTTTTTAAGGCAAACTTTGAAGGCTTATATCTAGGCTCCCAGAGCAGCAACAGCTTTCCTAATCATATCGGTTCGTCCCACTGTCTGCTTTCGATTCATTTAGCTTTTCAATCAATTGAGCTTCATCCAAAAGCTTCAAACTTCCATCAGTTCGACCTTATCTAATGTAAAAATACATCAATCAATAGGAAATGACGTCCTCAGTTCGAATATCAAGGTCAAAAGCTTCCTAGGCACTTAGAAGAAAAGGTATGATTTTTCAAAGTTGGTCATTTTTGAGATTTTGAAAATTCATATCTTGTTTCCTAGGAGGTTAGGAACTTGGAGACCTAGTTTTTCTCGATCGTTGTGATCTCCTCTATCGATTGATACCAGTTTTGACCTACTTTCCGATTTTCGATCTCTGAGTTTGATCGCCCATAACTTAGTTCCTAGTTGACCTACGGAGGTCAAACCTGGCCTCAGGTTATTTTTTCGTCGAGATCTATCGATTGGTATAGGTCTCGTCCGGATCGGCTTCCATGACCTCAGAAGCTCGAAAAAAACTGAAGGGGTTAGACTGTACTTTTTTCGATTTTCCCGAAATCCCAAGTTTGCGAGATTTTCATATCAATCGATAGGAAATGACGTCAGAAGCTAAAAAATCCAGGTCAAAAAGTTCTAGGGTGCCTAGAAAGAAAGATACGATTTTTCAAAGTTTTCAAAAATTCATAACTCGATTTCTAGGAGGTTAGGAACTTAGAGACCAGGTTTTCCTGAATCCTTGTAATCTTCTCTATCGATTGATACTATTTTTGACGGAATTCGAAATTTTTGGTTCCTAAGTTTGATCGCCTCTAACTTGGTTTTTCTTTGACCTACGGGGATCGAACCAAGTTTTTCCTGATCTCCTTGATCCCCTTTATCGATTGATACCAAAATAGACCTGTTTCAGAATTTTCCACCGCCAACTTTGATGCCGAACCTGGCCTCCGGTTTTTTTTTCGTCGAGATCCATCGGTTGGTATAGGTTTCGTCCGGATCGGTTTCCTGGACCTTGTCTTTTTCTTATTTCATTCTAATTTCAAAAAAGTATAATTTGACTTTTAGGAAGTTAGAAAAGCTTCACCTCTAGACGAGATAAAACTTGATCGATGGTGTGGAAAGCGCCAAAAATACTTTTTTGTAATCGCCTTTTATAGCCTATTCCGCGCCAGCTCGTCACGTTTTTCTTTCCGCCAAAAAGACCGTATACCAAATTAGATCAAACGGCAAGAAACAAAGGTCTTTAAGCGAAGTTGGTTAAATTTGATCTGGCCTTTTGGCGGAAAGAAAAAAACGTGACAAGCTGGCGCGGATCAGTAGAAAATACCGTCATACACCTTATAAGGAAAAGCTGAACGTTGCAATAATTTATCAAGCAAGAAGAAGTAGAACAACAATTAATGGGCTGGGAGAGACATTTTTCGTCAGTAGGTTAGCAACAGAATAATATATTTCGGCTCTTTTTTGACCAGAATGATGATTTGACAGGACGTGAATTGAAATAAGATAGGAGATCAGTGGAAAGACTCGAACTAACAAGTAAAAGTGGTCTTACGGAAAAGGGGGCAAAGTGATAACTCAAGGGATTATTCAGAGATGATTCACATGCACAGAGGGAAGAAAACAAGTTCAAAATTCAAAGAGGCACAAGGGACAACTCGAGGGGTTTTATTTTAGCCAGTAGAAAACAAAAGACTTTTCAAGGAATGTAAATTCAAAAGAAACGGTCGTATATTTGAAATGATAAGTTTCAAACTCAGGCTAATACGAAATTCGATTTCAGCAACAAAATGAACACACAAGAAGCCACTTAAGAGCTTCAGATCCGGCCAATAAGAGAATATTCAGCGATAAACAGATAAACACAAATCACTATCTAGAGAAGAACCCGGCTATCTTTTAGGAAAAATTCACAGTTTATCATGAAATCCTTATTGTTGACCATCATCATCAGGATGTTGGAGATCATCAGGATGTTGAAGATCATCGGGATGTTGAAGATGATGTTCTTCGAGAACTTCGTCATCTTCGTGAAGGTAGGGCTTGTAGGAGATACGGCGACATCCGTTATTGTCGAGGTACTCTTCGGCGAGTTGGAGTTCGCCGCGATGGGCAGCTTCTCGTAGCTCCCCTTCCGTCATGAACTGCACCTGAGGATGATTTTGAATGAAATATTCCGGGCAAAAAGAAAAATTATCAAAGACTTCTTAAGGCTGGCTCCGTTCCTAGTTTGAGAAAGAAGTCGCATTTTTAGATAGGAAAAAATCCGAAAAAAAAGCTGAAGCGAGAGATCAAAACCGAAGAGACACCAGAGAATACATATTCTCGACCCTTCTTTTTTGTAGGACTTTACAGGGAAAATTTTAAGTGGCCACTATAGGGTTTTGACGTTTTAGTGGCCACTATAGTAGTGAAGTTAGTGGCCACTTATGGGGTTAAAAATTAGGGGCCACTGTAGAGGTCTTAGTGCCACTACTAGACCACTAAAAATTTTAGGGGCCACTTTAGGGGTCAATGGATCAACATAACTGGTCCAATCTGTTTGTTTCAAATTTATCAGAGCTACTGGAAGGAATACTCGATGAAAAACTACTGAAGTGGCCACTAAATAGAGAACCTCTATAGTGGCCACTTGAACGGAACATAGTGGCTACTATAGAGGTGGGTTTAGTGGCCACTTTAGTGTCCTCTCCAAGTAGTCCTTGGCGAGCCTCTACAGTGACCACTAAAAATTTTCCCAGTGGGAAAAAAGGAAAATCAAGCGGAAATACTTCTTGAAAAGACGACAGAGAGATCAAAGCTTCTCTCTGGCGTCTCTTCAGGCCGCCGTCGATCTCTCTTCTTCTTCTGCTCAAGGGAGAAATTGTGAAAACGAGAGAATAGCATCCGCCAAAGAGGTTTCAGAGAAACAGAGCACCCTCACTTCTCTGGCGTCTCTTCAGACTTCCTCATATCTCATTTTTCAACACACGAGCGAGAGATCAAAAGCTGCCGAAGAGGCAAAATACAGCGGCAGTGCCCCCACTTCTCTGGCGTCTCTCATTCCGAGAAAAAAAAATCCTCACACTCGGGTCTCCTGCCGCCAAGGTGAACGGTTCGATGATCTCCTCCTGTATGATTCGGAACTCGGCAGGCTTAACAGTTTTTTTTCCTTGCATCAGAATACTTATTTTTTCCCACCTGGCTTCTCACTTGAATGACCTGCACTTGTTGGCCATTCGCATCTTGGTATACATATTGGACCGGAGCTCCCTTGAAAAATAAAATTCAACTTCTTTTCTCTAAAATCTCTAACTTGATGAGGTTGATGGGGCATCTGGTGATGAACCATCTGATTGTCCATGAGCACGGCTTGAGGTTCGGGCTGCTGCTGGAGGAGAGGCGGCGCGTCGTCGACCTCCACTTCCTCCCCGCCTTCCAAAAAGTGCTCCTCATGCTCATTTTGTTGATCTTCCAGGTGCTGGTTCATCGATTGAGGCTGAAGGCGATTCAATTTAATATTTTTTCTCCTTGAAACTAGTCGGACCTGTCGAACGACTCTATCCGACTTCTCGCCGTTGATCATAGCCCTAGCGACCTGGCGAGCCTGGTCTTCGTCCAGGTCTTCGTCCTCGGCAAGCAACACGTATACCGGGTCGTTGCTGACTCCGTGCAGAACTTGGATCTGTAATTTAAATCTTTGAACCTTTAAATTTTAGCGCTGCCAATTTCCGGAGAGTTACATCAGTCTCTTTTCCACTAGGTACTGCTTGGAGTACTACCAATATTGGAAGAAACCTTTGAAGCTTTCAATTTAGGCGCTGCCAATTTTAGTGGTATGAAAAAAAGACCAGCGAAAATTCGAACGGCGACTTTTCCGATTTTTTCATATAGCTAGAGAACTTTCCGAGGGCCACCTTTCCGCCGAATCTTTTTCCAAGTTTTTTTCTCGGTAAAATCTTCGTTTTCAATCTTCCTATATAAAGCAGGCAAGTTATTCATGATTAAAACACAACGCAATAGGAAAAAAAATGTTGATAGATGTTTTATAAACCGAAAAACGTAGTGGAAAAAAGTCGGAAAGGGATTCGGCGGAAAGTTCTCTAGCGATACGAAAAAATCGGAAAAGTCGCCGTTCGAATTTTCGCTGGTCTTTTTTTCATACCACCCCGATTTTAGGGAGCTTTCATAGGCTTTGTTCAACTAGGTGCTGCTTGGGAGTACTGCCAATATTTGAAGAAATCTTTGACGCTACCAATTTCAGGAGTTACATCAGTATTTGTTGAGCTTACAAGGAAGGTAATTATACTTTTGGGAACTTCCATAAAAATAGTCAGAGCGATTCTTAATGTGACGGACACACTACCTAAAAGTCTCAATCTTCCTAGAGAACCTATTTTTTTCCGAAAAAGGACAACTATAAGTCTGAGAAAACCCTCAAAACGTCTTCATTTCTCGGAAAAAGTCTTGGAGTTTGCAACTTTCAGGGTACATCAAAGAGAGTATAAGCCAATTTTCAGGAAATCTCCAACCAAAAATAAAATGCGCTTTATTATTAGGGGACTGCAAGAATTAAGAAAAATTATATTCCATTAAGCTTTTATGGAATTTTTTTTTTCTTAAAGAAATCCTGAAAATCGCTCAAAAGGGTACAGTGAAAAAATGGCCCAAACTTGAAAAATACACTGAAAAATGCTTTTTTAAATTGATCATCGTTCAATTTTTGAAAATTTCTCATCCAATATTACCTTATCAAATTCAACGTCGTACTCCCGCCGGAACTTCTCCAGGACCACAGGATCATCGATAATTTCGCCGAGGGTGATTTCTGGACAGTAAGGAAATGAAAAATTTTTGAATTTTTAGAATTTTTTTGGATTTCATCATAGTAAACCTTTTCGTGAATTGAAAAAAACAGTGAAAATGAGCAAAACTGTCAAAAAAAAATTTTTTTCAGGAGAAGGAATTGAAAACTCACGTAATTGCTGATCTCGATCATCGCTCTGAAAAAAAACTTTCATTAATTCGAAATTTCTGTAATTCGCATCTTTTTAGGCGTTAGTAACACGTAGAGTTGAACTTTTTACGGATTTGAAAAAAAAAAACGTACTTTTTCTAACTATTATTTCATACCATTCTATAGTATAATTTAGGTTTCCCATCATTTAAAACCATTAAAAATCATTCTAGTTCATTTTGTCTCCTCTAAAACTCACCGAGTTGATTGGAATCCCGGAGAACTCGGGCATCACTTCCTGATGTTTGAGCTTCAAATGTCGTATAGCGCGACAAATGTTGAATGGTCGATGAAGGGCGTAGGTCAAATTGCAGAGAAGACATTCAACCAGAGATGGATGGACGAACTCCATCGAACCGTCGCTGATTCGCTCCAGGCGAGCCTTCAAGAAGATCGACTTGTGGAAGGTTTTTTTAAGACCTATTTATGGAATTTTTCTTTATCTCTTCATCATTATCTTCATGGTTCAAGAATCTAAAAAGAAATCCCTTAAGGGTTTTTCTCAAGAATATTTTAGAAGGAAGATCACGTCAAAAGCAACCAAAATTTAAAAAAAGTTAGTAAGACTGATCAAATTTTTCTTTTCTCTTATAATTCCATTTATAGTCCGCGCCTCGACTTGACAGTTTCTTAGTGTCTGCGTCTCTCTGTTTCCTCCCTTACAAGGCCAGAGAAACATGAATATAGCATGTCAGAATAAGAGAAGAGAGGTCGCACAAAGGCCCCCCTTCCCCAAAAAAATGACTATACTATTCTTACAGTTTTCACCTCTAAATAAAAAAATTTATCTCTCTCCGCATATAATCACACTATTTAAGAAATTCAGAGTGGTCCCTATAGGGGACAGGGGAAAAACATATAGGGGCCGATAACGTGGTCCTTATAGAGGTTAATTATTCCAGGTGGTCCCTATAGGAGTTGAGGGTCGGACACCTTAGCCCTTAAATCGTGAAATTTCAAGGCAATCTCGGCAGCTTTTGAGATGAAAAAGCTCTACAATCTGTTCAAAGCAAATTGAAAATCATTGAGAAAGCGGAAAGTTCGAGCTGATTTGGAAAAAGAGCTCTTTTTGAGCGACTTAAAAATTGCTGAGTGGTCACTATAGGGGTCAGGGGGAAAAACGTAGGGGCCGATAAAGTGGTCCCTATAGAGGTGGATTCCAGGTGGTCCCTATAGGAATCTGACACCTTAGCCCTTAAAAATCGTGAGTGGAACCTATAGGGGTCTTCAAATTTCATTCAAAAAACGTTTATTTATTTAGTTTTTCGCATGGAGTTCATGAAAACTATCGGTTATAGCTAATTCACGGCCAACTCTAAGGGGGCGTGTCCTGTCTGCGCTCTCCACGAGCCAGGCGCTATCTCGTGCATTATCGTGTCAGGACCCTTTTTTTGATGGCTCGTCAGCCGTGAATCAGCTATACCATGTCCCCTATAGAGGCCACTAACTAAAAGCCCCTATAGAGGCCATTCTTGCAAGCTTTAGTGATCCCTACAAGGATAAATTCTAGGCCCTCCCAGGACCCCTAAGGTTGCCCATAGATCTCTGGAGATCCTAATCTAATCAACCTCACTCAAAAGTTCAGAAAAAAAGAAAGGAATTTCCACCTTGCTCAGCTCGTACTGCATGCTCTCCATGTGGTCCTTGTGGAACGTTTTGTAGTGTTTGATGGCTCCTAAATTCATCAATCTACATAATTTTCGTCGATTCATCTGCTACAAACCAGCCGATATAACGGCGCCGAATATATCCCGTGAGCACATTTTGCACTTCCAATGACAAGCGGAGACGGGTTCAAAAAAGGCCGAATTTGCCGGGCAAACTTGTCTGGAATTGTCACATTTTTCTTGGAAATCTCATGAAAGCCACCTAAAGCAAGGCTTGACAAAACTCCTTTTCATTCGATTTCTTCGTCCAAAAGCTTGCCGGCTGTTCGTTGTGCAAATCTAGAACATAATTATTGATACCACTATTATTTTTTCAGAAGTTTCAATCTGAGGAACCCCCCCAATCAAATTTTAGTAACACTATTATTTTTTTCAAAAGTTTCAATCTGATCAATGAACGTCCCCCAATCAAAATTTCGGGTTAATCAGCTTCAAAAAAACTTGAAAAAGCGCTTTTTTTCAAAAAAATTCCAATCTGACTAGGAAAAAGGCCCCCCCACAGACCTAATTTTTCGAGTCAATCAGCTTCAAAAGCTTGAAAAAGCGCTTTTTTTTTAGCTTCACAACTCTAAAACTGGATCTATTGGGGATAATTTATTTCTTGTTCTGGGATCAGAAGGTCTTGAAGTAAAAGTACACTTCAGCAAATTTTCATCAAAATTTCAACCGGGGTGGGGGTGGGTCATTCTAACTTGACCCTAGATCTCAAAATTTGCAACTTTTCTTGATTTCAAAATTTTTATACTTTTCATCCACTATAACCCAAGTCAAAAAATAAAAAACGAGGTTCTTTTTTTTTGGAACCTACCATATTTTCATTATCGGGCTCCTCATCGTCCATCTCTTCCTCATCCGCTACTTCTTGAGCCGGCGAATTTTTTTCTTTAAGTACTTGTCGATCGCCTAAAATCATCACTAAACTAGGGTCTGAAATTTCAATTTTTCTTCTGAAAATCTAAAAAAACTTTCTTGGAAAAAAATTATTTCTTGAAAAAAAATCGTTTAAAAATGGCTCAAAATTGATTTTTCGCTCTTAAAATATTTTTCAGCGTTCCCCTACGATATCGTTTCCTAAAATGACACATTTTTCCGCGATTGCCATCACAAAAATCGCTCTAAAATCCCCAAAATTTCCTTATTTTTGTGAAAGATTTTCAAAAAATGTATATTTTCCATCATCCCTGTACAAAAATTGACAGAAAACAAGCAAATTTCCTCATTTTTTTTCAGAATTTCTACCAAAAATCCTTCTCCTCCAGTCACCTTGTCCAGAGCTTTTTCCGAGCTGAAGGTGGCATCCAGTCTGGGGCTCATCACATGGTACTCATCAGGGAGAATGACGCCAAAATCTTCGCCAAACTTTTCCAAAAGTCGGGCCGAGAGGATCATTTCCTGGAAGTTATTTCTTTGAGTGAAAAATTTTTTTTGTTGGTGAACCTGCAAGCACAAGGAGCACTTGGGAACCTGAACTTCCTCGCCGTGAACTTCGGAAAAATGGGTTCCGACGCTACTTCGGTCCATCAAACTCGCACACCAGATGCATTGGATGTTGTTGTGGTCCAAATCCGTATCGATCACGGCAAAGTCCTGGAAAATCGAAAAGTTCGCAGAAAAATGGGCTTTCAAACAAAGAATGTATGGTTCGGAAGGAAAGCGGCGCTCATCAAATAGAAATTTTTTTTTCAGATCAATGATTTTTTTGTTTATTTCATCTAAAAAATATTTTTTTCTGCCATCTATCAATATCAAGTAGCCTCTTTTACCTGATCACATGGAAAAATTTTTTTTGAAAAAACTTAAAATCTTAGAATCTAATTCCAGGAGCTCCTTAAAATTACCGATTTTCTAATTTTGCTCAATTTCTCAAGCCACTTTTTGAAATTTTCAAACGAACTCTACTAGAGGGATCACTAAAAGAGTTCTGTAAATTTTCGAAACAACTTCTCAAGACGGACATGAAGGGACAAAGTCTTCGGAGCACTCGGATCAGTCGAATTCTGCCTCCATTTTCCGGCACATCGATGGTCTGCTGGATGCCAGGCGTTGAAGTGTCTGACGAGGTGGACGATCTGAAAAATCGATTATTTTAATGAATTCCAGGCTTTTGAACTCTGAAAAGGTGAATGAAAGGCTTGTGATCTTGGATAATCAAAATATTATAATCCTACGTAACCAAAAATTGTTATCCCATTAGAAGGCCTTCTCACATGGAAAACAAATTGAGAAAAAAAAACGAATATAAAGCTGCAACTAGTATTATCAACCACAGAGCGCCCAAAACCCACTAAATTTTCCCTTAAAGGACCACTTTTGATCCTGTAACTTCTACAGTACCCCATACCGTACCTCGAACTTTTTATCTCTTTAGAAGTCTTCTCAAAAAGAAAAAAAAACCAATAAAAGACTAAAACTGGTACTATTGACCACAGAGCGCCCAAAACTCACAAAAATTTTCCCTCAAGGGACCACTTTTTATTTTTTAACTTCTATACAGTACCCCCCACAGTACCTCAAACTGCTCATCCCATTATGCCTTCTCGCAGAGAAAAAAACCAATAAAAGGCTAAATTTGGTACTATTGACCATAGAGCACACAAAATTCCTTAAATTTTCCTTTAAAGGGCGACTTTTCATCCTGTAACTTCTATACAGTACCACCTACAGTACCTCAAACTTTTTATCCTAACAGAAAGCCTTCTCACAGTGAAAAAAAACCAATAAAAGGCTAAATTTGGTACTATTGACCATAGAGCACACAAAATTCCTTAAATTTTCCTTTAAAGGGCGACTTTTCATCCTGTAACTTCTATACAGTACCACCTACAGTACCTCAAACTTTTTATCCTAACAGAAAGCCTTCTCACAGTGAAAAAAAACCAATAAAAGGCTAAAATTCATACTATTGACCACAGAGCGCCCAAAACTCACTAAACTTTCCCTTAAAGGACCACTTTTCATCCTGTAACTTCTACAGTACCCCCTACCGTACCTCAAACTTCTTATTCAACGAGACGACGGCCTGGCAAATGCCACATTTCGCATGGAGCCGATCAACAAGAGAAACAGAGACCTGAAAGGATCATTGTACTGCTCAGATTAGCGGTAAATTTCTCACCTTTCGGCCCATTTTTTCAATCATTTTTCGTCTTAGGGCGAGTTCCAGTTCATCCAGTGACATTTCGCTAGGATTCACACGGATCTAAAGCGTTAAATATTATGAAAAATCACGGAGAAAGTCCAAAAATTCAGTTTTATTGAAAATATTTCATTTTTACCTGGCTAACTTTCCGCATTTGTCGCATCCCCCGTGAAATCAACGTGATTGAATTGACGTTCGTGTCGTCATAAGGTCTAAGTTTGCTTCGTATTTACTTTTTTTTTGAGTTTATCAAACCTGAAGCCATTCTGCATATTTTTATGCTCCCGATGGAGTTGCCCTCTGAGCCAAGAATCATAGGAAACTTCCTCCAGCTCAACACCAGCTTGCATGAGCTGAAAGGTTAAGAAATAGTAAGGAATATATTTTATTTTTTCTTTTTAACAATTTGAAAAATTTTGTCCGATTTTCGCTTTTTTTATCACAGAAGAGCTTCAGAACCTTTTTTTGAAAAAAGACTTTTTTGGATGAAGTTTCAAATTTTTTTTTTTTGAGTTGGGGCGAGATTCCTTTGGATCACTGTTAAGGAAATTTCGAAAAAAATCAGGAATTTCACAATTTTTTCTTCCAATAACATAATCCATACTAAATCGAAAAAAATGACATGAATTTTTCAAAAAAATCCTACTCGAACTGAAGATTTTTTTAACTCATTGAACTATAGAAGATTATCCAGGCTGTGATCAATCAATAGCTCTTTCGAAAGCTTGATTTATTGACTTTTTCGACAATTATTGAATTTTTTTCTTTCCTGGACATACAAAAACTTAATCAGCTTTGAGAAAACTTCTCTATGATTCTCTCGAAATTTTTCTAATATTTTTTTAAAAAAACTAATCTACCTGGACATACATAAAAACTTGATCAGCTTAAAAAAATAATTTCACCAGGATTTTCTTGCAACTTTTTTTTTCAAAAACTAATCTACTCCCTCAGGAAAACTGTACGTGATTTAGGAACTCCCAAAATAATTTTCCACCTGATTCAAAATCTTCAAAACTTTAAAACATCAAGAATCAGGAAGCTTCTCTACATTTTCCGAACATCCTTCTCAAAAAACTATCTCAAAACGAACATCAGGATGAGCATTGGGTAGATGGTCGTTGACGAGTCCATCGTAGGGGACAATCTCTCCACAGAGGCCGCAGCAGATATTTCGGCTGTCGAGGAAGTTGAACTCGACGTCGCGAAGTCGGTTGGCCACAGATCGGCGAGCTTCTTCCGTCTGACCGTGGCTGTTGATTAATTGACCATTTTCTTCCATCAGCTCCACGATCATGCCCGTCGACGCGTCAACGAACACTTCGTTTCCTGGAAAATCGAGGGAGTTGCTTTTTTCTTTCAGAAATCTCCTCAGGCACTGGTGTGGGGACGCGCCGGGTTTCTGGCTCTTATTTTAGCCTTTTGACTAGGAAAACCATATTTAAATGGTTCGTCGGTATTTTTATAATATTTATTAGTATGCATGCTCACTTTTAAAACCGGTTTCGAGCCCATTTGTGCGAGTTTTCGAAGAACCATATTTAAATTGAAAAATGGATATGGTTGAGTTTTTTTGCGTCGAATTTAAACTAAGCATCATGATAAGAGGAAATTCATAAAAATGAATAAAAGCCGAATTTTTGAGCTTAAATGAACAAAAAAGGCAAAAAATGAGCGGGGACACCTATCGTCGTCACCAGTGCCTGAGTAATAGTAAAGCCGCTTTTTTTAAATTTTTTTGTTGTTTTTTTAAATATCCTATTCAAGGATCCCTTCTATTGACTTTGGAAGTAAAAGTGACGATTAATAACATTTCAAAAAGCCCTCATTAAGTTAGCCTATGATCCTTCAATGCCTCATTAGGGATTTTTTAAGTTCAATCTGAACTTTCGCGTTTAAAACACCGTAAACTCAAAGAATTGTGTTTGCTTCAGAAAATCTCCTGGAAAATCCTGGAAAATCGAGAGAGTCGGTTTTTTCTTTCAGAAATTCAATAGTAGAGCTACTCTTTCTAATTTTTTAAAGTTTTTTCAAAGATCCTATGCGGAAATTTCTGCCAGTAGGTTTGAAAAGAAGAAGTGACGGAAATAACGTAAATACCATTCTAAAAAGCCTTATCCTCATTAAATCAGCCTAGGATCCTTCACTAGCCTCAGTAAAACTGTTTTAAGGCCTGTTTTTATAACATAAATAACACTTTAAAAAGCCCTTATCCTCCTTAAATCAGCCTATGATCTTTCAAAAGCCTTATCAAAAAAATTTGTAAGATCCCTCTGTGAGTTTTTTTTGCGTAGACAGCTTCAAAAAAAATTTATTTCTTCTCTCACCAGCTTCATCCCGCGCCAGCTGAACTTCATGAACCCGTCCTCCAGGCGAAGAAACTCTCAATGGCGTCGACGGATCGATTCCAAACTCTTCCTGAAGCTTCCAATTCTTTTAAGTCTTCAAAATTTCGCTCACAGCCAAAGAATGAGTCGGGAGTTGCGCCCGTAGTACTTCGTCGTCTTGGACTTCTTCTGGGACGAGTTGAGGCGGTAGATCGTCTTCCTGGAAGTTAAAAAATTGCAGTTACTTTTTCAACCCTTGTTTCTCATACAATCTAACTAAAAATCTCGAACCTCATCTTCATTCTCCACAACACCCTCCTGCATCTCCGTTTCGACGTGCTCCAACTGACCGTCGTGCTTGACCAACGACTGCATGGCAGGCTCCTGTTGGTCTACGATCTCAACCCCTTCAGCTTCTTCTAGAAAATTTATTCATGGTATTTAATGACTATTTTTTAATTCTTGTACAGTTTCCATTGTGAAGCTTACAAAAGTCTGTTAGAAACCATTTTTGAAAAATAAAGAAAAATTTTTCTGTGGGTTGAGAGACTACACCCTCGCAGGCCATACTTCAGCTTTTCAATAAAATGGCAGAGTCAAACTGAATAAATCCTACTTTGATTCAAGTAGAATTGGCAGCGCCCAAAGGTTTCAAGAATATCTGATGGTAGGTAGGATTTTTAGGTCCGCGAATATTCGTGAGCGTTAATTGTGCATACACCAATCTTGGGGGAATCTTTGCAAACGATTCTTGGGAATATTCACCTCTTTTTTTTCTTAATTTTTTTCCCTTTGTTGTTTTATTGAGATGGTCGTGTTTCGTCCACAAATGAACACTGTATGATTTTTTTTTTTCAACTAACTTTTATCAAATAATGCGTCTTTCTCGCATACACGTAGTCAAAGTCGCTACAGAACGGCTAGCTTATTTTTATTCTTTCTGTATAAATTCTCCATCAACTTCTGGTTACAAAAAAATTATAAAAAATCAAAAAAGAGGTGAATATTCCCAAGAATCTTGCAAAGATTCGAGCCCCCAAGATTGGTGTATGCACAATTAACGCTCACGAATACCAAAAATTCCTTCCTACCATCGAATATCTAAAGATTTGACAATTTTTGGCAGCGCCTTACTGAAAAAGGCTGAATAAAGCTTCTTAAAATCGACAGCGCCCAAAGGAACAAAAACTTCCAAAATCTCTTTAAATTTGACGTTCCTCTAAGAGATATGAACCGCAACATGGTTTTTGAAAAAAACAGTTTTAAGTACAAACCCATATAGAGCAGAGGCTCAAAAAACAACAAAAATGGAAAAAAGAAAAAAAGCAAGAAAAAAAAAATCTTCGAGAACCTTTGAAAAATGGCCGTTCCTATAAAGAGTCTTTTGTAAGCTTTCTGAACCTGGCAGCTTCAAAAATCTCAAGATTCTTCAAAAATTTGCCAGACAACCCCTAACTTTTCGTGATTTTATCATCCCCTCACCCTGCTGCTGCTGATGTTGGAGCCGAATCTGCTGTTCCATTTCTTCATCGGTCATGCCTTCAGCCCCTTGCAACTCGTACATGATCTCCTCGCCGTGCTCGTCCATCACAGAAATGAACCGGGACTTGCTTTCCGTGTGCTAAAAAAATAACTAATGACTTTTGTTAGATATAAACAGGTCTACCTTATCATCCTCAATGACTTCTTCATGAGCAATCTCGTCGACGAATTGAGGTTCATCGAAGGCTTGTTCTTGGGAGCTTGGGCCGGGCATCATGTCCTGCACATCTAAATCCTGAAGTCTCGCTTCTTCCACGGCTTGTCGGGCGATTTGCTCGGCGAGATGGATATCGTTCTAAAAAAAATCATTGAAAATACAAAATGTTTTTTTTTTTCAAATGGTCTAGCTTCATTAGGAGAAGCTTCCGAAATGTGAAATGGCTCGAAAATTCATATACGCAGCGCCCAAGTCAAAACATATCGGAAAAATCGCTCAAGGCTTGGCGCTGCTTAAAAGGGAAAAATCGCTCAAGCACGGCGACACCAAAAACGCCGTAATATAAAATGTGTTGTACGCAGTGCACGCGATACATCAAAAGCGACGCGCAAAAAGCGATATTGAACGTTTATAGTGAATAAAATGAATTTTCTAGTTGGTATTTATCCAAGAATCGCCGGAAAAAATTTCTACAATATTAATATTCTAAAAAAAATTCCATCTAGAACTAAAATGAAGAGAAATGACTCCTTTTAAAATTAATATTCTATTTCAACCTCCAAAATTTTTTTTTCTGATTTTTAAACACTAGTGAAAATTTCGAACTTACAATAAAAACAAGGTTCCGTCAGAAAAAAAATCTTATGTAACGGGAAACCGATTGAATATCGAGAAAAAACCTTTTCAAAAAAATGGTCAAAAAAGATAGGATTTTTCTCGTACCAGAAAAGCTTGTTTTCAAGAAAACCGTGTTTAGAACTAAGTTTAGAAGTCATTGATTCATTATAAATGAAAAATATCAGAGCTGTTCTCAAGTCGGGGCGACCCTGGCCGAGGCCGCCCCGACCCGACCGCGACGCGCCCCTGAGCGCCCCGGCCCGCGAAGCGGTTTTCATTCAGGCCCCCGAAGCGAGCGCGAGGATTTTTCCGTATTTTTTTGTTTTTTTATTTTTAGTTTTTTTATATTGAAAAATGAACTTTTTAAGTTATTTATGATCCATGAAAAATTTTTATTAATTTGTTTACTCTAGTTCTGTAAATTGTTCTGGCCACTTAGCAAACTATTGAATTTTTGGATTAATATCTCATTTCATCGGTTTTTCTCTTTATGTGCTCGATAAAAATGTTTTTTTTTTGTTTCACTTTCATTTCAGTAAAACTTGCGCTTTCCATAATTCGCAAAAAACCGGGAGTCAGAACAAAATTTGTATCTACGGGTCGACCGAGTTGACCCTTACCAAAGGCCGACCGCGGCCGCCCTCGAATACGCCGCAAGTAGGGGGGCCCACGGTCGACCGCGGTCGCCCCGAGAACAGCTCTGAAAAATATCCTTTACGGACAACTGAAAATTTCAAAAACGACATTCGCGTAATTGACTCAAAACAGCTTCAAAACAGATTTTTTCCTTGAAAGAAAGGTTTCTGCGACTGCGCGTTGACTATATCATAATTTATTTGAAAAAAGGAACAAATTGATACCAAAAATTCATCCTTAAAAAAAAGTTTTTATTTTCCGCAATTGATGTCAAACTGTAGCCAATAACATTGAGCACAATTCTATGGGACAGATTTTCAAGATTCGCTGTAGCCGCTGGGAAAATTGAGTTTATGTCATTTTTCAAGCCAAATCATCGTTTTCTAACAGTATACTAATCTTAAAAATGCATGAGTTTACAATTTTATAGCGGGGATTTTCGTGAAACGCCCTATATTTGAAGAAAAACCCAAAACAAAATTTTCCAAGCCAAATTGGGATCAGGCTTGTGCGAGGGCCGGCCCGTCACCCTCCCGGCCCCCCGACCATTTCGTAAGCCCGGCCCGGATCGGTCTTAGCGGGCCTCAAGAAAAAATGGCCCGCCCGGCCCGAATCGCGCAATTTTTTCTAGTCGGATATCAATATTTTTACGACAAAAATTACGTTTTTGCTCATTTTTTCTCTTAAAGTTTAACAAAAACTATGATTTCAGAAGTAAAAGTAACATTCCGGTGAAAATTTTTTAAATGAAATTTTAAAATTGTGTAATGGTTGTTTATATCTCATTGTGTTAAGTGAACATGTGCTCTTGAGTGACGAACGCCTGTGGGCGTTCGCCCCAACTTTCTTTACAACATCACTCTGGCATGGCGCACTGCTAGCGTGCGCCACGGAATAAAGTCTTATGCCGAGTCTCGACTTCTACAATAACGGGAAGATGTAGGGGAACATCTTCTACGTAACATGGAGGTCCCGGAACCTTTCGCCAAATTCCATCCGGCGAAAGGAGAACTTCTGTCTTCCCCTATTATTCCATCTACGACAGATAATCCGGCCATACTGATTGCTACCAGTTATTCCGTTCTACTTCAAAGACTCTATCTGGCACTCGTACGTTTGGTCGTGGGCGTACGAGACATCTACGAAGTCGCACCTGAACAGAAGAAGAACACCCGGCGACTTGCGATTTGATCGGTTACGCAAGTACACTTACTCTGTTCTTTATTTATCTCTGATGTGTTTCTCAAATTTTTTTGAAAGTGATACTTTAAAATCAATTCCTGATTCAAACTCTGTCTACATGTAGTCTGCGTGTAACAGTTGTTAATTGTACAGTTTGTGCGTGGCTGTCCTCAGAAATTTTATCACTGCATATCTTTAAAAAAAAAAAAATCTGCCATCAGAGATCATATTCATTTCAAAGGTAAACTCTCTTTTCTCAAAATCGAAGTAGCATCAGTTGTTAAGCGAACTCGGCAAGCCAGAGTCCGGCATTTATTCCATCTTGTCTTTATTACACATGTTCACTTGGACAACCATTTTCCCACTTCAACGAAGTCTCGGGACGAGACTTTCGGCGAACGGGGGGATGTGATAGTCCTCTTCTATATTTCCCAAAAGTATTGAAATGTTAAGCATCTCCTTCTTATCATTATATTCCTCTGTCTCCCTAACTTCTTCCAATTCGCTCTTAATATCCTACATTTTTTTTCTTTGCTTCGGGGACGAAGCATCTTCCGTAATCGGAGGGGATGTAATGGTTGTTTATATCTCATTGTGTTAAGTGAACATGTGCTCTTGAGTGACGAACGCCTGTGGGCGTTCGCCCCAACTTTCTTTACAACATCACTCTGGCATGGCGCACTGCTAGCGTGCGCCACGGAATAAAGTCTTATGCCGAGTCTCGACTTCTACAATAACGGGAAGATGTAGGGGAACATCTTCTACGTAACAATTGTTTTGAAGCCCGGCTCGGCCCGAGCCCACGCGGGCTTTTTCCTAAAAATGAGGCCCAAAGCCCGGTCGAACGCACAAGCCTGATTAGGATCACAAAAAAATGTGAAAAACAGCAAGCGCGCCCCATGAGACGAGTGCGCGTGTGCGTCGCGCCTGGGCACTGCTTAAAACCGGAAAAATCGCTCAAGACTGGGCGCTGCTTGAAACTTCAGAGCCGCAACGCGACCGCGACGCTTTATCAAAAAAAACCTCATAAGCCATTTCCTGCTGATTATCGCCGTCAACGTACATGTACTCTCCATCATTCGTCATCATCTGAAAGTCTTATTTAATTTTTGAAAAAAATTAATAAAAACCTGAGCAACACCCATCGTTTCAGTGGTCATCTCCATGACATGTCGATGAGCGGCGTCTTGTTCCTAGAGAATTTTAATTTTATGGCCGCATTTGGAACTATCCTCTTGGCGATAAACAAGAACCTACTCACATCAAAGTTCACATTGGGAATGAGTCCGGCCCTGACGACGTGCCGAGCTCTTTGCTTGGGCCGATGTTCTTCGGGAAGGTCCATGCCCAACTCTCGTCGTTTTCGGTTCATCAACGGATGGACGACGTGATTGGCCGCTTCGATCTGAAGTCGAAAAGTGGAAAAAAAAGCCAAAGAAAAATTTTTTTATCGTTTATTAAACTTCCATTCAGCGTAAACTTCACACAACTTCCCATTTTTTTTTTTCCAAAATGAAACTTTTTTCCGAGTTTTAAGTCTACAAGCGGAACTATAAAATCCAAAACTAGCTTTTTGACCTGATTTTCTCGATAATGCAACTTTGCCTGCACTCCTACCAACTAGAACTGGAAAAAAAGTCTATTTTTCCCAAATATTTTTTTAATTTTTTTCAAGTGTTCATTCGCAGTGTGTACGATGAAATCCCAATTTAAATTTCTGATATTTTTCTCGAAATATTGTCATTCCCCCTCAATTCCATTTTACAAATATTATTCATCCCCTATAGGGTCCGCGACACAATCAAAACTCTAGAAACGTCTGCGTCTCCATATCTAAAACACTATTTCTCTAATTCTTTCGAGACCTTGAAATTAGAATAATCTATTCATAACACAATTCTGATATCCCTTCTCCCTCTGGTTTCTACAGTCTGTTCAGATTTTGAATGTCAAGTCCTCAAGCTCTCTAATGGTGCGATATACCAATCAGAGGATGGTAGGACGAAAAATTTGATCCGCAAAAAAAACGTCACGTGAAAATTGCAACCACATAGCCTGTGAGCCACCAAATTTAGAAGCCTTCAAAATTTTGGTCCATTCAAATTATAAATTGCTTAAATTACGACTTTTTGTACCTCTTTCTTTTTTTTTACTTTTTATTCCTTTTTATTCATTCCAAAGTAGGTTTCTAGGAATGTAAAAATCATTATCATCAATAAGAAGTCTGTCATTTTTTGTTACGGAAAACGTATTTAGTTGAGAGAGTTTGAACTCTTATAATTAAAAATACGAAAAAAATTGGAAAAACAGAAAAAAAGACTTGAAATTTGGTTTCAAAAACTTTTCAAATCGACGAGTTAATTCAAAGCAAATATGAAAAATTAGTACTAGAGAAGACTGGAACGGAGAAAAAAATAAAAACAGAAATTGAAACCCTTAAATTTCTAATTTAAATGGACAAAATTTTGAAGGCTTCTAATTTTGGTGGTCGCAATTTTCACGCGACGTATTTTTGCGGATCAAATTTTTCGTCCTACTATCAATCAGAGAGCGAGCCATTCACAGAGCGTTTTTGAATGACGTCATTGCACTTGACATTAAAAATCTGAACAGACTAAAGTGGAAAAAAATGCAAAACCAAAAATGAAGGGGGCGTGGTCTCATGTTTACATGCTATTTTCATGCTTCTATGCCCTTGTCGGTGAGGGAAAAGAGAGCCCAGACAGGTCAGAGCGTTTCTAAACCGTACATGGATCGGCTGGGCCCTGCTGGTGTTGGGGAACCCTCGATTGACGCGTCTTCTGGGGGGCTTTTCCAGTGAGACCGAAGGGGTGAGGGCTTCGATGGCGTCTTCGTCCATCAGAAGAGGATCCTCCTCTTCGTCGGCTCCCTTCATGTCACTCGGCCTTTTGCTGGGACCCGGTTTCTCATCAACCGCCTCCATTTTGTGCTCCGGAACTTTCGACGGCGACGTTTTCACTTCAACTTCGGCGGCTGGATCCGTCCCATAGTCTTCCAGGATCGATTTGAGAGCAGGGGGCTTGAAAATCGGGAAGGTTCAGGATTTTTTCTGTGAGGTCAGCAAACCTTAGCATCTGAATTTGTTGCTGCATTCGATGAGGTCGAGTTGGAGTTGCGACTTCTTTGACGACTTAAGGAGGTCGGTTCGATCATTTCCCCCTGAGAAAGTTGAACTTAAAATTCTTGAAACTTGAAATCCAACATAAACTTTCAATGAAAAACTGTGCAAAATTGGAAAAAAAAAAGGTTTTTCTCATATTAATCCAATTCTAAGGTGATTTTCGTTATAATTTTCATGAAAAAATTCGAAATTTTCAGACTCTGAATAAGAAAAAAAGTCCAATAAAGTTGTTAAATGAAAAAAATTCAAAAAAATGTGTTGAAAATTTATTTTTTTCTCTGAACAAACTCGGTAACTAAAATCGAACGTGTCTAAGCTTTTCTAGTGACTTCTTTAGTGGTTTCAGCACCCTTAAGTGATCCCTAGAAGAGCTCAGAAACGTCTAGGACGCGTCTGGTTTGCGTTACAGGGGTCCGAGAAGCTGCCAAAAATTTTTTTGAGGATCATTTTTTTCAAAAAACCTTTTTCGATAATGTAACTTTGACTACCCTCCTACCAATTGAAACTGGAAGAAAAAAATTTTGGATTTCAAAAATCCTCCTACCCCGTATTCAAAGGTATCACAGCCAAAAAGGCCCATTTTACTTAAACTCTTCTTAATTTTAAGAGTCTCACCCGGCTCTCGAGGACCTTCCGAGTAGGGAGCCTGTGCCTGGAAGGTCGTCCCTGTGAGTCGGACTCGTCCGCTTCTTCCTTCGTCTTTTTCTCCGGCGGTTCTTCCGGAATTTTCTGGGGTCTTGGCGTCGAGAAGGCGCTCATGGCGCCTCCTCGTCCGCGCGCGGGTCGACCTCTTCTTGGGGTGGTGGGGGCTGAGTGCGGGTTTTCAGGTCGGTGAGCTGAAGAATGAAAATTTGGAGGTGGGATCGGAAACAAGATATTTCCAACCTGGAGAAGAGGAAGGGCCACCGGAGGTTCCAAGCCTAAGGACAGGGCCTTTTGAGGGCCTTCCACGGCCTCTACTGAATATAAGAATGATAAATTGGGATCAACTATGAATTTAAAGTTGAAAAATTTAAAATTAGCTCAAAATGGAAGATCCTAGTAATGCTTAAGGTGACCTTAAAGTAGATATAATGCAAAATATCTGTTAGAGAAAGGGAAAGATAACTGAATTTTGGAGAGTCAGAGATATTTTTGAATTTCACTTTGAACACGGCATAAAGCTCATGAAGCCGTTGAAAAAAAAGCATTTGAAAACTTTAATGAAAAAAAGAGATTCTGCGAAACACCGCTAGAGAAAGGTAAAGACAACTAAAATTTGGAGAGTCAGAGATAATTTTAAATTTCACGGAAGTCATTTCGAACACGGCATAAAGCTCTTGAAGCCGTTGAAAGAAAAGCATTTGAAAAATTTTTTGAAAAAAAGTGATTCCGAGAAATACAAAAATATCCATCAGAGAGTGGAAAGGATAACTAAATTTTAGAGAGTCAGAGATTTTAAGAATCGCGAAAATTCCTTTGAACACAGCCTAGGCTACTCGGAAAAAAACCTTGAAAAATTTTTCCTTTTTTTCATATTTAAAAAAATTATTTTTTTCTCGAAACCTATACCTACAATACTCACAAAAAGCGATGAAATGAAAAAAATTTATGAAAATAAATCACTGAAGCATTCACTCAAAACAGGAAAAAAATTCAAGAAAAACTGTTCAATAGCTTTGTTTAAACCTATTTTTTTCTTCATCTAATACTTTAAGAGTCAATTGAGAAACTGGAAACTCATCTAAAACTAAGCTCCATAAATGATAAAAATGCAAATAAAGACACTAAAAATTGAGCAAAAAATCAAAATTTTCAAAAATATCTCTGAAAAACCAACGTCTTCTTCTGCATCAACGGTATGGCCGGTGCTAGCCGAGGCCTGCTGATGACGTCATTGACGGGCTCGAGCTCCTGGGCCACTTCTTCTTCGAGCCCTTCGCGCCCCAAGGCATCCAAATTGTGGGGTTCATCACTGGGAAAAATTCATTTTTATTGATTTCTTCAGTATTTATGAAAAAATGGTCGCAAAAACCGGGAAAAAGGTTTAAAATAATGAATTCTCTGTGAAGGAAACCGGAAGTGCCCCGGAAGTTTCTAAAAAATTCTAGGGATCACTTAAGTGACCTGACAAGTGTCCACTAGACAGGCTCAGAAACGTCTGGTTCGCGTCAAAAAAACAGAAAAACCTCGGGTAAAGTCGGAATGGTGGATAATGGCCGCTAAAAGGGAGAGGCTCAAAAAAGGTCGCAGAAAGGCAGCAAAAAGGCAGCAGAAAGGTCGCAGAAAAGCAGCAAAAAGACAGCAGAAAGGCAGCAAAAAGGCCACAAAAAGGGTCCCGTTATCGAGCCTCTCACTTTTCTGGGGTTTTAAAAGCTCAAGAAATGGGGAAAATGGTGCGAAAATAGTGCACAAAAGCCTATAAAATTATCTAAAAAGGCCGCAAAAAGGCCCCAAAAAGACTGAAAAAAGGCTCCAAAACGGCAGCAAAAAGGCAGCAAAACGAGTTCCTTTATCGAGACTTCCATTTTTTCTGGAATTTTAAAGGCTCAAGAAATGGTGGAAAAAGGCAGAGGCAACAAAAATGGTGCATAAAAGCCGATAAAACGGCCCAAAAAGGCAGCAAAAAGGGAACATTCCTATGGAACCTTTTCCACCCTTTCCGACTTTGCCTATGACACCGAAATTAGCAACAGAGCGCACTTTCAAAAATCACCTTCCACCGGGCTGCTCAACATTTTCTTCTATTTGATAGCCGTTATCTTCGATTCTGAAATTTTGAAAATTTTGAAAATTTTTTTTAACAAAACTTACTCGACACTTTCATAATATTCGCTGTCTGCGACGAATTCGCCTTCTTCAACTTCCAAATATTGTTCATCTACTTCTTCCAGGATCATCTCACCGTCCTCGGCTTGGTACTGGAAAAAAAAGGTTCAAAAAAAAATTAATAGCGGCCAAAATGGTAATACTTCTTTATCACACAAGGAAAGGGGAAAAGACAACAATTTAACGTGGAAAAATAAGGAATTGTACTTCTTTTCCAAAGAAAGGTACAATTTCAAGCAAAAGCCATAAAAAAGTCTTGTTCAAGAAAAAAACGAACCACAAATTGTTCCTCGCCGGTTGGACCATCATGTTCGTGTAAAACAGCGACTCGTTGCAAAACGGGCGCTGAGGAAGTTTTTGGGAATTTCGTTGGCTGGCCACGGCCTGAAACATTTATTTTAATGCGAGGATTTCAGTTTCTATGCATCAAAAATTCATTGGAAAAAAATGCAAATTTAAAAAAATATAATAAATTTTTTTTCAATTCAAGTACATTATTTCACTTTTTCCTTTACAAAAAAATGCTAAAAAAATATCATTTCTTTGATTCAAATCACACTTCAATGTTGAATTTAGAAAATTTCACTTCAATCACATTTAAATACCTCAAAAAATGTTTTTAAAAGATGAAAGTAAAAACGACCTTGAAAAAAAGAATTAACAAAAAAAAACATTTAAAAATGAAAAAAATGAGTTCCTCCTACCTTTCCTAGTTGAAACAAGTGGAGCGGCAGGTAGAATTTGCCGTTCTAAAGTTGGCGGCTGAGATCTGCCCGCTCTTCCTCCTGAAAATGAGGTCAATTCAATCAATCCACGTTTTTTTCGAAATATTTCATCATAAAAGTCAATAATTTTTAATCCAACGTAGTTAAAAGTGGAAAAAGAAAAAAGGTCTCCCCAGTTTTATATAGTCGCTGCACGGTTGGCTTGAGTGAATCGGAAAAATTAGTCTTGACACGATAAAAAAAAAAGAGCGTGGGGTTGGCGGAGAGGGAAAACATCGCCACGCGCTTTCCCCAGCCAGCCGTGAAAAGGCTATACAAAAAAAAAATTCAATCAAGGTTTCCTTTTTTTTTTCAAAGCATTCATTGGAAAATTTGAAGAATTAAACATTAATAAGCTTATTTTTTTAAAAAAACTAGCATCGATAAAATGAATCGAATCATTAAAAAAAAAAAAAAAGAGTTATATTCAGCATTATCAGAAAACAAGCTGCTTTTTTTGGAAAAAGAGTAATGGAAAAAAAGGACGTCAGAAATATCAAGAAAAACAAATTAATTATTCCAAAAAAATAAAAAAACATCGACAAAAAAAATATCCTTATATCTTTTTCTTTTTAATTGACAGTGCTTTAAAATAAGTGTTTTTTTCAACGCACTTTATGTTTCATAGGTACAGTTTCAACGTTAAAGAAAAAAATTTAACAATTTCTTTCCATAATTTTTTTATACTGAAGAAAGGATTTAAAAAAAAAGCGTTACGGCGTTTTTTTTTCCAAAAAAGGGGCATGACCTCGATTTCTCGATCCGTATCAAAAAAAAAGAGCGCAACAGGAAAAATATATAAACTAGTTTAACGACCGTATTTCAAAACCGTTCGCACTTGAACTGATAAATAATTATCATAAGAGACGGCTTTTCAGTATTGCAATGAAAAAATTGCGAAGAAAAAACAAAAAAACAACAACAAACCTCGATTCCATGCTCCTCGGTAGGGCATGGTCCGTTAAGGGTCTTGAACGGAAACCGTGTGCCGAAATTGAAACAAGTGGTTTGAATAAATTCGTTCTGGCGCCGAAAAGACAAGAAATACGGCGGTCCTGAGTGGAAAATGGTGTCGGCCGGTGGATCCTTCGGTGGCCGGCGATACGCGTGCTCTCTGACCGCCTCTCCTCGTCGCCTGCACTCTCGTCGTCTTACGATTCTCTGCGTCTCTGTTGGGAGCAATGATGTTTCGCTGATTTGCCCCTCTTTCTATGGCGTAATCAAAATTACGCTTTTTTGAGCCGTGAAAAATAGCGAATTGCGAAAAAACTTGGGCTTGGACAATAAAAACTGGGGATTATTCTCAAAATACTTTATAATAAAGATTGAAAAACGTATTTATAATAAGTTTTTGAACAGAAATCTCGCATTTCGAAGCATTTTTCTCTAAATTCTCCAATTTCATAAACTTTCTGAACCGAAAAAACCTAGCAGTAATGAAAAATCGGATATTGGAACCCAAAAAAAAACATGTTTGTGTCTTTCATCAACGCTTTTTTTCAAGGTCGAGTTTTTTTTTGATAAGAATGACCTTCTCCGATGGAAAAATATCTAGATAGTTTGATCAAGGTTTCAGAATCTTGGCAATTTTAAGAAGTTCTTTTTTTTAAGTTTCAAAAAGACTGAAAAAAAATTGAAGGTGGTAAAAATGTTCTTATCAGTATAACGTAGAAAGTGGTCTAGCGGGTGGAAAATATTTTTCAAAAAAAGGGTACAACGGCCTGAAGAGACGCCAGGCAACGAGAGTTCTCTAGCTTCTCTGGCGTCTCTTCAAGAAGCCGTTGGTCTCTCGCCTCGGCTTTATTTTTAGTTTTAATGATTCTTCTTCATTTTCTAATGAGTTTTCGTCTTCGAAAAACTGAGAATCCAGTCGAAAAGTCAAATTTTATTATAAAGAACGATCAAAAAACAAAATCCCGTCATTTGTGGATGTCTACGCAGTAAAAAAGAGCAACAAGCGAGGAATAAAATAATTACAAACAGATAAATGAAGAGTTTTGAGGGTACAAAATGAAGAGGATCTAGCGGAAATTGAATTTCATTGCGGAAAAAACCAAAAAATGCCATTTTTCTATTCAAAATGGACTTTAAAAATAACAAAAAAGGGTCACTTTCCAGACAAAGTCATATTTAGTTCGTTGGGATGAAAATAAGTGGTGGAGGATCGAATAAAGCTCGGATTTCAGTTAATCTGGCCTGTTTTTTCGGCTCAATCTTCATCGAAAAAGGCAAAAAAAGATCTTCAAAGATTGAAAAAACACATTTCCACCCAAAAAACTCCTCAAAACGCACAACAAAAGGCAAATTTTCAAATAAGGCCATCAAGTTCTTTCATGAATTCGTTGTAGGCGTCGTCGGTACTCTTGGCCTGTTGATGAGCTTCTGGTCTTCTGACGGGTACCGGCTTCATTGTGGACGACGTCGTCTGCTTTTTACGGAGCAAGGCCGCCGGGACAAGCTGGAAAATCGTTATATTGGAAAAATGTCATCTCCTTTGTCAGTAACAAACAAAATACAATTGAAAATAATGATTTTTTAAATTTTCAATCGATTTTTCCTGAGTTCCACTATAACAGCTTCTTTCTCAAATCACATAGGTCTGAAGCCGCAAAATTCATTATTCTATGAAGTTATCCTCTCAAAAAAAAAAGTTTCCTACAAATCGAGGAACAAAACTCCAACCACTAGCGATCTCGTTTCACTCCGATCTTGTCCGGCGTGATGAAAAAGCGAAATCGCTGGCGGTAAGTCGGCAAAATCGCAAAAATGTCGCGCGAGTCTCGCATTTGCCCCGCACTCAGAACAAAGTTTGAAAATTTTCAAAATGCGATGTCGCGTCTGGCAAAACGCGATATCGCGTCTGGCAAAAATCTCGTTTGGAAAAACGCGATATCGCACCAAAAAAAAACGCGAAACAGGCGCGGATAGAAACCAGCACTTTTGCGAAATCGTCAAAATATCGCCACAAACCAAATTTAACTTCGGCAGCAAATTTTATTGGTTCAAGGGTTAAAATTTGAATTTTTCAGGATTTTTATCAAGAAAGTCACTCTAACAGTCTATTTTTCAAATTGCTTCATTCTGGAGCCGCAGAAAGGGCGGCAGTTCATTATTATGTCAATTTATCACCTCGGTCAACCAAAAATTATACAGTTCAAGAGATCAAAATTGAAATATTTGTCATTTTTTTGAAGTTAAAATCTCAAAGTTCTAGAGCCGCAGAAAGTACGGAAGGTTCATTATTTCATTAGCTAAACTTCTCATACGATTTACAAAAAAATTATCACAGTTCAAGAGCTCAAAATTCAAAGTTTTTCTTATTCTTGAATTTCAAGGGTATATATTCTGTGATTCTGAACCAGAAAATCCGTCACATAGTTCAAAAAATCTCCGTAACAGTCTTCTTCCTCAAATCTCAAAGTTTTTAGAGCCGCAGAAAAGACGGAAAGTTTATTATCCCATTAATTGAACTTCTCACACGATTTATACAAAGATTATAAAAGTTCAAGAGCTCAAAACTCGAAAATTTTGTGATCTTTAAATCAGTCAAATTTTTCGAAAAATCCCCTTAACAGTCTCCTTTCTCAAAAAGAAAATTATTAAAAATTAAAAGTTCAAAATTAAAATTCTTCTAACTCTTGAAGTTCAAGGGTACGAATTTATTGATTCTGAACCTTAAAATAGATCATATTTACCAAAAAATCACCTTAACAGTCTCCTTTCTCAAATCACGAAGTTCTGGAGCCGCAGAAAGGACGGCTGGAACTGAAGGGCCGCTACTTTCGATGGGGGCGTCCCGGCGGATGATTGGCGCAGAGGAAATGACGGCGTCTTAAGAAAATAATTCTGATTTCTCAGATTTTACATCATATCTAAGCCTCAAAAAGGCTACAAATCGAAAAAACCAGCCTCCTAGGCCAAGTTTTTCCACTCAAAATCAGTTTTTTTGAACTTAATTCCTTCCAAAATTCAAATTTACTTGGAAAATGAGTATTTTTTAACTCCTTAAACTTGTTAATATCACATAAAACCAACTATCAGGAATATGATGATGACTATGTGAAGAAAAGCCCATGGGATTGTATCCCATGTGGGGCATTCCATGTGGCGGAGGCGGCGGAACTGGAAAAAATTGGTTTTTCTCTGATTTCAATTTTTAGGTCAACCTTTTCGCATCGGGACCATCGGCGTGTAGTTTGTGTAGCCGCTGGGGCCGGAATCGAAGTCGGGGACTGAAAAATTCAATTTTTTGATGAGAAAAGGTCAAAATTTCAATGAAAAAAATATACTATTAGAAGGCGAAAAAAAATTCAATATTTTTTTAGACCAAAAAAATCTTCAAAAAAATGAGCTAAATTATGAAAAATCTCATTGAAAAAACCATTCAAAATGAAAATTCACTAAAATCTCAATAAAAAATGAATCATTATTGAACAAAAAAAGAGTTTTTTCAATAAAAAAAAAGCCCAGAAAAATCTTGAAAAAAATGTCAGGATTTTTGAAAGTTTCGATGACAAAAAAATCATGAATAAAAGTTTCCTGAAACGAAAAAAAATAGCTATACGGTCTAAAGCAATTTTTAAAGAAAGCATTTTTTTCAAGATGTTTTTCAAAAAATCGCTAATTTTACTTGGAATCGGGGCCAAATCATCGTCATCGGGCTGTTGGAACCCGTAGGCGTCGTGTCCGTAGCCGCCGCCGTACTCATCTTCGCTGTCGCTCAAGTCTGGAGGGATTCCGCAGGGCACTCCGGGCGGTTTCAGCCCGGATTTCGCCCGGGGGAGCTTGAAATCCACCTTCTTTCTGGAAATTTATGACTGTTTTTCGGAGCATTTGAGTTTTAAAATCATGGAATTTCAGTCTGGATAGCTCTTTTTTAAGAAACTACTGGGGAAATTTTTAGTGGCCACTATAGGGTTTTGACGTTTTAGTGGCCACTATAGTAGTCAAATTAGTGGCCACTTTAGGGGTCAATGGATCAACATAACTGGTCCAATCTGTTTGTTTTGAAATTATCAGAGTTACGGGATGGAATACTGGATGAAAAACTACTAAAGTGGCCACTAAAACGGAAAATAGTGGCCACTTTAGTGTCCCCTCCAAGTAGTCCTTGGCGAGCCTCTATAGTGGTCACTAAAAATTTTCCCAGTAAAAAAAAACCCTCAAGTGATCCCTTAGCCAGCCAAAATCCCTGGTCATTTTTTAAAAAAAGATTGTGATTTCCTCAAAACTGCACCCAAAAAATGAGATATATTATTTTGAAAAATCCCTCTAGGGCCCACTTGATCTGCGGAACGGTTGGGCCCATCAATTGGGCGGTTCTCAGATCGCCGTGGCCCATTTCTCCGCTCGGCAGGGGAATAAAGTCCGGATCCGCTTCCCGGGCCATTTTGGCTTGTTCTGAAACAGGAATCAAGTCATAAAAATCGAATTTCAAGCTGTTTTTCATGAAAATTGTGCAAAATTTTATTCTCAACACATAATTTTAATATAAAGCTTCCTAAAATTTGCTCGAAAAATTTTTTTGAATCAAAAAGGCTTGATTGTTTTTCAGAAAATACGTTTGAAGCTGAAACATCGATTTCAACACAAATTTTCTAAAATAACCTGCTAGAAACTGCAATTTCCTGCAGTCGGCGTGAAAAACTTGCAGTTTTTCATTAAATCTCTTCAATTCGTCCTCTTCTTTGGCCTGCTGGAGGGCCTGCCGCCGTTTGTTGAGCATGTCATTGAGGACCTGAACGTTGAAAATTAAGATTATTGAACTTTTCCAAGAAAAAAATACGAATATTCAAAGGAAAAAAATTACAAATCTTTCGAGAAAATGATGTAATTTTTTTCGAAAAAGTGAGTGAAAAATCTTGGAAGAAAATGATGAAACTTCAAAAAAATTATAAATAATCAAAAAAATTGGTTAAATTTCAAGGAAAAAAAGTGGAAATCTCTCAAGAAAAATGATGTAGTTTTTTTCGAAAAGTAAGTGAAAATCTTAGAAGAAAACGGTGAAACTTCAAAAAAATTATAAATATTTAAAGAAATTGGTTAAATTTCAAGGTAAAAGTGAAAATTTTTCAAGAAAATTATGAAATTTGTAAAAAAGTAAGTGAAAATCTTGGAAGAAAAAGGTGAAATCTTGAGCAAAAACGCCAGAGAATTCAAAAAAAGGTGGAACCCCAAAATAAAGTACAAGTCATAGAAGAACTTGAATTTATACAGAGAAGATTTTTTTAACAAATGTATAAATTTTTCTTCGGAAAAATAGTTGAAAAAGACAGGAAAATCTACAAAGTTAAAAAAAACCCAAAAAATTGACATTTCTTTTTTTACTTATACTTACATAAAGATGCCCGTCTATAAAACGATATTTTCCCAACACAAAAAAGTAATAAAATCATTCAGAAACGTACCTTTTGCTTCTTTTTCAAAACGTCCACGTGGAATGGCTGCGGGTCGAGGCCGAGAACTGCAAAATGACTTTTACACTTCTTTTTGATTTTTTAATAGTGATAAAAACCAACCCTGACGTTCCAAAAGCAGCAATTTTGCCGTGGTTTCCTCCACATTGCAATATTTTGCGATTGCGTGCCGGATTTGCTGCCGATCGCGTTTGTTTCGCTTATTTTCTTTCCTCCTTTCAAGTTTTCTGGCCTAAAATATACATTGATTTCAAAAGTCGATGGGAAATCAACCTGATCCGTCGGGGCGCGGAACGACTTGCCACTTTTTGTCTTGGAAACGGATGGCATCTTTAAAAATATTATTCTTCAAAGCAATAACTTTAAAAAGCACATATAAAGAGCGAGAGGATCACAGGAAAAAAATACAAAAATAACTTTTAAAAGGATTCAAAGGGAAAAATATGAAAAAAATCGAAAAAAATTGAAAGCTAAAAAGAAAAAAACATAGAAGAAAAACAATTTTTTTAAACTCAATATCCTACTTTTTTTATTTGTTTAATGGCAATACTAACATCATCAGACAACTCAAAGTCATGAAAAAAATTAAAAAAAACAAAAAACAAAATATTAACATTCAAAAGAAAGAAAAAAATTAATTTCTTTTCTCTTGATTCAATTTTTCAAATTCAATCGGTTTTTTTCAACGCTTTTACTTTCCGTATCTGACTTTAAATCCATGAAAAAAATATTATTTCATTTCATTGGAACATGAATTTATAAAGAAAAAACGGATGAAAATGCAAAAGATCGTTTAAAAATAAAACGCTTTTTTTCAAGTCAAAATAAAATTCTTTCTAGCTATTAGGAATCCCTCTACCCTGTAATCAACAAACTACAACGAAATAGTGAGCACGAACCTTATGAAAATTGAGAAGAAACGCAAAAATTTGAAATTTTCCAAAAACGCAACTCCAGGATCGTCGGACGCGGCGCGTGCCGACGACTCGCGTCTCGGTGGAGCAACCTTGACCATCATTAACTCGAGAATCAATGCCGATTTCCGGTCGATATTCAATAAGGTTAAGGAAGATAATCTTTGAAGTGAATGCAAGGAAAAAGTAGCCGCGGCGGGTGGCGATGAAAATTAGCGGAAGAGCAAGGAAAATAGTTGGGAAAATTGAATGAGTGCGCGAAAATTGAGTGCGGTGAGCGTGTGTTTGTCCCTTTCGCTCGTCCGTGTCTTCTTATCGATGCAAGTTGGTCGTCCGGGGCAGCCAGCAGCGGCCTCTCGAGGCACCCACTCTTCCTATGCTTTAATTTCCTCCAGGCATTGAGCCTATTTCGTGCTTTACACCTCCCACAAGCTCTTCACATTTCAAATTGCCGCCTTTTTCCCATCGTTGCCATGGTTACCGACTCTCCGCCCATCCTTCCGTTGATAGCCACTGATAAGCCGTCGGCATACGATAACATGCTTTTATGGAGGAGAGTGTGGGAAGAAGCAGAAGTCGGGGTGATAAATGGTATTGTTAGGAAGGTTTTTGGAGCGAATTATCATAATTTTAAAGTTCCATTGATGGTTAAAAGCGCTCGAGGACGTTGAAAAAATGTATTGAAAAAAGATTATCAAGTTTTTACGCATAAATTTCGTTGTTCAAAGTGTAGAAAATAAGTTTCAAGGTCAGAAGGTTCTTTAGAGCTATTATTAGTGGACAATTTTGATTTGAAAGCTAGAAATAGATGAAAAAGCGTGAATATACTGTTTAAGTACAATGAGAAAACCGTTTCAAGGTTTTCAAACTGGTAAAAAATCAGTTATTTTCAAAGAATCGGAAGGGGTTTTCAAGGTTAACAGGGTTCCATGCTAATTTTAGATAAGAAAATCATTTCCTGACCAAAATTCAAAGGTTTCAAAGCTTAATATAGGTGAATTTTGAGAACTGGGGATAGACCATAATGAAAAAAATCGTAGCAAAAAAATCAGAAGTTTTCAATAGAATTGAGATTTTTTTCAAAATAATAGAAGTTATTTTTCAAGTCTAGAAAGTTTTTTTGAGGTTGATTTTTCGAAGAAAAATTTGTGATTAGAAACTTTTCAAGAACTGAAAAATAAGTTCAAGAGCCTATTAAAATATTATTTTTCCCGAAAAAAATAACGGAAAATTTAGCTTCAACGCGAACTTTTTGATTGAAGTAAGCCTTATATGAGCTTGATAGTTTCAAAATTCAAGGTTGGACTTCAAAGGAAGAAAATGAATTTATAGAGCATTCTTCTTGAATTGAAAGGTTATAATTGACTTTTTTTGAACCTTCTACGTGATTAAAACTTTTTTTCTAAAGCGAATATACATTTTTCAAAAAAAGTTAATTTAAGAAATTCCATTCGAAATGAAATGATTTTTCCTGTATTTCGTTGATTCGTCCTTTTTTTCGATGTTTCTCTTATTATTAACTACTTTTTCCTATACATGAACAGCTCAAAGATGAGGAATAAAAAAATAAATTTTCAGAAATTATGGCTGCAGACGACAATGAACACTCGTCGATTGCCAGCACTTCCAACGGTTCTTCGAGCCCCGTTACTAACAGGTTTCTATTTCATTTATATATTTTAAACGTTCAAAAACTTCATTCCTAATTCAACGGAGTACTCTCAAACAATTGTAGCACTGACAAAAAAATTTGAAAATGAAATAAAAAAAGTAGATTAATATTAGGTCGACCAGTATGAAATCAGCACTGGGCTCATCGATTCATAATTAATTCCCAAAAATTTTAAAGAAGACATTCATTTTCCGCATGAACGCTGATCACAGATCGTAATAACAATTGGAAAATACTTTTTGAATACATATTCTTTCATAATATCCTCATAAACGCCAACAGTAACGCATTTCTAACCGGCCAACCTAATAGAAAGTAGTTTAAAAGAGCGAGACACAACTTTATTTAACAAATTGAGTTCTTTTAAAATTCCAAGAATTTAAAAAATTGCAAAAAGATTGTTAAGACTGAATAAAAACAGAAAGAAAAAATAAATGACAAAAAATGAAATTCTCCCAAAAAAAAAGTTAACGCTGCAGCAAAGATGCTCCACTGACAATAATTATTTTTGCAATTTTTTAAATTTTTCTTTTTTTTCAAGCTCATCGGAGAAACGGAACATGCTTCAAAACGTAAAACCGTGCTCATAGCCAAAGAACAGTATATACTAATTTTTTTTTGGAGCAATTTTTTTGCGTTTCGAAGCAACCACCAAAAAACTCCAAAAAGGCCTGAAACATAAGAGCCTTAAGCTCCTTTTGAGTTTCTAAAATAGTGTCAGAAGTTTCTCCCTTCTTTCCACGTTTTTTCCGCCTTCTTTTTGAGACCTTTTGGATTTAAAAGAGTAACGCGTAAATTTCTAAATTACTTTGACGGCATAATAATCTTCATTTTTCAGTCCGTCATCCTCGGCAGTTGTTGGACCCAAAAAGCGAGGGATTCTCGATGTCGACGCCTTGTGGAGAAAAAAGAAGATTCTAGAATTGAAGAACAAGCAAATCGAGGAGAAGAATCAACAGGATAACGAGAATGAACGGTTGGTTTCGTGTTCATTTGGTATTTTCTAATTTTCATGAAGGGTCAGTTTTTGAGATAGATAGTAAGTATTTCAAGCTTCAATAGAGGGTCAATTTGCGAAGTTCCTTCATTTTTTGAAAAGTCATGTAAAAGGAGCGAAACCTACAACACTAGTAACGTTGGTAACTTCATCGAGATTAAAAATCTTGGAGAGTTGGATTTGAATTGATTGTTTGTAGTTTTTTTTTTCGATATTTTGAGCTTGTTCTTTGGTTCATCCGACAGAACGTCTCTAAATGCCCATTTTCCGAAGCTTTAGGACAAGACGACCCTTTTAATGTCGTTTATAAAGCGAATACTTTGAGATGAAGCCATCTTTGTTCGAGTTTAAAATCAAACGAAAGGCTGTCAATTTTCTACAATATTTTTGGTCTCAAAACTTTCTGTATGACTTTTTTTCGATTCCAAGTCATAAATGGGCGAGGTCCGTATGTTAAAAATAAGGAAGTGAGATTGAAATTTAAGATTTTGTAGAACGGAGGTGTATAGGCGAGCTTTATCGAGCCCGTTCGAGTCGTGTTTTTGACTTACTTTGAACCGAAAATGTGAAATCTACGAAGTTTCTATGGCCGAGTAGATGGGAATTCAGAGTCATAAGTACCTTCATGAGGTCGAAATTGTGCCTTTTGTACATTTCTGAGCTAAGAACTCGTTTCAACTAGGTTTTTCGGTCAATTTATGTAAGCCAACCCCTTTTCCTGGGCAAATTGAGGACTCTACATGCCTAAGTATGTCCTTGACTGTAACGGGATCATTGAGGAAAAGTTGGAATACGGAGAACTTTTTCTGTAAAATGGTCAGCGGCCCCGAAATTTGGTGTATCCATGTTTTGGTCTGAACTTTGTTCTGCCATATGTGGTCTGAAAATGGGTCTGCCATATCTGGTTTGACTTTTAGTCTGCCATATATGGTCTCAAATTGGGTCTCCTTATGTATTGGTCTGCCAAATCTGGTCTGAGATTGGGTCTTTCAAACCTGGTATGAATTTCGATCTGGCTATGTATTGGTCTGAAGTTTGGTCTGCCTTTATCTGGTCTGGAATTGGGTCTGCCATATCTGGTCAAAAATCGGGTCTTCCCGTGTATTAGTTTTCCATATTTAGTCTGGAATTAGGTCTGCCCATGCAGTAATCTGCCATATTTGGTCTGGAACTGGGTCCACCATATCTGGTCTGAAAATGGGTCTGCCAAATCAGGTCTGGAATTGGGTCTGCCATACCTGGTCTGAAATTGGGTCTGCCTATGTATTGGTTTGCCATATCTGGTCTGACTTTTGGTCTGGATATTTGTTGGTCTGGAATCGGGTCTGCCCATGTATTGGCCTGCCGAAAATGGTCTGAAGTTGGGGCTGCCAAATCTGGTCTGGAATCGGGTTTGCCTATGTATCGGTCTGCCATATCTGGTCTGAAATTTGGTCTGGCTATGTATTGGTCTGCCATATATGGTCGGAAATTGGGTCTGCCCAAGTATTGGTCTGCCATATCTGGTCTGGAGTTAGGTCTGCCGTATCTGGTCTGAATTTTGGTCTGTCCATGTATTAGCCTGCCATATCGGGTCTGACTTTTGGTCTGGCTATGTATTGGTCTGCGATATCTGGTCTGGAGTTGGGTCTGCCATATTTGGTCTGAAATCGGGTCTGTCAGGCCATACCTGATCTGAATTTCTGAAGTGTGAATTTTGGTCCGCCCCTCCAAGCTCTCCGTACACTTGTTCAGCAAGAGCTTGATCCATGGAAGCTTCCCAAAAATGAGCAACAAGCTGCAATGTCCGCGGAAACCCCTTGAAGGCTCCACATTCTGCATATCGATACTACTAGCGACTGGATAATGGCGCAAAACGGCTAGAGATAAGGAGATAAAAAGATAATAGTGAACAATAGCCGGCGGCGGTCTCCCCGGGCAACCACCGCCGGCCAAAGTGCGGCCGCCGGAAGAATTCCGCCGCGCCAAAGGCTTTTCCTCCCCTCTTTTGTCAGCTCACTCTTCACTGATAAGCCATTCGGCTTAACTTCTTAACTTTTGTTTTTGTTTTCTAAGAATTTCATAAGGATCTGAAGAAATTGTCGTTGATTGTAGTGCCGGGTACGCAAACACAGGTGTTGACGGTGAAAAATCGATTTTTTTTTTCTTTGAATCTTTTAAAATCTCTTGCTTCCTTGTGGCCCAGGAGGATATATAGGAAGCCATATTTCAAAATATTTCACTTCAAAATTTGATTTGAAGAATATTTTAGTAACGTTTTTGAAAATAGTCCCGGGGAAGAATGACGTCATAATGTACTTTGAAGCTTTTTTTGTAAATATTTAGAAGAGTTTCGGTGTGAGATTTTAATTATGGAATAAAAAAAGTCAACTATTCGGAAAATTATGACTTTAGAAATTTTTTTCGTGAAATCTGCGGTCTGCGAACCACACAAAATAATGAAAAAGAAAAATTTTTTTCGGATTTTTCTATTGATTTTTTTGGCTCTCCTTTTTCCACCGCCAATATCAACGGAAGAATTGGTAGGATCTTTTGTTGAAATTTTTTTTCGATATTTTTGATTTTTTTATCAGATATTGATACATAAAAAAATGGGCTTTAAAGTGTTCACTAATGTATTATTTTTGAAAAATATTAGTTTTTGGGATTATTTTTTTGTAGTTTTTTTAATGAAGCTTCTTGGTGAAATTTCTAGGTTTGCCTTGGAAGATTAAATTTGTAACATTCATTCAGTTTTGATTTTTTTTTTTGAACCGTTCCAACCATTCTTTTTGCAATTTTTAGTGTTTCCTATGGATATTAACTTTCAAAATCATTCAAACAATTGGAAGTTTATGTTATAAGCTTTCTTTTCATCCTTCTTATTTATATTAAGGCTTCAACTAAGCTTTATAAGACTTATAATTTTCATCAAGTTTGCACTTTTAACAACAGAAATGGCTTTATCAAAAAAATATTTTCCATAAGTACATTTTTCAGTTCAAAAAGACCCACTTTTTGAAAGTTTTTAACAATACACTGCGCGTCATAGCTATAGACGCACCCCCATTTTTCAGTTTTTCAAAAGATATGTTGAACTTCCTGCAATCAAACCTATTTTTATGATGAACCTTAGCTGAAATGAGTAACATCGCAAAAAGAACTACAGAAGACTCAGTACAAAAAAATTTTTCGAAATCCGTCAAAAAAATAGTTTTTTTGACCGGGTCATAATTATAGACGCAGCCTGGGTCAAGGCTCATTTTTTTACTTTTTCTTGGAGCTTTCGCCTTTCTTTTTTTAATTTTAAATAAACCCTAAGGTAGTAGGAGGCCACAGCATTTTAAGCAATTTCCAATCAAGCAATTTTATTTACAAACCATGCGAAAAAGCGAAAAAAAAAGAAAATTTCATAAAGAATGGTCTCTTCTGGAAATATCAGAGAATTTATATCGGAGTTTGCGCATTAAATTTTCAAGTTACGTTGTTTTGAACAATAACTAAATAGTTCAAGAAGAGAAAATGCTTCTGCGGTACGAAAAATATCTTTGAATTAGGTGGATTCACTGTTCATAGGAAACCTGGCGTTTGTTTAGGGTCCGCAAGCCATTTCTTCAGAACGATTCAAAAAATATGTTTTTTACACTGTTCGATAGAGGAGACTGTCCATTTTCATATTCCGTTTAGTTTTTGAAAAAAGGTCCACTAAGAAAAAAGTTATGGCCAAAAAACTAGCGCGCGCGGCGTACAACTGGAGGCAAAATCTCACGGTTTACCCGCTGCCGCACGCTTTCTTTTTAAATGTTTTTGCGCGTTTCTGGACCGTTTTTAAATCGGTTTCCTGTTTTGAGAGGTTGTCCGAACTGAGCCTCATGTTTTGGTATCAATCTTTTGTATAACTATCATAAGAATTTTTGATAAAATATCAAAAAACTACTTAGAAAAAAGTCAGAAGGAATTTTTCAGCTTATTTTTTTCTTTTTTTCTAATCAGAAAAAAATTATTATCATTCGATTTGGAAGAAAGAAAAAAATGAAAAAAATAATGTTATTTCGAAATAAAAACAGGAAAAAAAGTGCAATTTGACGCCGAAAAAAACGGCTCCTGCAACATTTAAAATGGCGCATTGGTGTGTTTGACGCAAACACAGCTACGAATGCTTGCACGAATTCTTCCAAAATTTCAAAAAAAAATTGCCATTTTTTCGAGGTTTTCAAAGCCGTTATTTTTTTCGCGTCGATCGATTTTTTTCATAATTTTTTCATTGATAGAGTTTTGAACGCTTAATAACATAATCATAAATATAGACGCGATCCTATTCTCTCATTCGTCAACGAGGCAGACGAAAAAAGGAGGTTTTGGTAAAACTCAAATATAATTTGATTCGCTGTCCCAATAATTATTTTCATCCTGAATTTTTATTTTTGAACACATTGTGAGTTTTTAAATCAAATAAAAAGTATACCTTGTCGCTGAAATTTTTTCGCATTTCAGCTTCAAAGTTTGGTGTCAATTTACAAGCTTTAATATTTTTTTCGCGTCGTTAGATTTTTTTAAATTTTTTTACTCAAAAAAAATAAAGAAAGTGTTAATATATAACATACTCAAGATTTAGAAGCGTTCCTAACTTGGTTTTCTGAAACGCGAGGATTTTGTGAAACTTGTCAGTTTTTTTCGTGTTAAATCTTACTTTTTCGCTTATTTTCGAAAAATACGTAGTTTTAAAAATATTCAGTCTTGTAGAGCGTTGTCGATTACATAGGTTTTCAGAAACAGTTGATTTTTAAAGTGGGACTTTAGCTAGTATAAACGCCTCAAAACCGTTTTTGCAACAAAAAAATCTTCATTTTGGTGGCGTGAAGGGGCGGGGCTTTGCGCCCCCTACGTTTGTTGAACCGACCTCTTCCGCCAATAAAAATTTTTACTTAAGGTTTTTCAATAGCAACAGTATTCAGAAAAGGTTTTAAATATTTCAAACACTTTTCAACTATCTGAAAAAAGTCTGTTCTCTTTTCCGAAACCGTTTTCCAAAACAGAAAAAGAGCAAACTTTGCCCGTTTGGAGGTCCATTAACTTTCATTAGTTCTATGTTTCCAATGTATGGAAAAAAGGTCTATGATTAAATTCACACCAGTTTCGGGTAAAGTTAACACTTTGTTGACTGGGAAAAGAAATGGTGAGGGCGAAAATGAATTTTCAAAAATTTCTTCGATTTGCATGAACAAGAAGTTTCATTTTTCTTTTATTAGCACGGAATGAACCAATACCAGTAAGGACAATCAGCTTTAACCTTTCAAAGTAAACCTCAGGACATTGTCGCTATCAGAAAATCTTATATAGTCAATGTTTCCCGACTTGAAAGGCGAAGGAGGCGGGGCAAGGGGCGGGACGCGTAGCGTGTGCGTTCGCGGTTCTTGGCACGAGTTCAATTCAATTGTCGCCGATTATTTAAAAAGCTCGTCAACCGCTCTTTTTCAATGTTTTCTACTATTTCTTGATGCACACATGAACATAATCAATAAATAATTGAAATAAGAATGAAAAAAGCGAAAAACGGGCTTTTCAAAGAGTAGATGGCGGTTGAATTGGACACGTGGCAAGAACCGCGAACGCACACGCTACGCGTCCCGCCCCTTGCCCCGCCTCCCTCGCCTTTCAAGTCGGGAAACATTGACTATATAGAAATGTTTATTGGCGGAAGAGGTCGGTTCAACAAACGCCAGGTTTCCTATGAACAGTGAATCCACCTAATTCAAAGAAATTTTTCGTACCGCAGAAGAATTTTTCTCTACTCGAACTATTTAGTTATTGTTCAAAACAACGTAACTTGAAAATTTAATGCGCAAACTCCGATATAAATTCTCTGATATTTCCAGAAGAGACCATTCTTTATGAAATTTTTTCTCGCTTTTTTTCGCATGGTTTGTAAATAAAATTGCTTGATTGGAAATTGCTTAAAATGCTGTGGCCTCCTACTACCTTAGGGTTTATTTAAAATTAAAAAGAAAGGCGAAAGCTCCAAGAAAAGTAAAAAATGAGCCTTGACCCAGGCTGCGTCTATAATTATGACCCGGTCAAAAAACTATTTTTGACGGATTTCGAAAATTTTTTGTACTGAGTCTTCTGTAGTTCTTTTTGCGATGTTACTCATTTCAGCTAAGGTTCATCATAAAATAGGTTTGATTGCAGGAAGTTCAACATATCTTTTGAAAACTGAAAAAATGGGGGTGCGTCTATAGCTATGACGCGCAGTGTATATGAGAAGTTGGGGGCAGAAAAAAAAAGTTGAAATTTTTCCAAAAAAAGTATTTTTTCAGGTATCAAAGTCATTTTTTAACCATTCTTTGGACTGATTAGGGAATATTCTCAATTTTTGTCTCTCACATGAGGAACTATGACTAATAATGATAATAAAATTAATTTTTTTCATCCATTCAAAGTTTTTTTGAACATTAACAGAGTATATATATCAAATTTTCTTTAACCTGAGCAACACCGGGTCATATTGGGCCCCCTCCGAAAATGGTAAAATTACCGTGTCTGTGTGTTAATCGGAGAGATGAGGCGAAAGGTAAAGGTAAAGGTAATTACCGACCTGCCCGATACCTTTTTAGGGTCCTCTTTCAATGAAAGGCGAAAAGCCGGGCTCAATTGGGCTTCATGTTGCCGATTTTCGTTGGCTGGCTATTATGGCCAGGTGACAGGTGGCTTTCGGATGGGAGTCATCCTCAGTATTGCTCATGTTTGCTGGAGGAGGCCACGCCTTCTTTTTGTACAGGACTGTTTTTGAATGGAACAGTTTATTAATCTTCACAAAAAGAAAGCGAAATTCGAGATTTTTGAAGTCTTTCATACCATTTTCAAGGACGTGACCCAAATTTGAATCCTCAGTGTTGCTCATGTTTGCTGGAGGAGGCCACGCCTTCTTTTTTGTATAGGAGCATTTTTGAATGGAACATTTTATAAATCTTCACAAAAAGAAAGCGAAATCCAAGATTTTTGAAGACTTTCATACCATTTTCAAGGACGTGTCCCAAATTTTCATCCTCAGTGTTGCTCATGTTTGCTGGGGTAGGTCACGCCTTCTTCTTGTACAGGAGTATTTTTGAATGGAACAGTTTATTATGCAAATTTGACCTTGTAAATGGTAGGAAAGTCTTCAAAAATCTCGGATTTCGCTTCTTTTTTCTGAAGATTTTTTTGCGATTTTCTCGATTTTGAACAGTTATAAGAGCTTCAATTTCATAAAATCTATCTTATAAATTTTTTGTGATCGAAATTATTTTACATAAATGGCTATAAAAAGCTTCAAAATTTTGAAAAACCGTCAACAGTCATCCTCAGTATTGCTCATGTTTGCTGAAGTAGGTCACGCCTTCTTTTTGTACAGGAGTATTTTTGAACGGAACAGTTTACTATACAAATTTGACCTTGGAAAATGGTATGAAAGTCTTCAAAAATCTCGGATTTCGCTTCATTTTTCTGGATTTTTGCGATTTTCTCGATTTTGAACAGTTATAAGAGCTTCAATTTCATAAAATCTATCTTATAAACTTATATGATCGAAGTTATTTCACATAAATGGCTATAAATGAGCTTTAAAATTTTGAAAAACCGTCATCAGTCATCCTCAGTGTTGCTCATGTTTGCTGGAGGAGGCCACGCCTTCTTTTTTGTACACGAGCTTCCATTTCATGAAATCTATCTTATAAGTTTTTATGATCAAAGTTATTTTACATAAAAAGCCATGAAAGATCTTTAAAATTTCGAAAAACCTGTAAAAAATCAGGATTTTGATTTCCCTGTGTAGCCGGTCTCTTGTTACCAAGCTTTATGCCTTGAAAAACTTTCAATATTTCAAAAATTGGCCTTTAAAAGATCCTCAAAAACCTACTTTTTTTTATCCAAAAAGGACCAGCCCCCGGGATTTTCAGCCCAAGCCATTTGAAGCTCAAATCGAGCCACCGCTAGAACCTCCCCCCCATCCCCTAGAAAACCGGAAAGGACAGGTGAAACGGCGTAAATCTGGTGGTTAATTCGGCCGACGACGGGCCTAACGGACCACTCTCGTTTTGTGACCCCTTGGCTGCTAATGTTTCTCATAATTCCATGAATTTGAAGCTTGGAAGTCGAGATGGGGAAGAAAAAAGGATAAATTTGCAAAGAAATTGAAGTTTTTTCCCTAGAAAAAAATGATCTAAAATCCGTGTTTTCCCCTTTTTTTCCCGTCATTCAGGGGTTGCATAGAGAAAAAAATATGAAAACTTCAGCTTCAAAAGGAATTTTTTTACTATTAATAAAGAGAGCTGCTAAGTCAGGGGGGAAGAAGAACTGAATTTATACAAAAATATATGAGCTTTTTAAAATTTCGACCGCACTTGGAATGGCTCGGTTCAAACTGCTTAGATGCTTTCCGACACCCACAAGCGCAACTCGTTTTGGGTCGGGCGCAAGTTTCAACCAACCCCTCGGCAGCCGAGACCGTGTTAAATATATAAAGATGAAGCTCATTTTACACAATAAACCAAAAACAATCTTATATCTTTTCCCTAAGAGTCCGTAGTGGTCCCTTAAGTGGTTCTTGAAGGCTTCCCTCTAGTGACCGCCTTTCTTCCCATCATAGGAGGTGCTTGAAAAAGTGGCCACTCCAGGGGAGCATAAGTACTCTTTTAAGTTCTAATATTGTGAAAACACTATAGGGACTCAAATTTTAGCCCTCTAGGGGACACTATTTTGATCCCTATAAGGGCTGATTTTCCCCTAACCCCTCTAGGGACTACTTTGGTGCTCCATTTCCTGAATTTTCCGATTGTAACCGTCTTTAACTTGTTATTTAGGGCATTAAAAGTTGAAAATATTGAAATTTTATTTTTAAAACTCATTTTCACCATTAGTACGTCAATAAACGGAACAACTATCGTGAATCTTGACTTTTATCCAATTTTCAAATTTTCACCGTCAACATACATGACATGAAAACCACATAAACTTCAAATATGGCTTCAAAATTTTACTTTTTAGGCCAAAAGAGAGTGAAGAAAAGGCGGCGGCGGGTCAGGCGATGCGCCAGCCGATCCCAACGAGAAGCAACGCCGCAGAGAAACGAAAATCTGCTCGAATCGCTCATCAAAGAGGTTCGAATCGAAATATGGAAGGAGTAGAATTTTGAAAGTATATAGGAAGTTAGCTGAAGATTTTGGTGAAAAAGTGATTTTTCGTAGGGACTATTATGGGTAATAATGATAAACAATGAAATTATTTTCAAGAACTAAGATTTTTTTTTCCTTGGTTTCTGAAGTTTCAATGAGAAGGACGCATTTGGAATGGCTTAAAGAGCATTTCGATTGCTCCAAAGCGCGCCAGACTCGAAACGGCTTGCGCTTAGTAGCATCCGAAAGCTTTAGAACAAGCGGATTATTTTCAAGACTAAAAATTTTTCCTTGGTTTCCAAAGTTTCAAGCTGTATCATTTGCGAAGACGTGGACGCATTTGGAATGGCTCAACAAGCGTTTCGATGACTCCAAAGCGCGCCAGACCCGAAACGGCTTTCGCTTAGTAGCATGTGAATGCTTGAAAGCGAGCGGATTATTTTCAAGACTAAGAATTTTTCCTTGGTTTCCAAAGTTTCAAGCTGTATCATTTGCGAAGACGTGGACGCATTTGGAATGGCTCAACAAGCGTTTCGATGACTCCAAAGCGCGCCAGACCCGAAACGGCTTTCGCTTAGTAGCATCTGAAAGCTTTAAAGCAAGCTATTTTCGAGTCAAATGTAATTTTTTGAGCCGCGACGCGACCGCGACGCTTCAATAATAACAGCCAATTGAAATTAATGATATAGGATTTTGAGCTTTTTCATAGGAAAATTTAAAAATTGAAGAATGAAAATCCGAAAAATAATGGTCTTCACATACATGTTCTACAACGTGAACGAAAAAAATTTGAAAATAGGTTGTTTTTTTCCAGAAATGGAAGGCCGAATTCAAGATGAATCGATGGATGGAAAGACCATCAAACATACCGTACTCCGAAGTCGGGTCGGTTTTCCAGAAATTTCAAAAAATGACTTCAAAAAATTTTTCAGACCGTGTATCCCAAGCTGCCTGACTCGCCAGGTTAGTTGAATTTTTAAAAGTGTTTTTTTTTTCTTCTCAAAATTTTAATGAGGCTAAAAAAACGTGGTCGCATTTGGAATGGCTTTTGGGAAGTCGAGAATATTTAGGCCTAGAAAATGATAATTAGAAGGCTTTGAGGCGGAAATTTTTAATGAGAAAAACCTTCTTGGTCGCATTTAGAATGGCTTATCACGTAAATCAGTTTAAATCAGTTTTTTTGGATTCATAAAAAGGGAACCATATGAGGTCATGCCTATTTTCTACCGTTTTACCTGCCTTCCAAGAAAGGAAAATATAGTCAAACAACTTGGAGCACTTTTTCAAACGGCGTCCGACCATATACGGCTTGCGCGTCATGACATTCAAAAGTAATGAACCAGATGAGGTCATCTCCCGTTTTCCAGCGTTTTAGGAGCCTTCCAAAAAGAAGAACATGTAGGTAATTGAGGCTTTGCAGCTAGAAGAATTTTTCAAACCGCGTTCGACCCAAAACGACTTGCGCGGGGGAGTATCCAAAACTAGAGAGCCACATAAGGTAATCTTCATTTTTCCACCGTTTTACCTGCCTTCCAAGAGCAAGAACATATTTGTATAGAACTAGGAGCATTTTTTTAAAACTGCGTCCGACCCGAAACGACTTGCGCGTTGAAGCATTCAAAACTAGGAAGCCAGATGAGGTCATCTCTATTTTTCAATCGTTTTCCCTGCCTTTTAAAAGAGGAAAATGAGGTGAACAGTTCTTCGAAGATAGAAGTAGTTTTTCAAACCGCGCCCGACCAGAAACGACTTGCGCGCCACGTCATTCATAAGAAGCTGACCAGATGAGGTCATCCCCAATTTCCAACCGTTTTACCTGCCTTCCAAAAGGTAGAGAATATTAGTAAACGGGCTTCAAAGCTAGAAGCACTTATTTGTATTGTATCCGACCAGAAACGACTTGCGCGCCGCGGCATTGAAGTAGTGAACCAGATGAGGTCATCCTCAATTTCCAACCGTTTTACCTGTCTTTCAATAGCTAGAAAATGTAGGTAAACTAATAGGAGCTGTTTTTCAAACTGCGTCCGACCAGAAACGGCTTGCGCGCTGGAGTATTTAAAACTACGGAGCCACAAGAGGTCATCTTCATTTTTCCACCGTTTTACCTGCTTTTCAAGAGGTTAGAAGCACTTATTTGTGTTGTACCCGACCAAAAACGACTTGCGCGCCGCGGCATTGAAGTAGTGAACCAGAAGAGGTCATCCCCAATTTTCCACCGTTTTACCTGGCTTTCAAGAGGTAGAAAATGTAGGTAAATGGGGCTTCGCAGGTGCTCTCCTCTCTCGCACTCCACTCACAGCTCAACTGAAAAATCTTTCTTTTTTCCACGGACGGGGGAGGATTTCCGGCCGTGCCTGGCTGCAACAGAAACATCTGGTGCCAGAAGACACTCGCCTTTTTTGGAAGGACGCATTCATTCTCGACAAGTCTTTGCTCCCGAAGGCTCCAGGTTTTTGACGAGGAAGTCCGAGATTCGTATTCTGGGCTGGTGGAGGGTGCGCATTTTGGCCGGGTTTAGGAAGAGAACCTTTTGGAATCACTGTTATGATGGTTAGAACATGATTTTCTGACCTTTTGCCTTGTTTTTACCATTTTTGAATAGTTTTTGACTTTTTCTAAATTCTCAAAGACTACTCAGCTTCTTCTATCTGACCTTATGGGCTTCAAAATGATATTTTTTCAGTCAGAGGCCCTTTTTTTCAGAAAAGTAACCGTTTAGAGCACTTTCTTCTAGGATAATATTATTTTTTGGACTTTTTTTTGTGACTTCAACATTTTTTCTAGGCTCCTAAAGTCCGGAATATCTTTGAAAGTACATATTTTGGATTTTATAAGCTTAACATATTTGAGCCGCGGCTAAGATTTTGCTTGGAAAAGGTTCTCGAATAACTTTCTCATGCGGCTATTTTTTTCACCTGGCTTCTTTTCCGTAATTTTCTAGCTAATATTATGAAGGTTCCTTGATTTTTACATTCAAACAGAATTTTATCAGTGGAGCGCATTTGCTGATTTTCGCGGCTATTTCTTCTCATTTGGCTCTATTCTCGTAATCCCTTAGGCAATATTATGAAAGTCCATTGATTTTTCCTTTCAAACTGAATTTTTATCAGTGGAGCGCATTTACTGATTTTCCGCGGCTATTTCAGTTACTTTTACTTCAAAATAATGATTTATTTTCTTCTTCAATTGATAGAAAAGTTTCTCTTAAGATATTCAGAAGTTTTTGGACCTTTTTCCGATTTTTGCAGACTCAAGCGCTCGAACTTTACAGTTTCATATAGTTCAAGCTCTGGATTTTACCATATTTCAGCTTGGAAAATTCCAATTTTTGACAGTTCCGAGATCCTAGAAAAAGCTCCAAAAAATCAATTTTGGCTACCCAAAGTGATGGAGCTCCGCCCCAGAATTGGCTTCACCTTCAACCTATTAGGAGCTGGAGCACCTGCTCTAGCTCCTCGGGAGAACGACCGGCTCATTTGCGGATTATTCCACGCCCGTTTGCCCCTAATTTGGTCATGTTCCCAACCTCGTTCCGTGTATCTTGTTCATGATTTTTGTAAAGTACAAACTTTTCTTGATTTTGGGATGTCTTTATAGTGCGGTGGTTTTTGAAAGCTGTAAAAAATCTGATTTTTTTGCTTTTTGAAGCTTCAAAGTTTCTGAAAACCCCCCTTTTTTTCTTTTTCTCTATTGTTGTGATGTGTAGAAACAGTTTTTTTCTCAAATTGTTGCTCATTCTAGACGTTTATTGCTCATGTTAGACTTTTGAGCTTGTGCTAACGTTCCCATGATCTTCGAAAACTGTGAAAAAAATTTTTTTCGTTTTTTCGTTATTTCAGATGTTTTTGAGACAAATTTTTGGGTTTTTCATTCATTTTCTACCTGTCTTCTGCACCATGTGGTGAAAAAATGCATAAAATTTCAAAGATTTTCGAAATTTTTGTACCTTTTTCAATCTTTTTCATGCATTCACTTCCTTTTTTTCTACTTATTTTTCGTTTTTCACCTTCCCAAATCAATTCCAACCCGATTTTCAGTAGAAAAACCAACTAGGATCTTGAAAATATCGATAGGAAGCCATGGTTTTACTGGACTTGGACCCGAATCTGATGCATTTGGGCGATATTGGCCGCAGCCTTTGCGACCTTGAACAAGGTTCGTTTTGGATTTTTTAATTTGATTATTAATCCTGGACTTGATCCTATTATCACTGCAAAATAGTCAGGATATAGTTGATAGGTTTTTTTCTCAATGGAGCGCACATGATCGGACTTTTTTAAGATTTATTTTGCTGACTGTTTTTTTTCTTCCCATCTATCCATTCTTGAAATATTCAGGTATTTTCAGCTTCAAAAAGTTAATTCAAAAAATTTATCCATAGAGCGCGAAAACTCGAATTTTCGCGGCTCTTTTTTCGTTTGGCTTTCTTCCCGTAATTCCTTAGCCAATATTATGAAGGTTCATTGATTTTTTCCTTTCAAGAAGAATTTTATCAGTGGAGCGCATTTACTGATTTTCGCGGCTATTCCTTCTCATTTAGCTCCTTTCCCGTGATTCTCAAGCCAATATTATGAAAGTTAATTGATTTTTACTTTCAAAAATAGTTTTATCAGTGGAGCGCACAAGTTGCTGATTTTCTGATTTTTTGCGGCTATTTTTTCTCAATTGGCTCATTTCCCGTCATTTCTTAGCCAACATTAGGAAAGTACATTGATTTTTACTTTCAAAACAAACTTCTCAATGGAGCGCACAAGTTGCTAATTTTTGCGGCTATTTCTTTTCACTTCCTGGGAATTTTTATAATTTTGAGCATTTCCAGGAGTTTTTATATTCATCAACTCCAAGTGATTTTGATTGGATGGAAAAGTTCAATTAAAGGAAAATTATCCTTAGAGCGCACAATTTCAAAATCTAGCGGCTATTTATTGCTTCATTTTCAGCTACCAATCATCGTTCATTAAAAACCCAGCTTCCAAATTGTTTATTCCTTTCTTCCTTTCTGTCTGAGCCTTTACGCAGAAGCCGACCTTCTTTTCATTTTCCAAACGAGGTAGGTAAAGGGTAATTAGTGGTTGGCCAGCACGTGGCGGCGGCGGCGGCGGTTTCGCGCACCTTTAATTCGGCCAGCCGGCTAATCATCTGCACGGGAGCCAAAGTAGTGATATACGACTAGTAGTTATGAGAAGCGGAAACCTTTTTTGAGGGTATAGTCGGGGATTTTGGATTTATCCGCAGATTTGAGACTGATTTCCAGAAAAAAGCTTTTTTTCAGCCTTTTTGGTCATTGATTAAGTAATGTATCAATTTTTGAATTTAGAATGCTTTTTTAAGCCTAATTTGCTATAGAACAGAGTCATCGAACGGTTTTAATGACAAAAGTTTGATATCATGATCAGAATCCGTCAAAAAACTAATGGCAAAAAAAAGGTTGCCCCAAAACGATTCGAACCCGCGACTTGGGCCCCGCAGACTATCGCGCTAGCCACTGCGCCAGGCGCTTAGGGGTTGCGCAATGGTTAGTGGCGCGCATAGATTCTTTCCAAACGGTGTCACGTGTTTAAGGATGAAAACTTGAAAAAATTATATCTACAAAACGAAAATTTTGCGCAGATTGGGACTATTTGGGATCGATTCCCAGATTTGCTTGAATTATTTGCATTTTTTCGAAAAATCCCGAATACTTATTTTCCTCAACACGATGGGAGGAACGTCTGAGATTAAGTTTTCATGAGGTACATCAAAAAATTTTCTGGCCTTTTTCAGAATTTTGTCCAAAATTTAGCAAGTAATAAAGATAAGATGGATAAGGCTCAGAAACTAGACGAAAATCAGTTTTCTTACCTTTTTTTAAACTGAGAAAAATGCTTTCAACAAGTGTCCGCTAGTTTCCAGTTAAAAACCAAATAAAAATTATGAGTTTCTTTCAAATTGGCGCCTTTGGAAATTATAGGGAGCCCAGGATTACGGT